ACTGAAGTCAGCGGTCCAGAAGTCAAGTTAGGTAGTCAGGAATACAAATGGAAAACCAAGTCCATACATCAAAGCCAGAAAGTCAGTCCAGAAGACAGAGTCAGGAATTCAAGATACAGACACGGTCCAAAGCATGATTCCAAAGGCAAGGTCAAACCAGAATTCCAACCCAGAGGCAGCAGTGCCAAGGTCCAAGACCAAGGTACAAATTATCTACTATCAATAGTTCTTCTTTCCCAAGCCCTTTTATCATGAGGTCTTATTTATTTATTTATTTATTTACTGAATTTGTTGACCGCCGTTCTCAGCCCTAGGGCGACTCACGGCGGTGTACAACATATAAAAAACAGTTTACAATAAGGCAATATCACAACAAAATATCAACATAACTATCAATAATACAATTACACTAAATCATCCGCGCCATCTCATCGTAGAATCATAAACCAATCTCATTATCCATACTCCGTTCCAATCATCATTGCCAATTGTTGTAGCACTTAGTCAAACGCCTTCTCAAATAACCATGTCTTTAGGCTCTTGCGGAATGTCATAAGGGAGGGCGCCTGTCTGATGTCTACAGGGAGGGTGTTCCACAGCCGGGGGGCCACCACCGAGAAGGCCCTATCCCTCGTCCCCGCCAGGCGTGCCTGTGAGGCAGGCGGGATCGAGAGAAGGGCCTCCCCAGACGATCTCAAAGTCCTCGTGGGCTCATAGGCCGAGATGCGGTCAGAAAGGTATTTTGGGCCGGAACCGTTTAGGGCTTTGTAGGCCAACACCAGCACCTTAAATTGGGCCCGGTAGCAGATCAGCAGCCAGTGGAGCTGGAACAACAAGGGCGTTGTGTGCTCCCTGCGTCCCGCTCCTGTTAGTAACATGGCTGCCGCGCGCTGGACTAGCTGAAGCTTCCGGGCCGTCTTCAAGGGCAGCCCCACGTAGAGAGCGTTGCAGTAGTCGAGGCGGGATGTGACCAGAGCGTGTACTACCGTGGCCAAGTCAGACTTCCCGAGGTACGGGCGCAGCTGGCGCACGAGCCTGAGCTGTGCAAATGCTCCCCTGGTCACCGCTGAAACCTGGGGATCCAGGCTCAACGATGAATCCAGGATCACACCCAAGCTGCGAACCTGCGCCTTCAAGGGGAGTGCGACCCCATCCAGCACAGACTGTAACCCTATACCCTGTTCGGCCTTGCGACTGACCAGGAGTACCTCTGTCTTGTCTGGATTTAATTTCAATTTGTTCGCCCTCATCCAGACCATTACAGCGGCCAGGCACCGGTTCAGGACCTCGACAGCCTCCTTAGTAGCAGGTGGAAAGGAGTGACAGAGTTGGACATCGTCTGCGTACAGATGACACCGCACCCCGAAACTCCGGATGATCTCACCCAGCGGCTTCATGTAGATATTAAACAGCATGGGGGACAGTATAGAGCCCTGTGGAACCCCACAAGTCAAAGGCTGTGGTGTTGAACAGGTGTACCCCAATAACACCTTCTGGGTGCGGCCCTCCAGAAATGACCGGAGCCACTGCAAAACAGTGCCCCCGAGGCCCATTTCCGCAAGGCGCCCCAGAAGGATACCGTGGTCGACGGTATCGAAGGCCGCTGAGAGGTCCAGGAGCACCAACAGGGACACACTCCCCCTGTCTAGCTCCCGGCGCAGATCATCCACTAAGGCGACCAAGACCGTCTCATTACCATGTCCCGGTCTGAAACCAGACTGTGCCGAATCCAGATAATCCGTGTCTCTCAAGAATACCTGGAGTTGTGAGGCCACCACGCTTTCCATGACTTTGCCCAAAAAGGGGAGATTGGAAACAGGCCGAAAGTTGTCCAATTTAGTGGGATCCAATGATGGTTTCTTCAACAGCGGTTTTATAATAGCTTGTTTTAAGCTCGCTGGAATTTCGCCTTCCCGAAGGGAGGCATTAACCACCACCGTTACCCACTCAGCCAATCCCCCTCTGGCCTCCTTCAGAAGCCAGGATGGGCAGGGGTCTAGGATGGACGTGGTGGGCCTCATTCCTCCAAGTATCTTGTCCACATCCTCGGGCTTCACAAATTGAAAAGAATCCATCAAAATAGGACAAGCAGGTGCTCGTGTCACATCCTCAGAGACTGCATTTAACATGGTGTCCAGACCGGAACGGATCAAAGCGACTTTGTCTGCAAAGAACCGAGCAAATGCTTCGCAGCGCGTGGCCGAACTGTCAGGGCTCCCGTCTGAGGTGGCGGGAGTTAAAAGACCTCTGACAATCCGGAACAACTCCGCCGGACGGTTCCTTGCAGACGCAATAGTAGCCGCAAAGAAAGTTTTCTTTGCGGCTTTTATTGCCGCGGCATATGCCCTTAGAAAGGACACAAACCGTGTTCGATTTGACTCGCTCGGATCCGAACGCCACACGCTCTCTAGTTCCCTCTTCCTTCGCTTCATCACTGCCAGCTCCTCAGTGAACCAAGGAGCTGGTTTAGCTCGGCTACTTGAGAGGGGACGTTCCGGAGCGATCATGTCAATTGCCCTGGCCATCTCTCCATTCCAGAGAGCGACCAAGGCCTCGACATGGTCACCTACCGAGGTGGCGGGAAAATCCCCAAGAGCCGTCAGGAATCCATTCGGATCCATAAGCCTCCTGGGGCGGACCAACTTAATGGGTCCTCCACCTTTGCAGAGGTTGGGGGGTGCAGTGAGCCTAAATCTGATCAGGAAGTGGTCAGTCCATGGCAACGGAGAGATAGACAACTCCTCCACACCGCCACCCTGCTCCCATCCCTGGCAGAAAACCAAGTCCAATGTGTGTCCAGCACAGTGGGTGGGGCCAGATATTTGTTGGGACAGCCCCATGGTTGCCATGGCAGACATGAAGTCCTGAGCCGCTCCTGTGAGGGTCGCCTCGGCATGGATATTGAAGTCTCCCAGCACGAGAAGCCGTTGAGACTCCAACGCCAGGCTCGAGACTACCCCCGCTAGCTCAGGTAGGGAGACTGTAGTGCAGCGAGGTGGACGGTACACTAACAGAATCCCTATTCTGTCCCGGTCACCCACCCTCAGGTGGACGCATTCAAAATTTGTTGACTGCGGAATGGGACTCCTGGTCAGATGGATGGAATCTCTATAGACCACTGCAACCCCGCCTCCCCGCCATCCAGATCTTGGTTGGTGCTGCACGGAGTAGCCTGGAGGACAAAGCTGGGTGAGATTCACGCCTCCAGCTTCATCCAACCAGGTCTCCATAATGCACGCCAGATCTGCCCGCTCATCCAGGATTAGATCCTGGATAAAGGTCGTTTTTCCGTTGACAGATCTGGCGTTCAACAGCACCACCTTCAGTCCGGAGGGCCCGCCAACCTGGTTACACCAATTTACCATAGGAGACCGGTTTGGGATTATTAATGTAGATAAGCGGTCCGAATTAGGCCGAATTTGAGGTCTCCTTTTCCCGCATCTCCCCCTCCCCACCACGACCTCTATGGGGGCCCCTCGGCTAGTGGAACACCTCCCCTCCTCCATGCCGCAGTCCAGATCCAAGGTCTTAATTTCTGTTTCGTTAGTAGTTGTTTGGTTTGTTGGCGTTTTTTCTTGCCAACTCCCTTGATTCCCTTTCTCCCCCCTCCCCACCTCATTGTTACCCATGGACTCCAGCCCACTTCGTCCCTTGCCCCTTCCACTAGTCACTAATATCAGGGACAATACAAATAGGGGAATGGGGAAAGGTCTCAGCTAATGCTCTTTTCAGCAAGCCTTCACAGATAATCCCAGAAGCCTGTGATGCTTTCCTTAAGGAAGTCAGATCAACCCCTTCCAAGTTTGCTGAAATACTGGGAAGAGTCCTCCTCTGGTGGAGACCTGACCTCAGCAGCAGAATTCTGGCCATGACAGCAGTGTTGTTAAACATCAACCACAGTTGCACAGATTCAAACAAAAAGGTCTGAATCATACAGTGAGGAAAACATGCAGATACACACTTTCCAAGGAAGTGCTCTCACCATGGAATAACAACAACAACAACAACAACAACAACAATCTTTAATTATATTCCGCCCTTTCTCCCCAATGGGGACTCAGGGCAGTTAACAACATATAACAGAAATATTCAATGCCGTATAATACAACCAGCCAATAAACAAGACATAACTTAAATTAAAAATGACACAGCAAACCTTAACATAAGCAATAACAAGACAATTCCTCTCCTGTCCCTCACAGAAGAGAAAAGCCAGGCTATGAGAATGAGGACTCCTTCGTTCGATTCAAAACCCTCTCTTCGAAAACACCAGGTCAGGGTGTTTTCTGAAACCCCAAAAGTTACCTCTGTTGGCACAGCAGTTGCTTTTGGCTCTTCCCAGGACTCACCTGCCAAGCAGCCTTTTCATCAAACTACCAGAATTATTTCTATCCCAGAGAGTTGGAAATTACAAAAAGTCAATGAACTCATTTGGTCTGATCTGCTTTGTTTACCTCCTCCCATTCCACTTTTAGATTTTAAAGCAGAAGGCACTGGCACCTTCACTGCTAGTATCTGTAAACCACTTTTTTGAGATCTTTCTGACTGTATAGAATAAATTAAAATGGTTCAAATCAGCAGCAGGCAACACATAGTACTCAGGTCAGAGATTCTTAAACTTGTTCCATTCATGATCCATTTTTGTGACCCCAGGCATAAAAACCAAACATTTACTGATAATAATTCAGCTTTTGCAAGGTTTGCTAAATAGGCTAATTTTCCTTTTTGTGAAGTATAGCTGAAGGATGTTCTGCAGAATCCACTGTAAACACTGCACATTGCTGTGTAAATGGGTGGCGTTCAGAAACCTTTTATGGTGGCCAAATTAGTCATGAACCCAACATTAAGATGAGGGAGCCTCATTTGTGGTTGGGGTCGACATTTTAAGAAGCAGTGCTCTATATGTCCTCTGTCATCACTCTTAAGTAGTAGGTTTAATGGTGGCTTATATTTCAAACAAGAGCATACTTTTCAGCAAAAACAAAACACACAATACTGACCTCAAAACATTTCTCCTTCTTAGCCTGAAGTAATAATTCTGCAATCCCAGGAAGAAGCACAGGAAATATGTAGTATTCTAAGAATTCTCTTGGAGAACCTGGATAAATAATATTTATTTTCAGTAAATAAGCTCCCACATATCCCCAGACAACAAGGCCACTGGCCAGGAGTCCTAGAAGTTGCTATTTTTTAAAAAGAATAACATTTTGAAACTCTGGCCATAGGTTGCCTCCCAATGAGAATTAACTAGAAGCTGAGTTCAAACCCTGGTTTCCAATTTCTAGTTTGGAGATAAATCATAATTTTCCCAGTTAATACATTTTTGGATTTTCTGAGGAATTTCTATAGGGTCTGTGATGGAGACTTCAAAGTTTTCTACTCTAACTAATGGCCATATGCCATAAGTTTTCCCCATCATATTCTACTTGAACCTATTAAGGGATGGAGAACAGTCAAGAAACCTCAGGCTATGATTCTGTAGCCTGTGCAGTATTGTGATTGGAGCCCTTGATACTCAGCCATGAAAACCTAGTGGGTAATCTTAGGAGAGTCAAGCACTTTCAGGCCCAGAAAGCCAAGGAGGATGGTTGCCTTAGGGTCACCATGAGTTGGAAACAATGACAACAACAATTCTGGATCACCTCCAGGTGAAGGATGTCTATAAACATATTTGGGCCTTAGTTTGATTTAGGAAACATGTACACTTGGCTTTCAGAGAAAATGAATTGTTGGCAATACACTTGGTGGAACCATCGCAGGTTTTCCTTCTTTTCTCTCTTAACTACACCCTCCCCCACCGCCCCCAGTTCTAATTAAAAAAGGCAATCACATTCCAGCTTACATGTCTTTAGATCAGGCAGCTCAGGAGTCAATGGAAGAGAAAGGTGAGAAGGAGTCTTTTGAGGAGCTGTCTCATCAGCAGTGGCCGATTTGCCCCTATCCTCATTCAAAGCTGGAGAAATTCCAGGAACCTTAATGAGATAAATATACAAGGGTTCCCAGTAACTGTCAGCATCTATAGCCACAGACATTCAGATAAGATAAACTGAAGAGATCAGATTATCTTCTTTCTGCCCTGGCTGCCTACTGCCTGCCTATATATCCTTTTAATCAAGAAACACTGCTGAAATATGCAAGAATACCGGGAATAAGATTCATGCATATTTCAACATTACACTGATTTCTAACAATAAAGTCAGCAGGTAGAGTGAAGAACAGCATGGAGTTGAACACTGCCTGCAGCTTAACATTAGAGTCACATACCACCGAAGTTTCAGAAACGGGATTCCGCAAAGTGAAGAAGGACCATAGCCAACTAACAGAACAGAGCTTGGAAAAGTCCCTTTGAGGACTACAGAATGACTCAGCCAATAATGGCCATGCTGGCTGGCAGTTCTGAGAAAGGTAACTTTTCCAATCTCTAATTTCTCAGCATATGGTTTCCAAACAAAAAGACTCCACAGTCAGACATTGACTCTTGGATTTAGCTCTGTATTTAGCTCTCAAGCTCCCAAAGGCTGCTACTGAAAATTTTGAACTACAAGGATCACAAGCCTGAACTAAGTACAAGGAGATTTTCTATGTTTCTAGAAATTTTACAGAACTTCAAAACATGTAAACAACTTGGGCTGGATGACACCAAGGACATATTCCAGTGATCATTTCTGTTTTGCATGTCAACCAACCAGATATTTCCGGGAAGGCCATAATGGGTCTCAGAATCACCCCATTGTTACTGCTTGTCTGTCAAAACCAGATTCCTGGCTTGCTGCTCCAAAACAACCCTGAAATTATAAAGGAAATCCAAACCCAAGCTTCAAATTGTGGCTTATAAGATATGCAACAAACTAGGATATGCTAACCAAACATTCCTGATTTCCAGTTGCTCTTATGGAAAGAAAACAAAGTGAGAGCAAATGGGTTTCTTTATCAAACTAGGATTCTCCAGAAGTTTAGTTGTGTGATCTGTGTGGATGCAACCACTGCCTCTGAAGATGGGCATTCTACATAATGACAGAGCTCTTCAAGTTCTCTTTCAAAGCCATATATATTGGTGGCAATCATGGTCAAGTACTGCAATCCAAAATCAGACAATTCATAAGTTGCCCATCCTAAGGTTTTATAAATTAGGAATGGAAATTGTGCAGCCCTTGGGATAAATTTTGCCGAGTAGTCCAGTGTTGTTCTTTGAAGTTCCACCAGCCCCTTAAAGTCCCCAAAACCTCCCAAAATTATCTGGCTACAAAATTCATAATTTACTGAAATTTCTCTGCAAAGGTGCATTATTGCTGTATGATGGGCCCCTCCATCAAAGACACCAAGACTCTCCATCACAAATGGTGATGCAACACCCCTTCCTGATGCCTAAACTAGTGCAGTTGGGCAGAGTTCTGGAGGGCTCTGAAATGGGGCAAGGCAGGCATTGTGCCCCTATCCCTGAAACAAATTGAACTATTAGTATTACTTCCTCTTAAAAGAGAGGTTTAAGTACTGTCTTTGAACTCAATGGAAGGAGGGAAATCCCTATAATGTTGGAGAAGCTTAACTGGGAATACTTGATGGAAATTGTATGCTAAATAGTTCAAAGTACTCCTGGCTACATTGGATTTTACCTGAAAGATCGACAAAGGCTCCCCCTTTTGCTCAGGAATGTGCTCTTCTTTCAGTTCCAAATTGTCAGGATGGGTTGGTTCCCTTGCTGCAAACTCTTTTTATAAAAAATGTAGAAGAAGAAAGGTGGGGAATTAGTCCCTTAAAATCTGTGGTCTTATTGTTATTTATTCATACCCCATTTTTCCAAGGGGTGAGAATTTTCATGGGTCCCAATGTTTAGTCTAGGTTTTAGTTAGTGTGATAGAAAGTTACTGAAAGCCACACTGAGTTCCATTTTGGCAGAAAATCAGGATATAAATTAAACAATAAAACATCAGCATTCCCAGAGAATGGCCTCTTTGCATTTTTTTTGCTCCATAGATGGTAAATTGTAATAAAATTCTGAGCATCGCTTTGGTTCTCTCTCCCCAAATCTTTCAGCTATTCTTGCTGGAAGGTTGTGGGAACTGTTTTTGTTTTAAATAGCTATTCCAAACCATGCAAAGTCCCAACTGCTGCATCACATTGTTGCCTCATGTTCAGCACGTGGTCTGATAATAAGACTCCAAGGTCCCTTTCACTGTGTGCTCTTTCCAAGCCAGGCCTCACCCATCATCCCATAACTCTTATTAGTATTGCCTGAGTGCATTTCTCCCTGTTGAAATTGTATCTGCTCCCTTTTACAAGAAAATGGGGGAAAGAGTGAGATCACCAAAGCGGAATTCAAACGGATAGCCAGTATTTGTAGGGAGAGGAGAGATTTAAAAGCCAATGAGATTTTGGGCTGCATCAAAAGGAGTATAGGCTGTTAGAAATTGTGGGAGTTGAAGTCCAAAACACCTGGATGGCCAAAGTTTGCCCATGCCTGGTCTCGATAGAGGGAAGTCATGATGCTTTTCTCTTCCGCTTTGGTTAGACTTCTTTACCTGGAATCACACTGTGTCCAATTGTGGGCACCACAGTTCAAAAGAGACATTGATTCTAAGCTGGAAAGGACCCAGAAGGAGAGGGTGACTAGAGATCATGGATCCCTATGAGAAGCTGCATAATAATAGTAGTAATAACAATACTTTATTTATATTCCACCCTATGTATCTTTTAGTGGGGACTCATGATGGTTAAAGACGTTAATATGTTAATCGTGCAGAAAAGAAGGTTGAGACAGCATAGCCATGAATAAATATGTGAAAAGATGTCCTAGATGAGGGAGAGGCTTCCTTTCTGCTGCCCTGGAAACTAGGACTCAATGGAGTCATGGGTCCAAATGACAGGGAAGGAGAATCCACTTGAACATGAGGAAGACCTGCCTGACTGTAAGGAGAGCTGTTCAGTAGTGGAACTCTCTGCCTCAGAATCTGGTGGAAGCTCATTTCTTGGATGGATGGCTATCTGTTGGGAGTGCTTTGATTGTGCTTTTCCTACATGGCAAAAGGGGTTTAGACTACATGGCCCATGTGATCTCTTCCAACTCTAGGATTCTATAGTTTTATTATTATTATTATTAAGCAGAGGCTGGATGGCCATCTGTTGGGAGGGCTTTAATTGTGTTTTTCCTGCATGAAGGCAGAATGGGGTTGGGCTAGATTTATTTATTTATTTATTTCAAATATTTGTACCTCACCCTTCTCAACCCCCTAGGGGGCTCAGGGTGGCTTCCATTCAGCAACAAATTGATTCCTCAAAATACATGCAATAAAATAATAATAAACCAATAATAAATATAGTTAAAATATTTGGTCAGTACAATTAAAATCTACTAAAATACCAATCTGGTAGCCATTATCTAGCCGAATTTTGTAGTTGGAGACTCCATCAAACTTGTCCATAGTCGATTACCATAGCAATTGTCATGGTCCTGGTCCCACATCCACATTTTTAACTTCTTTCTGAAGGAAAGGAGGGATAAAGATAACCTAATTTCCCTGGGGAGTGAATTCCACAGGTGGGGGGCCACTACCAAGAATGCCCTGCCTCTTGTCCCCGCCAAGCGCATTTGTGACAGAGGTGGGGTCGAGAGCAGGGCTCCCTCAGAAGAACTTAAGCTGTGAGGTGGAGCATAAAAGGAGAAACGTTCAGACAGGTACGCTCGGCCGTAGAGAGGTAGATGATCCATGGAGTCCCTTCCAACTCTAGGATTCTATGAAAGGGTGAAAAAGACATGCGAACAGGGCAGAACATCATGCAGGAAGCCTGGTCGAAGTGAACCTCCAAGGGCTGCATCTACACTGCAAAATTAACACAGTTCGACCCCACTTTTAACAGAGGTGGTGCAAAGCTATGGAACTAGGGAAGCTGCAGTTGTAGGCGAGGTGTCTGTTTGCTTGGGGCCCACCTGCGCAGATTTGGTCCCAGAGGTTTGGAGGCGGGAGCTCTGCCTCAACAGCAGCAACACCGCCTGCAACAGCAGCAGCCGCCATTTGTGTGGGGTTGCTAGGCAACATCGGAGGCGCTCATTCCGGTTCCGGCCAAAAGGGGGCGGGGCCAGTCGCCTTGCCTGAGAGCGGAGCCAGAGGCGGAACTATACCTTCTTAGGCGGAGGGTCATTCCAGCACACAGGCGGGAGCAGGGAGGCCGCTTTGAGTGCTACACCCATGGGAGAGCGGCGCGCTTTTTCAACGAAGCAAAGGCTGCGGCGTCGGAGGCTCGTCCCTTGTAAGCTTAGAAAAGCGCCTTGCCGCGCCACAATGACATCACATGTGGGCTTCACGACTTCTTGGCGTTTTAGGCCTCTCACTGGAATCTCTGGAGGCGCTGATGTTGAAAACTGCATTAGAGAGGCTAGTTTCTTAGGTCGCGTATACATTGCCTTATAAAATCCGGATTACCTACTTTGAACCGGATTATAAGCATCTACAGCAGGCCTGGGCCAAGTTGGGCCTTCCCTCCAGGTGCTTTGGACTACAACTCCCACAATTCCTCACATACAGATGGATCTCTATCCTCTATCAAAGTGGTTCCCAACCTTTTTTTGACCTGGGACCACTCTCCAATATTAGTACCAAAAGGGTTACGAATCAGTTTGTGGTCAACTTTAGATTCAGCTTGGTTATTTGGGGTGCTGATTCAGAAAGTTGCATTGGATAGACCACATCAGCTCTACTTTCTGATACAGAACATACGCCATCCAGTAGTTGCTGCAGAAAACCATATTTAATAATCTAGAGCTGATGTGATTTATATAATGCAATTTTCTGATTTATTATTATTATTGGTTGCGTCAGGAGCAACTTGAGAAACTGCAAGTCGCTTCTGGTGTGAGAGAATTAGCTGTCTGCAAGGACGTTGCCCAGGGGAATGTTTTGATGTTTACCATCCTTGTGGGAGGCGTCTCATGTTCCCGCATGAGGAGCTGGACCTGACAGAGGAAGCTCACCTGCGCTCTCCCCGGATTTGAACCTGTGACCTGTTGGTCTTCAGTCCTGCCAGCACAGGGGTTTAACCCACTGCACCACCGGGGGCTCCCAAATAATCCCAGGAACAGGCCTAAAAACGAAGACACCAAAACGCCTCCTCTTCCAGGTGCCACATGGAATGGTTCTGCTCAGGGGGAAGGAGGAGAAGAAGCAGCAGCAGCAGTCAGGAGACTTGTTGTTGTGCCTTTTGTGGGTAGTCAGCCTCTCTCCTCCCAACATTCCCATTGCCTCGGCACTATAAGAGGGTTTTGTGAGACCAGTCACTCTCATTGAAATGGTGTAGTATCAGTGAGGCCACAGACCATATTTTAGTTCTTGGGGACCACAGGTTGGGAACCACTGCTCGATCAGATGTTTTAGATAATATTCTTCATTTCTTCCAGATATCTTCAGTACAATGGGAGTAATGACAACAGATTGAATATCCTTATAAAAGTGACATGGCTGGTAGTTTCCACTCATTCCATACCTCAAGGGCATATTATACACGCTTATGGTAGGGGATACCTGCAAATCTACCCAGCAGTCATGTTGATGGCAACACATTGAATCTGTCCAGGGTGAAGGATCTCCAAAATTTGGATGTTTGTAAGTTGGATGTTCGTAACTCTGGACTGTCTGTAACTTGAAGTATTTTGAATCCAAGGATAAATGGGGTTGTGTAGTGTGTAGTAGGGTATGAATTGAAGACACATGGAGAGTATGTACCTTCAGTGTTGCTGAACTATAATTCCCATTGTGCTGTAGGGGATTCATGAACACACAGGATCCGAGAGGCACAAGAAGAGATCAAACAGATTTGATAAGTGAAAACAATCAGATTTATTTTGCCTGGTCAGACAGGTGAACAGTCCCCGCTCACGCAGGTAAAAGTGAAACTGTCCACCTCGAACATACGATGGGTAGGTTTTGTACCTTTTCTCAAAGTAAGTTTCAATCTCCTATAAAACACTTGAATGCGCAGAAACCAGGTGGGTTTTTTTTACTATCTGATTCGGTGAAGTTTTGCTCATGTGTGGTGTTAAATTTCTAGTTAACTTAACTTCCATTTCTCTAAAAGCACATGACTTCTGGCAAGTCAGATGGGTACCTAAAAGTCTAATCAGATTGTGTCTACATTATTATCTATTAGGTGCTAAATGATCCACCCCAATCTACCCCTTCCAAGTTGAACAATGAAGGAGATTTTTTTTCTTTCAAGCAGTTTCTTAGCTTAGCTTTACAAATATTTTTTTTAAAATCACTTCTTTTTTTCTGCTCTCCAAGCTCCCTCAGTGCTTGTTTGTTCTTTTGGAGGCAGCCACAGTGTCCCTATGTGTTTCTCCTAAGGGGTTGGTTTAACATCTAGTTTGCTAGTAAAACTGAATTGCAAACTGATGCATGTCTAAAAAAGTGTGACCAACATGAAATGTTTGGAAAACTATGTGTTAAAATCTGCTACTGTACCACCGTTCCATTTCTTAAGCTGATCTCTTAGGTGAGGGGTCCTCAAACTTTTTAAACAGAGGGCCAGGTCACAGTCTTTCAAACTGTTGGAGGGCCAGATTATAATTTGACAAAAATATGAATGAATTCATGCACACTGCACATATCTTATTTGTAGTGCAAAAAAGCACTTTAAACAATACAGTAATTAAAATGAAGAACAATTTTAACAAATATAAAGTTATTAGTATTTCAATGGGAAGTGTGGACCTGCTTTTGGCTGATGAGATGGGGTTGTTGTGTGTTTTCAAGTTGTTTCAGACTTAGGTTGACCCTGTGCAAGGGCCGGGTAAATGACCTTGGAGGGTCGCATCCAGCCCTCAGGCCTTAGTTTGAGGACCCCTGTCTTAGGCAAACAGACTCTCTCAACTGTTCAGACTGTATATACACTGTAGAATTAATTCAGTTGTAGGTGAATGATGTTCTGTACAAATTGGCAAATTACTATTTGGTACATTGGATTTGTAGTTCTCTTTTGTTTTTGGCCTACTCTGTTGAACACTCTGGAATGAAATGCTTCTCATTTTCCCCTTGGTAGAGTGTGCCTTGTCCTTAAAATGGCCATTAAAAAGGTGGAAAAGTACACAGCTGATGAAACTGTGCAGAAAAAGAAGAAATGTAAAGTTTCTGTAGATACCCAAGTTATCATCATAGACGATGACGAAAATGACTGTGATGGCTATTCCGATTTACCAAAAAAGGCTAAGGTGAAGAAAAAGAAGAATTTCCTAAAAAGAAAATATTCATATCAAGAAGGTACAAAGGAGAAGAAAAAGAAAAAAAGTGACTCCGATATAAAGAACAAGGCATGTGCAAACCTTCCCATCATAATAGAAAGCAGCTCGGATTCAGAAGTTGTAATGAAACATAGGAAAATATCCAAGATACACAAGAAGAAAGTCAAGCGAAGACTTTCTTGTGAAGGTGATGGCATTTGTGAAGCTCTTAGACAATTTAGCAAAAAGAAGGATCCCGGCAGCCATGGAGAGAGTGCTGAATGCATTGAAAAGAAGAAGAAGAAGAAGCACAAAGCCACTTGCTCCTTGATGTTACAAGGTGAAGACCATGTAGTTGAGTCTCAGAAACAAACCATCCGAAATGGAGAAGCTATTTCCCAGGATGCAGCATCACATGGCAGAAAAAAGAGACAGACTCTTGTCAAGAATAAAGCCAAAAAAAGGAAACTTCTAACTTTGGATAATGAAGGCAGCAAGGATAGTATTCCAGATAAAAGAAATGCCAACGCTGTCTACCAGTTACAGGGGGGAAATGACTGCAAGAGGAGAGTTTTGGGTTGTAAAGGACACCAAGATTCTGCGGCCCAAGTATCAGAAGAAGAAACTAGAGTGATTAGGAAGAAGCGGAAGAAAAAGAAATCTCAAAAGGAGAAAGTTTCTTTCTTTGCAATATCGGCCAAGAACCAAGAAAACAACTGTGATGTTTCTAATAAGAATCTTCTAAAACCCAAACTGAGAAAACCCCAAGTTTTTCAGGAAAAGAAAATGAAATTAATCCTAGACACTGAAGGAGTTGGCAGAGTAACTAAGAAGAAGACAATCCATACAAAAGTTGCAAACAATCGTACAGCCCTTTTGGAAGAAGATGCATTGGTAGTGAAGGAACACAAAAAGAAAATAAAAAAATGCAAAGACATTAATGAGTTCACAGTAACTGGTAACAGTGCCAGATGTGAGAATGGTGGGAAACAGCACATAAAGAAGAGAAAAAATATGGACAGATGCAATGCTGACAATTGTGAAGAAGAGCCCAGTTTGAAGAAAAGAAAGTTGAAAAAAGAAACAAAGGTATAATCTTAGTTTGCATGTGTTTATTGTAGTTCGGGTCTAGTTTAGTCATGCCTTACCTAATCCCATTGAGCTCTGTGGAACTTAAGTTAGTTTTCGACTAGCTCATACTATTAATTAGGATTTGGCTATAACTTATTCTGAATCTATCCCTGTGTTTTCCTTTCACAGAGTTCAGTTTTACATATTGCTTTTATTAGTTCTGGTACAAATGTCAATGACTTTGAAAGGCAATTAGGTAAATTCATGGAAGCTGTGGCTGTCAGCCATGATGGCAATATGCTACCTAATCTATCAGAGGGAGCATAACTCTACAACAGTTTCTATGAGAAAAGGGAAGGAGAGTAAAGGGTGCTTTTGGGCTTCTAGTGCATCTGCTTGGCCATTGTAGGAGTAAAATGATGAACTACAAATGGTGCCGGCTTTTTTTTTCTTTTCCCTTATTTTATAATCACAACAGCCATGAATTGAGGATCTGGGTTTTAGCCTGCCACATTTGGACTCTTGCTTGCTGAGGTGTTCCTGTGAGTATCTGTAGATCTTAAGAAGTTGTTTCTTGATTTAAAACATTGGCGTGCTGGCTGATAACCAAACAGAAGATGGGCCAGAGATGTCCCTGCCTTGGTCCTTTCATTACAGGCTGCTATTTCCCGACAGATGTCAGGTGTTGCGATACTGGCTAAACAGTGGTGTTGGGCATAGACATCCTGTGATGATGTGACATGCCTCATTAAGAGCCACATCCACTGTTTTGACGTGGTGAGATATATTCCACACTGGGCATGCGTACTCAGCAGCAGAGTAGCAAAGCGCAAGGGCAGATGTCTTCACTGTGTCTGGTTGTGATCCCCTGGTAATTCCAGTCAGCTTTTGTATGTTGTTATTTCTAGCACCCACGTTTTGCTTGATAGTCAAGCAGTGCTTCTTGTAAGTCAGAGCATGGTCCAGAGCGACTCCCAGGTATTTTGGTGTGCTGCAATGCTTCAGTGGGGTTCTTTCCCAGGTAATCCTCAGAGCTCGAGATGCTTGTCTGTTCTTAAGTGCACATCTGCATTTTAGATGGATTAGGAATCAGCTGGTTTCCCCTGTAATAGGCAACAAGAGCACCTAATGCTTCAAAGAGCTTCTCTTCAACCATTTCAAAGCTCTTCTTGAGCGGTGATGGCACAATCGTCAGAATACATGAAACTCTGTCCCTTCTGGCAATGGCTGGTCATTTGTGTAAAAGTTAAACATTGATGGAGCAAGTACGCTTCCCTGAGGCAGGCTGTTCAGCTGAAACGTGATAAGTATATAGTTTTCATCAGTCCTGGTTCAACTTTTGAATAATAAATCCTCAGCTTGGTCTGAGATTTTTTCAAAGATTTGAAAATGTGTGTTTGTATAAGGTAAGCTTTTCAAAATGCATTAGATTAGGATGAAAAACATGAATGGCCTGAGGTCACTTGACTCTTGGGGTCAGTGGAGATTTGAACCTGGGACTTTCATAATCCTAAATTGGCACTCAAATTTAGCCATTTGCCAGCTTTGCCAGGTGTTAGACTCTAACTGCCATCATCTACATTCAGAATGTCCATGGGGATTGGGATTAATGGGCTGTGTGACCCAACAGATGTGAATAGTGCCAGTTTGGGAGTGACTGCTCTAATCCAGTGGTTTTCAACTTGTGAACTTCTGTGTGTTACTGGAGAATTTTCATAATCTCTCACAATTGGCCATACTGGCTAAGGCTTCTAAGGAGTTGGAGTTGAAAACATCTGAAAAATCAGAAGTTGATGACTGACGCTCGCATTATTTCAATTGTACTTGCTCACCACATATTTCATCTTCAGTAGTATGGATGTTGCTGTCGTATAGCTGGTGGCAGGGAAAAAGTGTAGTCTGTTTCACAAGCATAGAACACTTGTATACATGTCTATTGTTTATCATAGGATGCTCATTTCAAAAGTGATACCTTGGGGAGTCTCTTTTGTGTTTTCCTTTTGACCCTTCAGAGGACAGAGTAGTTTTATTGCCGGGATAAAAGTTCAAATGAAATTGCCTTTGTCTGTTGAATGTGATTTGGATGTCGGTAGCTGCTTACATGTGTGCTGGAGCAAGATAAAGCTTGAGAGATGCAGTCAATTGCATTTACGGACTTGAGCAGTGAAGGTGCTAAAAAGGAGCAAACAGCGTTATAAGCAACTGCTGGGTGAGAGCCTGGACCATGCTGTGTAAGGTCTTTAAGATTTATTATCAAGGGATCCTCTACAACAGGACTTTTTGCCTTTGGGATGACCAATCATGCTGACACAATTGATATAAATAAACCACATCAAGTTCTTGGATCATGTGTGAAGGTCCTGCTCTGTGTTACCAAGCTATGTCCCAAGATCAGAACCCAGCCAGCTCCTGCAAGCACCAGTGGAGCTTGGCACTGGTCAAAGTGCTTATCACAGATCCATCAACAGGGAAAACCAGCTGATTCCTAATCCATCTAAAACACAGACTTGTCCTTTTCACCTTAAGAACAGACAAGCATCTCAAGCTCTGAGGATTACTGGGGAAGGAATCCCACCGGAGGATTGCAGCACACCAAAATACTTGGGAGTTACCATGGATCGTGTTCTGACTTACAAGAAGCACTGCTTGAATATCAAGCAAAAAGTGGGTGCTAGAAATAACATCATACAAAAGCTGACTGGCACAACTTGGGGATCCCAACCAGACAGTAAAGACATCTGCCCTTGCGCTTTCCTATGATGCTGCTGCTGCTGCATGCCCAGTGTGGAACACATCTCACTACATTAAAACAGTGGATGTGGCTCTTAATGAGACATGCCACATTATCACAGGATGTCTGTGCCCAACACCACTCGAGAAATTTTACTGTTTAGCCGATATTGCACCAACTGATATCTGTCGGGAAGTAGCCTGTAAAAAAGGACCAAGGCAGTGACATCTCCAGCCCGTCCCCTGTTTGGATATCAGCCAGCATACCAGCGCCTTAAATCAAGAAATAGTTTTCTAAGATCTACAAAGATACTTGCAAGAACACTTCAGCAAGCAAAAGTCCAAAAGTGGCAGGCTAAAACCCAGAACCTCAAGTCATGGCTGATGCTGAATGAGAGACTCCCTCCTGGGCACACAGAAAACTGGGCAACTTGGAAGGCACTGACTAGACTGCGCTCTGGCATCACGAGATGCAGAGCCAACCTTAAGAAATGGGGCCACAAAGTGGAGTCCACAACATGTGAGTGTGGAGAAGATCAAACCACAGACCACCAATTACAATGCAGTCTGAGCCCTGCCACATGCACAATGGAGGACTTCCTTATATGTAGCAACACCAGAGGCACTCCAAGTGGCCAGCTACTGGTCAAAAGAAATTTCCTATAATGTGAAGTTTTTAAATTGTGTTTTTAAATACATTACAACTGTACCCTCAGTTTGCTTGTGACACGATAAATAAATACAGACTCATTCAATTCATAGAAGACTTGCAACGGAAGGCAGCCCTATCCCATTCTCTAAAGGTTTTCCTGCATCTACTTTGAATCCTTCCTTTGGTCTGGGCTTCCATACTCTGCCATGAAAATTTGTTTGAACTTTAAGATTTGACATCATTGCACTCAAAGCAAAGGAAAGCCACAGAAAGATGTATGACTTGCAGACAAGATTTTGCAGGGCTAACATCGAAAGGGAGTTCCACTTCCTTGTTCAATGATCCTGAAGCAAGGGGTGAATTAAACCCTACAGATATTCCCTAGTAGAATATTAAGTGCCGTAGTCCAGTGTGTGTGAAAGGCAGAGGGAGAATAGTAGGTTACTAACCTGTAACCATCTTTCTTCGAGTGGTCCTCTGTGAATCCACACATATGGAGTATCTGCGCCCGCGCAGGCTCCAACGGAAAACTTCCCAAGTTGAAACTTTTAAGTTTTGGCTGTAACCCCGCCCAGCAGGGCATAAAAGGCGACCCGCGCACACTCCTGGTAGTTCCTACGCCGCATTAGCGAGGAAAAAGGGGGAGGTTTGAAGAGAGGACGGCCGGGCGGGTTTGTGTGGATTCACAGAGGACCACTCGAAGAAAGATGGTTACAGGTGAGTAACCTACCATTTTTCTTCGTGGCCTCTGTGAATGCGCACATATGGAGAGCTAACAAGCTAAGGTCCCGGATGGTGGGAACAAACCGACACCAATTTGAGGGCCAAACATATGTCTATTGAAGGATTGACACAGACATGTTATCAAGAACATTGTCAAGCAGTGCGTTATCAGGATACTCTGTATCATAAAAGGACAATAATCCAAACATCGGTATAGCCCTATAATAAAAGGCATAGCAAACATGAGAGGTTCTTGAGGTCAAGGATAAAGACCCATAAGGCCTGACAAAACTAGCATAACTTGTTGCATAAACAGGCAGCAAGAACTGATCTGCTGAAGAAAGTGTCCCTCCGAGACCGGGTGTCTAACCGGTAATGTGACACAAAAGTCATGGGAGTGGATCAAATGGCCGCTTTGCAAATCAATTCAATAGGGACACGTTTAAGGAAAGCAGTTGTCGCAGCCATGCCCCTTGTCGATCTTAGGCGGATCGGGATCGGAGGGGGCTTTCGAGCAAGTTCGTAACACAGTTCAATGGCTGAACCAATCCATCGGGAGAGACGCTGCAATGATATTGGTAATCCTATTTTGTCCGGCGCATAGGCCACAAACAGGCGAAGGTCGGTGAGTCCGTTGTGAGGACGATCGATGGCTCTCGTGGATGAAACGGAAGTCTGACACAAACGTTTCTGTGGTGCATCCACCAACTCAGGGACTGCCGAACCTTCACTGGCATCGTCAAAACCTTGAGGTCGGAATCTTGTTGGGGGTTGAAATTGTCGAGAAACCACCTCTGGAGAGGGCGCATCTTCAGTTGGCTAATGGCGTGACCATTACCGTTGAGGCGATGTGGCCCAGGAGGACTTGGACATATCGTGCTCTTATCCTCGTGGAGGCTCTGCAACGGGTGATCTCGCATTGCAAGGCTAAGTATCTGACTTTTGGCAAGGAGACTGTCTCTGATGTGGAGTCGAACTTGGCCCCGATAAATTTTATTGATCTCGTCGGGGTGAGAAGAGACTTCTCGGCATTGAGTTGAAGGCCGAGGTTTTCGAGGAGATTGAGGGTAAAGGTGATTTGTGACCGGAGAAGGTCTGGTGTTGTCGAGGCCAGAAGCCAGTCGTCTAGGTATGGAAAAACCCGGATTTTTCGTCTTCTCAAGTATGCCGCAACTACTGACATGCACTTTGTGAATGTCCTTGGGGCCGTGCCAAGGCCGAATGGAAGTACTGTGAAGGAATAAGTCTGTTGTCCTATTTTGAAGGACAGAAAATGTCTGTGGGACTTTTGGATGGGCAAATGGAAATAGGCGTCCCTTAAGTCTATCGATGCGAAGAATCATCCTGATCCAGCATGGGAGTTATCGACGATACTGTAACCATTCTGAACTTTGTTACTTGGATAAACTTGTTTAGTCCCCTGAGGTCGAGGATGGGGCGAAGGGAGCCGTCGGGCTTCGGTACCGTGAAGTACCTTGAGAAAAAGGCTCAATTGTCCAAATGAGATGGAGATTTTTGGATTGCCCCTTTTTGGAGAAGGGTGTCGACTTCTGCCAGTATTGGTGGTGAAGGGTCTGTCCGGACGACACGGCCCGTGGGAAGCAGTTCTTTGAACTGTAAGGCATAACCGTCTTTGACAACTCGTAGCACCCACGCATCTGATGTGATGCTTCGCCACGCATGTATGAACTGGGCGAGGCAGTCTCCGAATTGGGGAAGCGGCCAGTCTGAGATCGTAAGTCCTCTGGGGTGGGTGGAGTCGACAGAAGTAACGGAGATGGAAACGGTATCGTCGAGAAAGGCGTCAAACTCGATGTCTGGAGTTGCCGTTGGCCGGAGGCTGTCGAGATTGAGACCTCTGGTTTTGCTGGGGCCGGCGCTGTTGCTGTTGAGGTTGAGCCTGGGCAGTTGACCCAGGACGTTGAGTATGTCTCGTTGACTGTTGACGATAAGGGTAGTTGCCAAAACGTCGCTGGCGGTAATTGCTCCAGCGTGTTCTCTGGGCCTGTGATGGATTTTCAAAACCACACTTGGTGGCCAGAAGTTTATAGTCTTGGTTAGACTTAAGCTTGTAGTCGGTCCCGGCATTAAAGAGTCCCAAAGCATCGAATGGTAGATCTTCGATGACCTGACAGGAGGATGTAGAAAGGCCCGATGATCGAAGCCAGGAGTGTTGTCGAATGGGCAATCATTTTCCCTGCGGTGTTGCCAGTGTGTTTTGCCATCTGCATCTGATGGTGGGCCAGGGAAGTGGCCTCCTGGGAGAGGGCCGACATGACTACCGGTCTTCCTCCAAGAGCTTTGCAATAAAGGGTTGGGCCTTTTCCCATATGACTTGTTGATAGGCGCCCATGCATGCTCCATAGTTTGCCATTCTAGTAAGGAGTAAGGCTCCGGAGTAGAGTTTCCTCCCCACGGGGTCGAAACGCTTCCCTTCCCGATCTGAAGGGGTGTTCGACTGCCTTCTGGATTGGGCTGCCTTGACCACGACTGAGTTCGGGTCAGGATGATGCTTGAGCCACTCCAAACCTTCGTCATCAGTGCGATACCATGCCTCGATTCTCTTTGAGGTAGGGGGTATTGATGTGGGGGTCTTCCAGAACGCCTGAATTACCTCTAGCAGGTAAGGGAGGAATGGGAGTAACGGAGCCGGAGGGGCTTCGGATTGAACCCTCTTAAAGACTAGATCAGTGACCGCTTTTGAGGTTTGCTTGATTTCCAGACCCAGGGTCTCCGCCATTCTGGCCATTTGGTCGGCAAAGGCTCGAACATTGTCAGTTGGAGGGGGCACATCGGCCTCATAGGCGTCATGGGTTGGAGACCTGCCAAGGGCAAGGGAGATCATGGACTCTGAATGTATAGAGCCCTGAATGTCTTTGTCCTGATCGTCATCCTCCGAAGGGTGAGGAGAGGACGATGGTTGTCTCGATGGGATCTGAAGTGGTCTAGCCACTCCGACCGGAGACGATGGTGGAGGCAGTTGCTTCGATGCTGAAGCCTGGGCTGCCCGTGCCAGCTGCGTGGTCTGTCGTCCTCTTTCCGGTGTAGCTGGAGGGAAGAGTTCTTGCCTCGCTGCCGGAGGAGGGTTCTCGATGACCGACTGCACCGGTGAGGTAGGCGGCCCTTCTTCCATTTGAACATCTGGAACGTCTACCACCGGTCTCGGTTTTTGAGCCAACTGGATGGGGGATGACCGGGTCGAGGAGGTCGGCGACGACATCTGGGTCGGCTGTTTGGAGGAAGACGAAGATGAAGACCGAAGTTGAGGCCTCTTCTTGACCGGGGGTTGTTGGAAAGACTTCCCCGGTGTAGGAGGAATTGCGGGGGGAGGTGCAGGTGATTCTGCAAAGAAACCAAGGCAAACACAGCTTAGCCACATCCCTAGTTCCCACTGTTGAACAGAACCCATTGCTCTTTCTGAATTCTCTGTGCTGCAAATCAACATGTCTTGCTCATTTCATGCTTGGCTTGGTATTTTCGCCACCCTCAATAGATCTTTTTGCGGGTGACCTCTTTCGAACAGACATCTTGCAGACCTCCATCAGTTTTACTCTACTAGCCTCAGGACTTGGAAATGACTTCACTACATTGCACAAGGGATCTCTTTCCTTTCCCGTTGTTCCTCTGAACCTCAGTCTCAATACTTTTGGCTCAAAGAATGCTTGCTCTTGGAAATCTGATTTCTGTGTTTCAACATGCTTTAAGTCTGTATCCGTGGTCATGTTAGTTTTCTTTCCTTTCTGCAGCTGAGCCTCCTTCCCTCTTTCCCTTTGATATTGGGCTGTCAACCCATTTGCTCTCAATTTGTGTCAGGGAATTAAGATATTCCCTTCAGTTCTGAAATAGTCATAAACCAGCTGCCTGATCGCAGTCCAGACAATCATCTTAAACCGTTTAGGGAACATGTGGCTCCCCAGATGTTGATAAATGGCAACTCCCATAATCCTTTTCCATCACCTGTGTAAGCCCAGGCTCATCCAAGTTGCAGTCAGACAACAACTGAAGTGCTATATGTTCCCAAAATCTGATCAAAAGTATGGATTAAAAAGGTATTCAGTTCTGGCCAGTGGACACCCAGTTCCCCACCATTGGTATAAACTGTGGGTCAGATGTCTTGGAAGTATGTGTAGCCAACTTTGTGTATTTCTGCGTCCACCGAACACTCAACAGAACAAGCTTCAGTTGCGAATAAACGGCAGTTGCTAGGATATAGAACAGGCATGGGGAAACTTCGGCCCTTCAGGTATTTTGGACTCCCAACTCCCACCAGTCCTAACAGCCTCAGCCTCGGGTTGCACAAACTCTGGGGATGCCTGCCATAGATCCTCACAACCTCTGAGGATGCTTGCCATAGATTCAGGCGAAACGTCAGGAGAAAATGCTTCTCAAACATGGCCAAAAAACTTACAGCAACCGATGTTCCCTCAGTTGGCTTCTAACACTTCCTTAGGCGATCCTTCGTAGCTCAAGGATGATTATCTTAAAGATGTGGAGTCTTGGTGGTGGGTCTGTAGGTGGCTGTGGAGCCCTATTCTTGATCTGCATATTCTCCCACAGTGAGGACATCGGTTTCCAGATGGAAGGCGGTCCCAGTCAGGGTTGGCTTGACATACCTTCCTCTTGGCACTTTTCTCCCTTTCGCCCTCCATTCGTGCCTCTTCAAATTCTGCAGCACTGCTGGTTGCAGCTGACCTCCAATTAGAGTGCTCAAGGGTCAGGGCTTTCCAGTTCTTGATGTCTATGCCACAGTTTTTAAGGTTGGCTTTAAGCCCATCTTTAAATCTTTTCCTGCCCACCAACATTACGTTTCCCATTCTTGAGTTTGGAGTAGAGTGAGTGCTTTGGGAGACGGTGGTTGGGCATTCGGACAACGTGGCCAGACAAGCAGAATTGATTGCGGAAGAGCATCGCTTCAATGCTGGTGGTCTTTGCTTGTTCCAGCACCCTGACATTCGTCCGCCTGTCTTCCCAAGAGATTTGCAGGATTTTTCAGAGGCAGCACTGATGGAATTATTCCAGGAGTTATGTGTGACGTCTGTAGACAGTCCACGTTTTGCAGGCGTATAGCCGGGTTGGGAGGACAGTGGCTTTATAAACATGCACCTTAGTCTCCCTATGGATGTCCCGGTCCTCAAACACCCTCTGCTTCTGCTTCTAACAAAGATCTGTTCAAAACAGGTGCTTTTTTGTCTTGTTTCTCATGCCCAAAGAAATAGGGGAAGCGAGGACAGGCCCCATAGGCTAAACACTGACAAAGCTCATTCACAACAGTCTTCAGTTGGCCAGCAATTTTTTAAAAAACAAGCCAAGGTCCAGTAATGACCGGGCTCAAACCTCCTGTATATCTTCAGACTTTTCTTTTCACCTTGCATTTTTATGACTTTTTTCTACTTGCTGTTTAAACATGTGTCGGTCCCTGTGAAATTCAAATTGTGTGTTTTTCTGCAGGTAAGGGAAGATGAAATCAAAGTTGTGGCATTCAAGAAAGGAAACTGCGATGAAATCAATATCGACAAGGTACTGCATTACTTTTCCTGCATTGAAATTTTATTACCGTGGCCAGTTTGGATGCAGTGTTTGTTTATCTACAGCTGTTGTCGAAGGCTTTCATGGCTGGAATCACTGGGTTGCTGTGAGTTTTCTGGTCTGTATGGCCGTGTTTCAGAAGCATTCTCTCCTGATGTTTTGCCCACATCTATGGCAGGCATCCTCAGAGCTTGTGAGGGCTATTAGAAACTAGGCAAGTGGGGTTTATATATTAGAATAATGTTCAGGGTGGGAGAAAGAACTCTTGTCTCCTTGAGGCAAGTCTGAATGTTGTCGTTGGTCAGCTTGATAAGCATCGAATGGCCTTGCAGCTTCAAAGCTTGGCTGCTTCCTGCCTGGGGGAATCACTTGTTTGAGAGGTGTTAACTGGCCCTGATTGTTTCTTGTCTGGAATGCCCCTGTTTTTTTAGCATTGCTCTTAAATTTACTGTCCTGATTTTAGAGTTTTTTTTTAATAGTGGTAGCTACCCAGGACATTAGTCCACAAATATTTGAATCCAACTTGCCTAGTTTCCAACAGACTTCACAGCCTCTGAAGGTGCCTGCCATGGATGTTGGTGAAACATCAGGAAAGAATGCTTCTGGAACATGGCCATGCAGCCTAGAAAACTCACAGCAACTGAGTTTATTTATCTCTTTATTTTTGGCCCCCCTATGCTTTCAGTGAGCTTAAAAAAGGATAAGAAGGGATGTTTCTTCTCTATTTATTCTCAGAACAACTTGGTGACGTAGTCCTTGCTGAGAAGGTTTGTCTGGCCTTCCAGTGAGGTTTACAGCCCATTGAGTGCTCAGGAAGCAGAAATAAGTTACAGCCAAGATCCTGGACTGGGAAACGTATTGCACTGGGATAATTCCAATCCAACCCTCCTCCAAACCCACCTTTTCTGGAAGCCCCACCAACGCAGCCCTTTCCTGTCTGATGGAAAGCAGGATGTGTGGTAGAGAAGCATCCTGCGATCCACAGCAGTGACATCACCTGCAAGGACCTCCAGGAAAATAGCTACACACTGTGGTCCCCCTCCCCCTCCTTTATACTAGTTTATTTATGTATTGTGTCAGAAGCAAATTGAGAATACAGTTATAATGTATAGAAAAACCACAAAGCTAAATACTTGGTATTATGCTCAATTTCTTTTGACCAGAAGCTGGCCACTTGGAGTGCCTCTGCTGTCACTGTGAGAAGGTCCTCCATTGTGCATGTGGCAGGACTCCGATTGCATTGCAGTAGGTGGTCTGTGGTTTGCTCTTCTCCACACTCGCATGTTTATTGAGTGTGTAGCACAAATCCTATGTAAAATCATATTACGTATTTTTGACATTAATATTGAAATCTGAAATATATACAGAAATAAATACAGAAAGCCCAGTTTCTTAAAGTTTGCTCTGCACCGCGTGGTGCCAGAGCGCAGTCTGTTCAGCGCCTTTCAAGTCGCCCAGTGTTCTGTGTGCCCAGGAAGGAGTTTCCATTTGGTCTGAGCCACTGATTGAGGTTCCAGGTTTTAGCCTGCCACTTTTGGGACTCTCTCTTGCAGAGGTGTTCCTGTTAGCATCTCTGTAGATCTTAGGAAGCTGTTTCTTGACTTCCAAAAGTTTCCAACAGAGCTGTGCCTTGCTAGCTGCCTTCCTCGCACTCAATGACCATGTTTTTCTTTCTCTGCACCAGTCAAGGAGGCAGGCTCTCCAAGAAGAGATTGACCAGGCGTCTGGCAAAACAAAAGCCATCCAAGAGGAGGGGGAATGGGTGAGTGCCAGTCTGCAATGGCCTGGTCAGATAGGATTATGCAGCCATTTGCTGTTGTCAGTTCAATATGCTGGTCATGTCCAGGGCTTGGGCTTGGGTCACTTGTCTGATTGGGAGTTTAAAGTCATGCTATAGAATCAATTAGCCCAGTCCCTAAAGATGCTGAAGACAGGCCAGTAAACACCAACCTCTAGTGAGCTGTAATGACTGTCATTATTCTTGAAGGGTATCATTTTCCCTTCATTCCCTTTGGCGAGTTGAAAGATTTGGGGGAATGAATGAAGCAATTTCAGCAACCATGACTCTCTTTACTTATTGATAAACACTTCCAAATTCCTGTTTCCCTGCTCCAACTTCAACCCCCCCCCCCCCAAAATATTGACATAAATGAGTAGGAAATGAATTGCCACACTTATAAATAACAAGATTCAGGTTTGGGGTGGGAAGTTCTCACAAATTTCCTCTCCTTTTGTAAATCCCTGAAAGTGCTTTGTATTGGCCAATGTCTCTTTGACTCTGGAGCTATTTGACAAGTGACAGGAAATCCCAGCATCTCAATTTTGCAGTGTTGTGTTGCGTGAAGCACATTCTCGTCTTTGGTTCTTCCTTTAGGAGAGCCGTTTTGGCCAGTGGAGTACCGCAGCGTTTGGGAGTTCAGAGCGGAAAGACAAGTTCCTGAGGCTCCTGGGAGGGTTTAAGAAGAGTTCTTCTGCATCGGTGGCACAAAGTCCTTCCGCCCACGCGCCAAAACCAAACATGGCTTTTGACTGGAAGAAGGAACAAAGCCTCCAGCAAGACCTGCAAACTGAGTTTGAGATGGCTGTAAATCGGAAACACCACAGAAACATCGGCCTTGGATTTCAGCCTGCTGCACGGAAACATATGCAGATAGATAAATATGCTTCAAAATCTATCAAATTTGAAGACTGAACTATTTGGGAAGGAAAGACATGATTCCCAAGACTGATGGGTTTTCTTGGCCATATGGTATCAATGTGTCACAATGTGCCTTTTTGGGCAGCCCAGACACAAGGATCGGAACTGTCTTGTGCTTTTGTCCCAAACGCTAACAATGTCATAGTTTTTCTGTTTTGGAAAATATAGATCTTACCTTGTTTTCTCATGTGAGTAACATTTAAATCTGATAAAGTCTATATATGTGTCTATATGGGCAGAAGCCTTATTTGAATACAACTGCCTTTCCTCAGGTGAACACAGCCCAAAAGGCCAGGAAGTGGGTGGTTTGCTTTTAACTCTCTGTCCTTTCTTTGTTCCTTTGCCATTGTACGTTAGTGGCTTCAAGAATGGCGTGTTTGTACGTCAGTCCTAATAGAGTGACTATAGCAAAAAGTTCTCACTTTCCAAGAGACCAGAATTAATGGCTCTGACAACCCAGAAGCAGCATATACCACAACATAATATGCTTTAAGTTCTAGAAATACTATGTAGAAGACGTAGTGGAATGTCATCTCATTTGCAGACTCCTGATGTATCTGTTATCCAAGAGATAAATTACCAAATGCAGTTTGTCCAGCACTGGTATAGGTCCTAGTTCTCAGTGTCTATGTGGCATAGACACCGAGAACTGGGATGCCTGGCCCCTTGAGCGCTCTAACTGGAGATCAGCTGTGACCAGCAGTCCTGCAGAATTTGAAGAGGCACGAATGGAGGGCAAAAGGGAGAAACGTGCCAAGAGGAAGGCAAGTCAAGCCCACCCTGACCGGGACCCCCTTCCATCTGGAAGCTGATGTCCTCACTGCGAGAGAACATGCGGATCAAGAATTGGGCTCCACAGCTACCTACAGACCCACTGCCAAGACACCACATCTGAAAGACCATCATCCTTGAGCTACGAGGGATCGCCTAAGTAAGTAGGTCCCAGGGCATATGGCACAAAGTTTTGGTGTAGTTGTCATTGAGAGACTGAATAAAAGGTTATGTGGCTATACTTTGTAAATAACCATCAGTTCAGGTTTGAATGGCCGCTTTGAATGTTTCAGGAATCCACACATTAAACTTCAGAAGCCTAAACTCATATGATGTTATTGCTTTCCTTTCTGGTGCAGCAACAATGCTTTAAGCAAGAGAGCATGCCCTGGGGATTGTTGACACATTGGGGGATTTACTGCGAAGGTCAAGGATATGTCCAGTGTTCATGTCTTTCAATGATTTAGAACTGTATTTGTCAATATTCATCTGTCCATGTTTTAGGTTTTATGTTAAGTCCTTTGCAGCAAATGATCTTTTGGTTCTATAACTAAACCTATGTCATTGTGTACATTACCAGTGCTGAAGTATTAACATACACAATGTTCTGTATTTTAAGGTGGTGTCACCTTTTCTCAAAGGATTCTGTTACCTAGTACTTTAAAAGAATACGAAAAAGCAAAAGTTGCTCATGGAACTTATAATCAAAAGATAAAAGCGGAGTGAGTTATCATAAGAAGTGTCCCTAATGATTACAAAATAGCCAGCTAAGCACTACTTGAGAAAGATCCTTAAAAGGAATGAATTTGCCCAATGGCTTGGTTAGAATATTATTGAACATCACACTCAAAAATGCTCTTCGCACCCAGATGCTTTCAAATACTTTTCAAAGATCAATCACAAATTGTAGGGATTTTCCCATTTATTTTCTTTGCAATCAACAAAGAGCAATGTGTTTGAAAAAGTACATTTGTGTTGGAATTCAGAGAAAAACCTTACAGCTACCTATTACTGGACAAGCTTATTTCTCAAAGGCAACCCTATGGGAAGGCCATTGATCAGCAATGTGCCGACTCAAGGTATAACTATTTTTCTTTGCAGCCCCATTGGATTTATATCCAATTATTTCCATCCTGAAATGGCATGATACCATTTGACCCACCCAATGTGAGCATTTCAGAGGGAAACAAAAATTCATTTCAAAAAAGATTGCAAGGCAGAAGAATTCCTCATCTGCTTCTGCCCAAATACATCTGTCACGCTGAGGGACACTTAGAAAGGAAAAGGATATTGGGCGGCAATAACAGCTTCAAATGCATCTTGAATGTTATAGGCCTTAGAGAAGGGCCTTGTAGTCTATCTGACTCTGGCAGAGCAGTATTCATCAGGTCCTCGACTGCAGAGGGAGGCGCAGGGCAAGCTCTGTGAAATGTCTCAACTCAGGGCGTTTGCTTTGCCTCTTGATGTGCTCTAAGGTTCTGACCTAGAAAAGGGGGGAAGAAAACAAGAACACTTTGGAAATTGGTTCTATTTCTCCAAAAGGAGGGAAAGTTCGCTATTTGTTTATTCAGCAGTTGCCATGCCCATTTCCAAACCCAAGGAGTTGCAGAAGAACGCACCAAATTTATTTCATTTTACCAGTGGAAAAAGTATTACACATGTGAAGCACAGCCTTCATTTTGGAAAGAGCATATTTCATATAGATCGCCAAGACAGGCCTGCAGGGGTGGAGAACATATGGCCCTCCCATCTGACTTATCCTTCACAACCAATATTGAAGTAGCATGGCGGCAGCTGCAATCTGGGAGCCCCCAGTGGCACACTGGGTCAAACCCTTGTACTTACAACACAATAGCCCACTTGTACACAGAAAGAAAAATAAACCAATTCAGCCACTAATGTGACTGGTGAAACTTATTATACAGTTCCAAATCAGCATTCACAAAACAATATTATTTGCGTTTGGTACAGTCACTCAAAAAAGTATCAACGCTGTATGTTCTTGCGTCGAGTTGAACTTAAATCCGTAATCCACGACCGGTTTTGGCCTCACTCCAGGCCTTCCTCTGGTGGACTAAAATTATATATATATCAATATTTACTACAAATAAATTCAGAGACTATCATGTACATAATCTAAAAAAAAGGTAAAGGTAAAGGTAGTCCCCTGACATTAAGTCCAGTCATGTCTGACTCTGGGGTGTGGTGCTCATCTCCATTTCTAAGCCGAAGAGCCAGCGTTATCCGTAGACACCTCCAAGGTCATGTGGCTGGCATGACTGCATGGAGCGCCGTTACCTTCCCGCCGGAGCGGTACCTATTGATCTACTCACATTTGCATGTTTTCGAACTGCTAGGTTGGCAGAAGCTAGGGCTGACAGCGGAAGCTCACGCCGCTCCCGGGAATCGAACCTGCGACCTTTCTGATCAACAAGCTCAGCAGCTCAGTGCTTTAACCCACTGCGCCACCGGGGGCCCCACATATAAAGGTACATATAAGAATAGTAACAGAGTTATGAATTTGATATTTATCATATACATCAAGGTTTGTTGTAAATGTCAAACCCCTGTACTGACAGGATTGCTGACCAATAGGTCAGCAGTTTGAATCTGGGGAGAGTGGGTTGAGCTCCCTTTGTCAGTTCCAGCTCCCCATGCGGAGACATGAGAGAAGCGTCCCACAAGGATGGTAAAACATCAAACCATCCGGGTGACCCCTGGGCAATGTCCTTGCAGACAGCCAATTTTCTCACACCAGAAGCGACTTGCAGTTTCTCAAGTCGCTCCTGACACACACAAAAAGAAAAGTTGCAATCCAAAACTCTCTGGAGGCTCACGTCTTCCTGCTGTAGTTATAAGACAATTGTATGGACAGGAGGAAGGGTCTGGCTTCCTTGGTTACAGATTTACCAGGGAGTCTTGGTTTGGGGAAGGAAACAAGTAGGAGCAACAAGACAGAGAGGCTTATCAAGTCAAGAGAACGGTATTTAGCTAAGACTTTTTACATTAAAACTTCTAGCTGGGTCATACTAAATGAAGGCCAACCAGCCAAGGCCTCTGCTTTCAGCCAAGGCTTTTGGGAAGCCCCAAAACTGGGAATAAGGGACAGACCTGCCCTCACCAACTGAGAGCTCTTCAAGCAATGGATATCCAGTGGCCTGTGACACCTGAACACAAGAATCCCCTACAGCTAAAGATCTAAAGATCCAAAGGCACCAACCACCAGCACACTTTGGCCCTCAGATATTTTTTTGAACACTAATAATACACTTTATTTATATTCCGCTTTATCTCCCTGGAGGGACTCAAAGCAGATTACAGTATACACATATAAGGCAAACATTCAATGCCTTTTACACAGTGAACAAATGGCATATAACACACAGACAGGTAAAGGCCCTCCCCTTCCATATCCACGGTCTGGAGGCGATGCTCAACTCTGGCCATGGGGAGATGCTCTTGTTCCATGTTTCCATGCCGAGGAGCCTGTTGTCCATAAACATCTCCGATCGAGTTGCCGGCATGTCAGCATGGGCCACCCTTTTACCTTCCTGCTGGGGCAGTACCTGTTGATCTACTTGCATTACATGCTTTCGAACTGCTAGGTTGGCAGAAGCTAGGGCTGACAGCCAGGAGTTCACCCCGACTCACATCTTCGAACTGCTAAGCCTCTGGTCAGCGGATTTTCTGCAGCTAGCAGTTTAGCCCACCGTTCTACTGATAACCTCCCATTCTGGCTGGGCTTTGGGGAGTCTCAGATATATCTGGAGAAGCAAAGATTGCCCTTGGATGAAGAAATCTTCTCTCTTGCTATCTTCCACGGCAAGTTTATAGGGCAAGCTTGAGTCCCAGATTTATGCAGAAAGGAGTGGGAGGAGCCTGGTGTTAGTGCAATGTTAATATTGAGAGGAAACGGGGGGGGGGGGGGGGGGGGGGGGGGTTCTGATTCAAAGCCAATATGCAATTGATTGTTCTTATGCAAAATCTAAAACCCTAGAGGTAAATATCTATACAGATAGGGACAAAGTTCATGCCACTAAATGAAGTCAGCTACAGTGAGAAGTGGAATGTAGTAAAGGTAAAGGTTTTCCCCTGACATTAAGTCCAGTCGTATCCGACTTTGGGGGTTGGTGCTCATCTTCATTTCTAAGCCAAAGAGCTGCCGTTGTCCGTAGACACCTCCAAGGTCATATGGCAAGCATGACTACATGGAGTGGAATGACATTCATGGATATATCCTTTCATTTCCTGTTAACCTGAAATGCTGATGGTGCCTGTCCTCTTGCCTTACCATGGTTTTTGTGTCAGCAAAGCCGTGCTTCTGAGCCAGATTCCACAAGTTAACAGCAAGCTGGTTGAGTTTGTTGTTGCGCAGATCTCCATGGGCCACGATGCTGCTGAAAAAGTAGAGGGCCAGCTGGCTCTGACGCTTTAAAGTCTACGAAATGAGTAAAAAAGGCGGGGATTAAATAGTATGCAGCTAGGAAGACCACATCAAGATGGGACAGGGGTCTTCCTTGACTACATCATTTTCATTGCTACTCTGAACCCTTTCACTCAATCCTTTTCCTGTGGTGTTTCACAGCTTATTTATAGTATCAGCCTGGGGACAAGGACTGCCAAATTGACCACTTGCAAGCCTTTTTGGTGACAGAGCAGACTATAAAATGGTTAAATGGAGGGAAAATTAAGTGCCGTTTCAGTTCGTTGCTTTCCCTCTCCATGCCTTTGTTCTTTGACACACAGCAATAACAAGGAATTGAGGATAATACCATCCATCTGATGGAAATGGTTTCTTGTCCATGGAACATGCCGTGTCCAGATTTTGTTTGACAAGACACCTGCAACCACTCCGTCTGATGGAGGCCCAGAGCATATATATTTGCCTGCAGACAGTCCCAGGTTCTGTTCCTGGCATTTCTAGTTCTAAGAGCCTCCAAATGGATAGGAAAGAGCTATTGCCTAGCCATTGCAGGTGACACTGACTTGGATGAAATGAGCCCTTCCCATCTCTCACCTCATCTTTTCCTAGGGTTTTCAAATGCTCCAGGATCTGGGATATCACCGTTTCACACAGCTTATTCGTTTCTGCCAGGAATTTGGTATCTCCGCCATACAAAGTATCGTTGGATTCAACTAAGAAAACAGGAAGCTTTAGATTAAAAGTAAGGAAAGTGTCCCAAAAAGAATGTTAAAAATGAGGCAACAATGTGATGTGGCAGTTTAAAAAGCCAATGAGATTTTGGCCTGCATCAATAGGAGTCTAGTGCCTAGATCCAGGGAACTCATGCTACCTCTCTATTCTGCCCTGGTCACACCTGGAATCACATTGTGTCCAATACGGGCACCACAATTGAAGGGAGATGTTGACTCTAAGCTGGAATGTGTCCAGAGGAAGGCGACTCAAATGATGAAGGGTCTGGAGAACAAGCCCTACGAGGAGCAGCTTAAAGAGCTGGGCATATCTCACCCGCAGAATAGAAGGCTGAAACAAGACATGATGAGGGCTATGTATCAAAATATGAGGGGAAGTCATACAGAGGAGGGAGCAAGCTTGTTTTCTGCTGCCTTGGAGCCTAGGATGCAAGACAATGGGTATTGTAGTAACTGTTTATTAATTGTGTAATGTGTTAGGTTGTTAACTGTTTTTATACTGTAGCACTGATTTTTTGCTGTTCGTATTTATTGTGAACCGCTGTGAGTCGCCTTCAGGCTGAGAACAGCGGTATATAAGTAAGGTAAATAAATAAATAAATAAATAAATGGCTTCAAACTACAGGAAAGGAAACTCCACCTGAATACTAGGAAAAACTTACTAATGGTGAGAGTGGTTCAGCATTGGAACTCTTCCTCTGCCCTGAAGTGTGGTGGAGGCTCCTTCTTTGGAGCTTTTAAACAGAGAGTGGATGGCCATCTTTCGGGGGTGCTTTGAATGCGATTTTCCTGCTTCTTGGAGGAATGGGGTTGGACTGGATAGCCCATGAGGTCTCTTCCAACTCTATTATTCTATGAATTTTTAACTAACTAAGAAGGTAGGATATGTGTGGAGAAAAGAAGAGATGGGTTGGGTGTGGGGAGCAGAATTAACCTAAGGAAGACATAGGTGAGGTATAATACAAGTGATGACAGACAGCTAGACCTCAGTAGACAGCAGTGGGACAAACAAGGCAAAAACTGATTTAAGGCACATCCAGCATAGATATAGGTTCACGTGTATAGTAACTCAAACCCAAGTTCATAGTAATCTTGAAGCAGCCATTTTCTCTATTAGCTTGACTTATCCCACCATGTCATTGTTCTGAGACTTTTCCATTGAAGAAAAGATGGAATACAAGTATTGCAAGCAAGTGCTGAACAAACAGCTAAGTCAGTGGTTCTCAACCTGGGGGTTGTGACCCCTAGAGGGGTCGACCGGCAGTTTGAGAGGGTTTGCTCTGCCACCTCCTTTGGCCCTGCCTCCTCCACCTCCCCGGAATAGCTGCCAGGCTCTCTCTGTCAACCAAACAGCCAGCCAGCATCCACACTCATGCTGCTTTGTCTCCTTCTCTATCTTTCCTCCTCCAGGTCAGCACGGAGGGGCTCCTCCTCCTCCTCTTTCCTTCTTACTTCCTCACTTTCTCTTTCTCTTGTGACCCTCTCTCCTATCTTCTTTCTCTCTCCCTCCCTTATGCCGCCTCTCTTTCTCTCTAAAGAAGAGACCTTCTCATCCACATGCCTGTTCAAGTCTTTGCAAATTCATTCCTCCTCTTAAGCATATATAGGCAGTCCCCAAGTTACAAACAAGATAGGTTCTGTAAAGTTGTTCTTAAGTTAAATTTGCATATAAGCCAGAATAGGTACATTTCTTAAGTAAAATTCGAGCCATACAGACACACAAACACACTACTACTACTACTACTACTACTAATAATAATAATAATCTTTAATTGTATACCACTCTATCTCTCTGAAGGGACTCAAGGTGGTTTCCAACATATAAGGCAAACATTGAATTTCCAAAAAGAAAACCATACTGTCGAATTACATCAAGACAAGAACATTAGACAATATAAAACAACCTAATTTAACTTAATGAACAAAATAGCAATAAAAAAATAAAAGCATCATAAAATACAAAAATCTTGCTAAACCAATTGCATTGTATACACACACATATATGCATATACGAGCTGAATAGCATACGCAAGGGTTAAAGCCCCTGTGGTGTTTCTTTTGCTGTCTGTGCCCCTGTTCAGAAGATGTCACCTCACTTTCCGTCCCTTTGAGAACTGGATTTTGCAAAAATTGGAAACAAGGACTGGAGATAAAGCTTCAGTGGAGACGCTTTTCCCCTTGATAACCCTTTCAGGAGTGAACTTCCCTTCTGAAGGATAGATTCCTCTCCCTCCCTGTTGTCTCATCCCCGTTCTTAACTAGGAGTCGTTTGTAACTCAGGGATGGCCTGTAGGGATGGCCATTGTCACACAAATGTGGACAGTCCTAGGAGATGAAGTTATGAAGTAGCAACGAAAATAATTTTATGGTTGGGGGACACCACAACATGAGGAACTGTATTAAAGGGTCACAGCATTAGGAAAGTCGATAACCACTGGGCTAAGTCAGTTGCATTGGTAAGGTGCATGGGAGACCAGCCTCCTGACAAAATTAAGGGACTCTCATAGTTTAACCTTTCTGTTTTACCTTTGTCCACATGGTAAATGTAGGTCTCCTGACTCATTGCTGAAAGGAGGTGCACAACATTGGTATAAATCCGAACTTTGTCGTCACTGTTATCTTCCCAAGTATAGTCCTGGATGACGTTGAGCAGCCCTCGCACAAGGAACAAAACGCCTTGCTCTGGATGGTCCTAGGGAACACAAAGAGGCCGAGCTTCATTATTTCTTGCCTTTTTCTTCCCAATCCCTCCCTTTTCTGGTTTGACTTTAAGGTGATAAACTAATGGGATATTTGTAACCTGCATCAAGAGGCTTTTTCTGCAAAGGACAAGGTTATAATGCAAGACAGATGCTACTTACAGGAATTATTAATAGAGTAGAGAAGAAATTGCAAAGGAATTCAAGGAGAAATGCTTCAGAAGGCCGCATCTTCCCATCGATGTTGATCATTTTTGGTACCTCCGGGACCAGGCTCACTGCTGCTTTGAAGAAGGCATCAGCTATGAAAAGAGCAATTCCTTCATTAACATATGGAACCAGCAGTCAGAAACTATAGCAACATTCTTGATTTTGCACAACATGGCTGGTTTTAGGCAACACTTGGTTGTGCGACACTCTTGCTGTGCAATTGCTGATTTTGTGCAACATTTTTGTGGTTCAACATTTTGTTTTGAAACACTGCTGCTTAGAACACACAAAACAACAATCTTGTACATCTAGTCCTGAAAAGTAGTCCTCTCTATATCAAGAACTGCATTTTTTTTTTCAGGGAAGGCTGCGCAATTTTCTGCATAGTTTTCTGGAGAAGCTGTGCAGTTTTCCATCCCTGTCTGGGGGCAAATTCTGAGTGTATTGTCGAAGGTTTTCATGGGTTGTTTTAGTTTTTTTCGGGCTGTTCATGCCTCACAACCTCTGAGGATGCCTGCCATAGATGCAGGTGAAACGTCAGGAGAGAATGCTTCTGGAACATGGCCATACAGTCCGGAAAACCTACAACCACCCAAATTCTGAGTGTCTCAAAGTTATGGGTCAGAAAACTGCTTCTTTGTTCTCGACCTTTATCTGAGCTTGGAGAAATTGAGATTGAACATTCCTCCACTGAACTACATGGATATATACTACTATCTGTATGAGGGAGCTTCCTATGCTCAGAAAACGGATATTTGCATTTCTCTTTGAGTGTTAAAGTGATCGCATTCTTTCCTGAAGGCGACTGAGACAAGAAAATGTAAGAATTACAATCATATCCGCAATTGTTCTTGTGCTAGAAAGCATGCATGCTCTATGGATGTCTTATAATAAACATATGACATTTTTTTTCACACTGGAAAAAACAATCTGTATCTAATTCCACACAGAAAAATACTTGGGGCTTCTTGGGAGTCCTCGTGGACAACAAGTTAAACATGAGCCAACAATGTCATGTGGTGGCTAAAAAAGCCAATGGGATTTTGGCCTGCATAAATAGGAATATAGTGTCTAGATCCAGGGAAGTCATGCTACCCCTCTATTCTGCCTTGGTCAGAATCACACTTGGAATCACACTGTGTCCAATTCTGGGCCCCACAATTGAAGGGAGATGCTGACAAGCTGGAATGTGTCCAGAGGAGGGCGACTCAAAGGATCAAGGGTCTGGAGAACAAGCCCTATGAGGAGTGGCTTAAAGAGCTGGGCATGTTTAGCCTGCATTTATACATATATAGCCATGTATAAATATGTGAGGGGAAGTCATGGGGAGGAGGGAGCAAGCTTGTTTTCTGCTGCCCTGGAGACTAGGACATGGAACAATGGCCTCAAACTACAGGAAAAGAGATTCCACCTGAACATTAGGAAGAACTTCCTGACTGTGAGAGCAGTGGAACTCTCTGCCCCGGAGTCTGGTGGAGGCTTCTTCTTTGGAGGCTTTTAAGCAGAGGCTGGATGGCCATCTGTCGGGGGTGCTTTGAATGCGATTTTTCTGCTTCTTGGCAGAACGGGGTTGGACTGGATGGCCTACGAGGTCTCTTTCAACAAAGATTCTGATTTGGAAGAAAGTTCAATTGCAAGATTATAACTTGTGCAAAGCAGCTCCTTTACTCAAATGTGAGATGTAGTCAGGAAAAACTGAAATACATGGGAAGTCAGCATTGGGTTCCATCAACCTGAGAAGAGGGCAGGAGTGGAACCAATTGCTGGTTGCAATAAACGGCCAGTGATGCTTTCACGGGCTTCAAAGAAGACTGCAGTGTCTATTGCTAAGTAGATGCCTCACTGTGTTTCCTTTTTTAGAGCATGTCTACCTTCCATCTATGCTATAAATCCTTCTCCCCAAGCCCACATTCCCCCTTTGAGGCATGTGTAAGCTTCAGGCAAGGAATCCAATGGCTTGCTCCAACAGGCAAGGTATTTCCCTACAAAAGTATGGCCTACGTGAGTTCTGCATTGTAGTCTGCCCTTGAAGCACCAGGGTTCCAGCAAGGGCTCAGATTTCAAGCAAGAGCATAGCATAAGAATCCTTTTTTTTTAAAAAAAGACAACTTGCGCCTTGCTTTCTGTTCCTTGTATTTATAGCATTTTTATCTTGATAGACACTCATTTTCTGCCCAAAACAATCCTGTGATGTATGTTCAGCTAAGAGAAGGAGAGCTGGTTCGGATTTTAAAAATCATGGTTTTCTAGCTAGGAGTAGTGAGTAGTAGAACGAAAACAAAGATATGCTGACTGTGGAAGCTATTGAGGTATCTCCCTTCTAATCTCTGCTGGGAAAATCATGGATATCTTATTACCCCAACTTTATTTTCCATCTTCATTGCTATAATACTTCATCTTGTTGATTCCCACTGGAGTGGAAATCATCTATTGGACAGATGCCAAGCTATTTAACCTCAGCAGACTGAAACCCAAAACCAAAGTCACAACAACACCTGTGATGGAACTCCAATATGCCGATGATAACGTAGTCTGTGCGCATTCAGAAAAAGACCTACAAGCCACTCTAAACACTTTTGCAGAAGCTCGGCATCTCATTGAACATTGAGAAAACCAAAGTGCTCTTCCAGCAGTCACTAGCCAATCCCTCTCCAATGCCAGAAATATAGCTTAATGGTGTAACATTAGAAAATGTTGAGCATTTCCGTTACTTTGGCAGCCACCTCTCCACAAAAGTCAACATTGACACTGAAATACAACACCGCCTGAGCTCTGCGAGTGCAGCATTTTTCCGAAGAAAGCAGAAAGTGTTTGAAGATCGGAACATCCATAGGGATATCAATTTATAAAGCTATTGTCCTCCCAACCCTGCTATACGCCTGCAAAACATGGTCTGTCTACAGGTGTCACACTCAACTCCTGGAATGATTCCATCAGTGTTGCCTCTGAAAAGTCCTGCAAATCTCTTGGGAAGACAGGCAAACAAGTGTTTGCATGCTGGAAGAAGCAAAGACCACCCGCACTGAAGCAATGCTTGTATGCTGGACTGGCCACATCCAAATGTTCAAAGATCACAGTCTCCCAAAGCAATTACTATACTCCCAACTCAAGAACGGAGTGTTGGTGGACAGGAAAAGAGATTTAAAGATGGGCTTAAAGCTAACTTTAAAAACTGTGGCATAGACACCGAGAGGGAACTGGGAAGCACTGGCCTTTGAGTGCTCTAACTGGAGGTCAGCTGTGACCAGCAGTGCTGCAGAATTCAAAGAGACATGAACGGAGGGCGAAAGGGAGAAACGTGCCAAGAGGAAGGCGCATCAAGCCAACCCCGACTGGGACCACCTTCCACCTGGAAACCGATGCCCTCACTGTGGGAGAAGATGCAGATCAAGAATAGGGCACCACGGTCACATACGTATCCACCACCAAGACACTTGTTAGAACATCATACTTGACAACAAGGGACTGCCTAAGTAAGTGAGTATGCTGATTTAATTAAAAGTCTTGCATAGTCTAATATTCTGTCAAGACAGTAGTAGCCACTGGCAATGGGAAGCCCACAAGGGAGACCTCAGCACAGCCGCATCCTCTTGCTCAAATCATCACAATTGATGCCCTCTCCTCCCCTAATGCATTTATTTCCATTTTAAAATAGTCCAAATTCTGTCACCACCACTTCTTGCAGCAGCGATCCCTTACAGGTTCTCATATCGGCAAAACTGGAATGACCCCAATACTTTTTGTTTTCGTTCAAAAGTGCGCCAGGCTCCAACAAAGCCACCCAAGACGTCTGAAATGAAATTGATAACGGATTTCTTGCAAACATAAAAATGTCTCATCGTGACCCTTTCCAGGTTGTAAGGCATTCAGATCTAAAGCTGAAATTCAGTTTTTGAAGAAGCAGAAAATATTTATGATGACAGAAAACATCTGAAGCGGAGGGGGCCCTTTGTTCCTCTAAAACAGGCCTGAAAACTAGGTCACTGGGAAAACAAGACTGCCGTCTTGCAGCACCATCAGATTAAGGACGGCGGAATATTAGAAATATTAAAACAGCTATCGCACTGTGAACTTCTGAACTCTGGGTCTAAAATCGGTCCACAATCTTAGGAAAACCAATCCCACCCCAGACAGCAATTTCCATTTTGATCAGTCCCTTGGTGGAATGAGTCATACGTAAACTCCCAGATTAGTTGGATAGCTTCATGTGGCATAATACCCAAGCAAAGATTTCACAGCTGAGAAAGTCAAAACATCAGGGCAGTCCAATGCTGTTTCATAAGCCTGTGGCTCAAATGGAGGATATTTTTAAAGAGCTGCACAATTAACAAGCAGAAAGGGCTGGGTTAGCACAGCGGTTTAAACCGCCTGCAATAGATCCTGCCGACCAGAAGGTTGGCAGTCCAAGCCCGGGTCAGGATGATCTCCCACAATCAGCCCAGCTTCTGCTCACCTAGCAGTTCAAAAACAACAATGTAAGTAGATAAATAGGTACCACTTTGGCGGGGAAGTAAAAGGCATCCTGAAAAACATGCCTGCAAAAATCCGACCAAGAAACGAGTCCATGGACGACAGGCGCCTTGGTGTGGAAAATGAAACAACAGCACTTCCCCGTGGCCGAGTTGAGCACAGCTGGATGCCGGACATGAAAAGAGGGAAGCCTTGCCTCCAAAAAATCGGGTTCCCTGACAAATTTGTGAACATCCTGCGGCTCCTCCATGTTGATATGATGAGAACAGTCTTGGACAGCAATGGCTCCCAAAGTGATCCATTTAAGGTGGAATCAGATGTCAAACAAGAATGTGTTATTGTCCCAACCATATTTTCCATCTTCATTACTATGATACTTCATATTGTTGACAGGAAGCCTCCCACCAGAGTGGAAATCATCTATCAGACAGATGGCAAGCTATTCAACCTCAGCAGACTGAAAGCCAAAACCAAGGTCACCACAACATCTGTTATAGAACTCCAATATGCTGATGACAATGTCGTCTGTGCGCATTCAGAAGAAGACCTACAAGCCACTCTAAAGACCTTTGCAGAAGCCGAAGCATACAAGAAGCTCGGCCTCTCATTGAACATCAAGAAAACCAAAGTGCTCTTCCAGCAGTCACTAGCCAATCCCTCTCCAATGTCAGAAATACAGCTTTGAAATGTTGACCATTTCCGCTACCTTGGCAGCCACCTCTCCACAAAAGTCAACATTGACACTGAAATACAACACCGCCTGAGCTCTGCAAGTGCAGCATTTTTCTGAATGAAGCAGAGAGTGTTTGAGGACCAGGACACCCGTAGGGAGACCAAGGTGCATGTTTATAAAGCCATTGTCCTCCCAACCCTGCTATAAGCCTGAGAAACGTGGACTCTCTACAGACGTCATACGCAACTCCTGGAACAATTCCATCAGCGCTATGTCCGAAAAATCCTGCAAATCTCTTGGAAAGACAGGTGGACAAATGTCAGCATGTTGGAAGAAGCAAAGACCACCAGCATTGAAGCAATGCTCCTACGCTATCAACTCTGCTGGCCTGGCCACATTGTCCAAATGCCTGATCAACGTCTCCCAAAGCAGTTACTCTACTCTCAACTCATGAACGGAAAACTGAATGTTGGGAGGACAGGAAAAGAGATTTAAAAATGGGCTTAAAGCCAAGCTCAAAAACGGTCGCGTAGACACCGAGAACTGGAAAGCCCTGGCCCTTGAGCGCTCTAAGTGGAGGTCAGCTGTGGCCAGCAGTGCTGCAGAATTTGAAGAGGCACGAATCAAGGGCGAATGGGAGAAACGTGCCAAGAGGAACACATGTCAAGCCAACCCTGACCGGGACCCCCTTCCATCTGGAAACCGATGTCTGAAAAACATGCTGATCAAGAATAGGGCTCCACAGCCACCTATGGACCCACCGCCAAGACACCACATCTGGAAGACAATCATCCTTGAGCTACGAGGGATTTTCTAAGTAAGTAAGTAAGTAAGTAAGTAAGTAAGTAAAGACCTATTGTTCCCCTTGGCAATACTGCTCTATGAAATGATCAATAGCAACTTAATTGTTCAAGGAAGTCATTAGAACAAAAAAAAAAAGATCATTTGGAGGGAGGGAAACAACAATGAATGAGACTGACAAATCATAGCATAGAACACAGAAATGACTTCATCCTGCAACCTCTGCTTGGTTTGCCTACAAACAAGCCAAATAAATACAAAATGTACTGCACTGACTTAGCCATTCTATTGTTTTCACAATGTACTTGGGTGGATCAGTCAGCTTTACTTTAAACCCCTCTGCCCTGACAGTGCACACAGCTTCGTCTCTGAACAAAGAAATCAAGCGGCAGCCTTGTAGCAAAAGCCTGAGTCAGCCTCCCTCCGTCAGCTCGTTTACAGTATTTGGGGCTGGAACTTACTAGCAAGTACACAATGCCAGTAACGCTTGTTCTCTCCCAAAAGAGGCAAGATTTAATGCGTTCCATCTCACACAGGTCTGGAATCATCCAAATCAGACATATAGCTGGATGTGTAAATTCCTCAACTGGGGCCTCATTTCTCTCAATGTGATTCTAAGACAGGCATGGGCAAACTTTGGCCCGCCAGATGTTTGGGGGTTCAAACATAATTCCTAACAGCTGGTAAGCTGGCTGGGATTTCTGGGAGTTGAAGTCCAACACACCTGGAGGAGAACCAAAGTTGGCCCATGCCTGTTCTAAGACCAGACTGTTAAGAGTTGCAGTTTATTGCCATCATCATAGGCTATCACGTGTGGCCCATGAGTCTGAATGTCTTCCAAGGGTAGAGTCTTGGAAGTGGGTCCATAAGTGTCTGCAGAGATCTACTCTGGATCCACATGGTCTTAGTATCATAGTGAAGACATACATTTCCAGATGGAAGGCGGTCCCATCAAGGGTTTGCTTGATGCTCCTTCCTCACAGCACATTTATCCCTTTCGCCCTCCATTTGTACCTCTTCAAAATCCATAGCATTCAAAATCCAAAATCCTCACTTACCTCCCTCTGCCCCCATGATTTTATCCTCTTTTATGTACAAAAAACCCACTAATAAAAATCTATATAAATAAAAATGTAGTGTTCGTTTGTGATACCATCAGAACTCAAAAACCACTGGATGAATTGACACCAAATTTGGACACGATACACCTAACAGTCCAATTTATGTCCTCCACTCAAAAAAACCCCCAAAGAAACAGCAGAAACCCCAAAAATCCACACAAGGGAAGAGCTGCCGTTACAGCATTGAGAGCCAAGTGCGTGCGCACGCACAGCCATATAAACGGAACTGGCACAGCAGGCAGCACCGAGCTTCCTCCCTCACGGCAGCATACTTGGGAGCCTATCCCGCACACATGGCCATACACATACACACAACTTTGCCTTCCCCTTGCCCTTGCTTTTTCTTTTAAAGGTGAGGCAAGCAGGTGCAAAAGAGGCATTTTGCCCTGACGGTTGTGCGTGTGAGAGGGGGGGGGGGAAGGAATCTCCCCACAAGGCTTGCAAGCCCTCCTCCTTTCTCCCTTTGGGTAGCTTCCTCTCCTTCTCATTCCTCCTTCTCCTGCCTCTTTCCTTCTCTCCCTCGCTCCTTCCCCTTGAACTTCCCAAGCGATCTCCATGGCGCCATGACCCCTTCCTCTTCACCTTCCTCCTTGCATGGTGTGGCAATGGAGGAAAGAGAGAAAGGAAGAAGGGAGGAAAGAAGGAAGGAAGCATGGGAAAGAGGGGAACACGCCTTGCACAGCCCGGGGGAGTAGAGAGAGAGAGGTAGAGAGAGAGGTAGAGAAGGAGAGAGAGGTAGAGAGAGAGGTAGAGAGAGGAAGAGAGAGAGAGAGAGAGAGAGGTAGAGAGAGAGGTAGAGAAAGGTAGAGAGAGAGAGAGAGAGGTAGAGAGAGAGGGGGGTAGAGAGAGAGAGACGACGTTGTCCATAAACACCTCCAAAGTCATGTGGCCACTGGCATGGAGCGCCCTTACCTTCCTGCCAGAGTGGTACCTATTGCTCTTCTCACCTATTGCTCTACTCTACTCACATTTGCATGTTTTTGAACTGCTATATGAATTGAAAATCATTCTATCTATCTATCTTTTACAACTTGGCAACATACACATGTTGGCAGAGCAACAGTGAGTGCATATGGGTGTGTGGAGTTGTGAAAATATAGTGGAATTAATGCACATGCAAGATCATCCCCACAATAACCCCTCAAGACATGCACTCCAGCAGAGCCACTTATTTCCCGCGTGACTGTGTGTACTTGAGGGGAGAGTTGAGAAAATATAGTAAAATTAACTTCCATGTAGGTATTCTCCACAACTTCCTTTCAACATAGATAGTACCATATTATCCACACCCATATGTGTATGTGTATGCATGTGTGTGTGCATGCACTATATCTCCTCCCAAAGAAAGGAGACAAAGAGACAAAGAGGGAGGGAAGGTTGGCCACAGCAACGCGTGGCAGGTACAGCTAGTTTATTATAAAAACAAATCCATAGCATTGTTGGTCAAAGCTGACCTTTAGACGATCATGGGCCAGAACTTCCCAGTTCTCTCTGTGTGTTTATTCCACATTTTAAAGGTTAGTTTTAAGCCTATTTTTCGATCTCTTTTGCTGTCCACCGACATTTTGTTTTCTGTTCTTTAGCTGAGAATAAAGATGGTGATCAGACATTTGGACAATGGAGCATATGGTCTAGCGAAGATGGCGGAGGATTATGGCTTCGATGTTGATGGTCTTTGCTCCTTCTTCCAGATGCTGACCTTTGTCCGTCTGTCTTCTTCTTCCCAAGAGATTTGCAGGATTTTTCGAAGGCAACACTAATGGAATCTTTCTGATTTTAGGACTAGCGTATAAACTCGGCGTTGCCCAGTTTCATGAGGGCCACTGCTCCCTCCTTTCATGCCTTCTTCCTCTTATGTTCCCCTTATATCTTTCCCCCTTTCTTCCCCTTCCTTCTCTCCCTCTCTTCCCCTTTCCTTCCTTTCCCTACTTTTTCTTTTTTTCCCTTTCCTTTCCCCCTTCTCCAGCCTATTTCATAATGTATTCATGGCAGCATGGCTCTTTCTTGTGGCTCTTCCCTCCCTCCCTCCCTCCCTCCTTCCTTCCCTCCCTCCCTTCTCCTCATACATGTGTCACCTATTCTTTATCAGGATGTTTCCCTTGTGTCATACATAAGTATGCTACATGACTAGCAGACGTCCCAAGTCACTATACAGAACACCCACAACGGGACCATTTCCTTTTTCTTTGCCTTGCAGCTTAAAAGGCTGCTCCCTTAAAATAATAACTTTTTTAAAATGAAGAAACTACCAAATGCTAAGGCTTACCTTGTGAAAGGCATTGGTTTGCCAAAGCCACCTGTCCAGAGTGCAAGTAGAGATTAAGGCGAGAAAAGATGCTTGTCAGCGACGGAATTGTAATGAAGCAGAAGGCAACACAGGCCTAAGGAAAGGAAATTAAGGTTTTCAAACACTGTTCTTCGTATGCCTTAAATCAGAAAATACTATAGCTTTTAAGTGCTGTCACCTGAACTGCCCTTCAGTTCAGGTGACAGCACTTAAAGCTGGGTATAAATAAACATAATAAACATAATAATAATAAACATAATAAACACAATAAACATAATAAACATAATAAACATAATAATAATAATAATAATAATAATAATAATAATAATAATAATAATAATGTTCTTGAAAAAGTGTTAAGGTTGCAGGAGTTATCCACGTACCCTGACGAATGCAGCCGTCTTTCTGGAATGGTTCCCTTTCATCACTTTCCTTGTTTCCATTGCCAGCTGGTTCACACACTGTTTAAAAAGATTGTTACTGATGAGAGCCATTCTGCAACTTAAAAGACTTTATCCAGAATCAATCAACGGGACTAAATCAGCCTAACTGTAAATGACATACATGCTGTTTAACTGTGAATTAGCATAGAGACAGAGAGATTCAGCTATGCAGACAATTGTGCCATCACTGCTGAAGCAGGAACTTTGAAATGGTTGAACAGAAGCTCTCTGAAGCTTTAGGTGCTCTTAATGATTGTTACAGGGAAAACCAGATGATTCCTAATCCATCTAAAATGCAGACGTGTGCTTTTCATCTTAAGAACAGACATGCATCTCGAGCACAGAGATTACCTGAGAAGGATTCCTCCCACTGGCACACTGAAGCACACCAAAATACATGGGAGTCACTCTGGACTGTGCTCTGACTTACAAGAAGCACTGCCTGACTATCTAGCTAAAAGTGGGTGCTAGAAATATTATCATACAAAAGCTGACTGGCACAACCTGGGGATCACAACCAGACACAGTGAAGACATCTGCCTTTGCATTTTGCTACTCTGCTGCTGAATGCGCATGACCAGTGTGGAATACATCTCACCATGTCAAAACAGTGCATGTGGCTCTTAATGAGACATGCCACATTATCACAGGGTGTCTACGCCCAACACCACTGCAGAAATTATACTGTTTAGCTGGTATTGCACCACCAGACATCTATCAGGAAGTAGCAGCCTGTAATGAAAAGACCAAGGCATTGACATCTCCAGCCCATCCTCTGTTTGTATATCAGCCAGCAAGCCAATGCCTTAAATCAAGAAATAGTTTCCTTTGATCTACAGAGATACTCGCAGGAACACCTCAGCAAGTGAGAGTCCAAAAGTGGTAGGCTAAAACCCAGAATCTCAACCAGTGTCTGAGACAGGATGGGAAACTGCCCCCTGAGCACACAGAAGACTGGATGACTTGAAAGGTGCTGAACAGACTGCGCTCTGGCACCACGAAATGCAGAGCCAACCTTAAGAAATGTTGCTACAAAGTGGAGTCCGCAACATGTGAGTGTGGAGAAAATCACAGACCACTGACTACAATGCGGTCTGCGCCCTGACACATGCACAATGGAGGACTTTCTTACAGCAACACCAGAGGCACTCTAAGTGGCCAGGTTCTGGTCAAAGGACATTTAGGATAATGCCAAGTTTTAACTTTGTTTGTGTTATATGTTATAACTGTATTATCAATTTGCTTCTGACACAATAAATAAATAACATAATCCTAAAGAAAAACTCTGCACAAATACTGCTTATTAATTAATTCAGAGAAAGATGCAAAATTATCAAGGAAATAATTCCTTGATAATTCTGTATCAAGGAAATCATTCCGACTGTTTCCAAATGAAGTGCCTTTGGTTTGCTGTCACCAAAATGAAAGTAAACATACCACCAGCAGCGTGTCAAATACTGTTATAAAACACAGTGCACAAAATGCTCATTATCAGCAGTTAAAATGCCTTCAAAATAGACCTTGTAAGGAATGGCAATCTGCAGCAGCAAAAATGATTCAAAGAGTCATTGATGCCCACTTTATTTATACCTCAAGAGATGCTTACATGAATCAGTTGGACAAGAACGGGTTCCAGATTGCAAAACATGGATCTGGCTTCCACATAGAAACTCAGCTGCTGCTCAAAGTCACGACCAAATGAAACCTGGATTAAAAGGGGTCATAAAAGACATTTCTTAGACTCAGATGCATCTGTTAAAAAGAACATCTATCCTAGAAAGCAACCGCTAAATAAAATAATAATAAAAGCAAATAAGGAGAAGATCCAAAGTTTTCCAAGGAAACCAGTTAAAATGAAATCACAGAACAAAATACCAAATACTCACCATTCTTAAAAATCCATTTATCAATGAGGCTAATGTTCGTTTTTCATCTTCTAGCGTCAGGGCACTAGGAAATAGTGTTAATAATTAGGCTATATAGAAGGAAGCCCCACTGAGTTCAATGTTTTTTACTCATAGCTAATTATTAGGCTTGTGCAAAACAATAGGAAGTTTCAGAAATCGTAAGAAAAACAGAAGTTTTGTAAGTCGGAAGCTATATTCAAAGCATTTGCATGGCCCATACCAAATATTTTAAAATCAAAACTTATTTCATACTTTTTCATTTTAGTTTTGTAAATCTTGGAAGGTGCCCAAAGTCAGTTTCATATTCAATGCAAGGCAAGGAAGCAAAGCCAAAGGCTGCCTTAGTGCATTGCCATTTCTCTGTGAAATTAATGCAGTCTTGGCATCAGCAGCAGGCAAAAGAGGGAGCAGTGCATTTTGGGAACAGCACAGAACTCTGGGAAATGTAGTTTGGGAAGGGAGGAGCCCTATGCCAGAGAATTCAAAAGACCTTGCCCTAAATTATATTTCCCAGAATGCATCAGCATCAGAAAGTACCAATCAGGGTAGTGGAGAGGGAAGTCTGTCCTTCCCTAAAACTTTGAAAATTCACCAAAAATTCACTAATCAGTGAAACATTCTGAAATTTGGTGGGCTAACAGTGCATTCTACCATTATAGCAAGTTTCACCCCAATAGTTTTAAAATGAGGGAGATAGGAGCCCCTGAAGTTTCCCCAATTATAGTAATTTAATTATGTGCAATTACTATAACAAAATAGCAACAAAATTTCATTACTTTAGTTATAGTAACGACATTTTCATGAAGTATACTTTAGAAACACTTTAGAAACCAAGTGCCAGAGCCCACCTGCCCGCCACCCTCTGTTTTGTAATAACTTTCAAACCATTTTAATGGATTGCACATCCCTACGAATTAGGCACAGAATTGTTGTCGAAGAAATAAGCCAGACTGAACACACTTGAGTTTATTTCTGGGCTTAACATGTGTAGGACTGAAGTGCAAAAGTAATACATGCATTTATACTGTGAAATACTGGTTCAGAAATACAAACATAGTCATTTGAGATGGGGATATTTGCTGAAAGCCAGAGGTGGGATGAAGTAGGGAGAAATTGCAAGCATTTAATCCGGTTACCAAAGGGAACTGTAATCAAACCAAACATGTTTTGCTGAAAATGGATGCTGTTCAATTACAATTAAGTAACCCAGTTTAATCCTGGGCACGCAAGTCCCCTGTGCATTATTTTGCAATTCCCTGGTGCAGACACCAGATGGGAACAGGGTAATTGTTCTATAATACCAATCAGCTGGAGAATGGATGGAGAGCGCAGAAGAGCAAACCTTCGCCATTACTAACTCATTAATGTTTTACCAACCAAAACAGACATAATTGGAAGCTGATGGATGGTTTGGAACATGTGTGACCCATGCTGTGGGTCTCCAATCAAGATGGCTAATTCAAAGATCTATGTATGTAGTAAAAGTATATGTGAATCTATGTATCTATTTATGTTTGAATGTATTTTCCAAGACGGTTCCCACATTTAGAGAGTCCTGTGACTCCCACCAGTGATTGATCTGGACCAAACCTGGCACATGACCATCTTAAAAGATTGGGAACATTTGGGGACTGGACACAGGAGCATGGGAGTTGTAGTCCACCCACATCACTTCTGTATTTTGTGACCTGTGCTTGCTAGAAGCACAACTGTAAAACCAGCACCTCTTAGAAGAGCAGATCACACAACTGTGAGTCCTGTGCCCTCGGTGCCTGGCATCAAAGGGTGCCCACCCGATTGTTCCAGCATCCTGTCCAATGAAGAAGGCTAACCAACCATGAAGGAAACAGAATGCAGGAATGCCGCTGTACTCAGAAGGGAAAAAAAGCATGTTTCCATTTGTTTTCTGTGCGATCTTACCATCCTGTTACCACTAAACAACATAATAGCTGTTGGAAAAAGGCACAGTAGCAGAGCTTAGAAATGTGGTTTCGGTTTTTTGAGCCACATTTCCAGAAGCTGTGAATTCATTGGCACTTTCCAGACCTTTATTTTGCATCTAACACAAAACAGCCTTTAAAGGAACAGGCAGCCAATGCTGAAGGGTTTCTCCCTTTTTTCAGGGCACAGCCTCCAGCAGAAAGAAAGACAAGGCCCTCTCACTTTCAGGCTTGCTCATGAAAACCATTGCCCTGTTTGTAAAAGCCACATATTAAAACATACAAAGGAAATGAATAACTTACTTCACAGAATCATGCATAGTTTTGCAAACGTGCAGAAGCGCATTGAGTATGACAGGGTCCTTGGTTGGCTCCTGTTGGTGCCTAAGAAAAACAGAAAAACATCTATTTTGGGGGAGGGAAAGAGAAATATATCTGGGCTTAAATCTAAGATGAAATAGGACTGTGTGCCTGGCCTCATTCTTCCATGGCCAGCCATCAGTGTTCACTGAACAGTTTTGAAAGACAGAAACCTACAGCATTGTTCTCTGGAACAGGAGTGGGGAACCTATGACCTTGAGACTTTAACTACCGTTCCATCATCAATGACCAGGATTACAAGGATTGATGGGAATTAGAATTTATTTATTTATTTGGGACATTTCTATACCTCCTATCTCCGAAGACCCAAGGCAGTTTACAGCAGCAATTACACACAAATATAAAAATAATCAGCAAATAAAAGTCCATCAAATAAATCCTCCACCATCCTAACTGACATAAAATTATAATTAAAGAATAAACCAGTAAAATTCTCAAGGAAGTAAAATAACAGAAATAGTTAAAAGGATTCAAATGCAGCTCCAGGCTCCTGTCATCATTAGTTAAAAGCTGTTTCACACAGGAAGGCTTTGAGGTTCTTCCTAAAGGACAGAAGGGTGGGGAAAGCCGTGATTGATACTGGCAAAGTGTTCCAGAATTTAGGTGCCACACCTGTAAAGAAGCCGTCTCTAGCCATTTTTAGGTGCGGTCTGTCCCTGAGCTGAGTGGAGAGAAGCATTTCGCTGCTCACCATTAGGGGTCTAGCCGGTATGCATGGTAATACATGCTGTCTCAACTATCCTGACCAAAACTGTGTAGGTTAAAACCAGCACCTTAAATTGGGCCCGGAAGCAAACTGGGAGCCAATGAAGCTGCTCCAGCAAGGGGGTAGTGCGCTCCCTGGAATCAGCTCCGGTAAGCAGTCTGGCTGCTGCACACTGGACCAACTGCAGCTTCCAAACACTCTTTAAGGGCTGTCCCAGGTAGAGCATGTTGCAGCAGTCCAACCAGGATGTAATCAGTTCATGTACTACCATGACCAGGTCAGATTTCTCTAAAAACGGGTGCAGATGGCGCACATGTTTTAGTTGTGCAACGAAAGGCCTGGTCACCGCCACCACCTGGGCTTCCAAGTTTAAGGTAGTGTCCAGGACCACCCCCAAACTGTGAACATGAGATTTCAGGGGGAGTGTAACCCTGTCTAGCTCAAGTTGTAACCCTATATCTGGATCAATCTTGGGCAAGACCTGCAGTACTTCTGTCTTATCTGGATTAAGCTTCAATTTGTTTGCCTTCATCCAGTCCTTTACCGTTCAGGTGGGGAACTGCTTCATTTGTTTCACGTGGAAAGGAGTAGTATAGTTGAGGAATCATCTGTGTATTGATGCTACCAAATTCCAAAACTCTGGATGATCTCTCCCAGCAGTTTCAGGTAGATGTTAAACAACATTGGGGATAATGATGGACCCCACAGCCCATAGGTCGTGGTGTCGAGCAGGACTCCCCCAACACCACCTTCTGAAGACGACCTGAGAGGAAGGACCAGAACCACTTGAGAACAGTGCCTCCAAGGCCCATCCCCGATAGTCTCTCCAGAAGGATACCATGGACGATGGTATCCAATGGCGCTGAGAAGTCTAGGAGGACCAGCAGGGTCACACTCCCCCTGTCCAGTTCCCCCCCGAAGATCATCTACCAAGGCGACCAAAGCCATTTCTGTCCCATGACTTGGCCTGAAGCCAGACTGAACTGGATCTAAAAAATCAGCGTCCTCCAAAAAAGAGTGCAACACCATCTGGACAGCTAGAGATTTTCAGCTCTTTTGTTGTCACCTATACCGTACAAAGCATTTCAGCAACTTACTGGTTTCCATTCTAGAAACAAAACAAAGCAAAAGGTGTGTGCATATGGAACACAAAGCTTTCCAATCAGTTGACTGATTTTTGTATTTGAATGTTGGAGTAAAAAAGTCCATTTTTTTGTTTTTGTTTTTTTAAAGAGTCTTGGGAAGAATATAAGCGCTCTGCACATTCAGATTTATTTGGATTTATGGCATTGTGCATCTTGGAAATCTGTGAAAGTGTTCACATTTTAATTTGTAGACACCCATAAATGAATCAGAAGTCAAATACAGGATTAATGACATCTCTTAATCCCAAAGTGTCATGTCATTGTACAAGGTCATGAATCAGAATCCCACATTAATCATAAACAATTAGAGGTCAGGAAACACAGCTAATGAACAGCTCTGTTAATTGTCTTCTTAAGACCCGATTGTCACCAGTTAAACATTCCTGGCTAGAAAAAGGCCTTCCTCTGCTTTTATGCTGTGCAACTGAGCCTTCGATCCAATTATCGATGGAGGTAAAAAGGAAATTAAATGCTTTAAAGGGTACATTTAGTGCTGGAGAAGAAGAAGTTACTTCTAAGCAATGATTTGTGTTTTAATTAACAAAGTGACGACTTCTCTCCTTCCACAGCAAAGCCTCCAACATCCATATGTTCCTATGTTTACACTGCAGCTGCAGTCGGCACAACGGAGAAGCATATGGCAACGTCTCATTTCGCCTTCATTCAAGCTGCTCCACGCAGAACAACAAACCTATCAGCAGAAGGCTTTCATCCTTTAAATCAACTAAGTGATTAAAAACGTTTCTAATACACTAAAAGGGTATTGCCAATTGACCAGGCAATATTTTTCGAAAACAGAAACAAGTGGTGTCTAAAAGAAAAGGCTGCAATATGTTTTCTTTTCATAATAGGAACATTCCCACCAAAAGACACTCCTTTCTTCTCCTCCACACAATTATTATTACACATAACTCTTTGGGATGTTATTAAATCAACTAAGCCCTGTTATTGAACCCCAGATTATTGCACAAGAAGCAGGCTTCAGACCAGGGAAAAACTGTACAGCTCAAATTCTTAACTTGTCAGAGTATATCAAGGAAGGCTATGAGAAAGGCTGCATTACGGGAACAGTTTTTGTGGACCTTACGGCAGCCTATGACACAGTGCAACATAGGAAAACACTGCATAAAGTCTACCATATCACCCGAAAGTAGAATTTTATATAAACTATCCAGACCCTCGTGGAAAACTGCAGCTTCTATGTGGAGTTTCAAGGCAGGAAAAGTAGATGGAAGAGGCAAAAGAATGGTCTACCTCAAAGTTGCGGTCTAGCACCAACCTTGTTTAAAATCTTTACTAACAATCTGCCACAACCACAATCACAAGGAGCTTTATATACACTGTTGGCCTTGGCCTAACAGAACAAGCAAAAGACTTTGAAACAGTTGAAAACCAACTTCCTAATGCCCTGAAAGATCTCTCCAGTTATTACAAAGGTAATCACCTGAAGCGTAACCCTGCCAAGACACAAGTGTGTGCTTTCCACCTACGTAATTGTGAAGCCAACAAGAAACTGACGGTTAGCTGGGAAGGCCAAGAGCTTGAACACTGTTCCCACCCTAAATATCTTGGAGTCACCTTAGATTGAACACTAACATTTAGGGAACACTGTGCGAACACCAGCCACAAAGTAGCTTGGTGTTTGCACAAAGTAGCTGCATGCAACAACATCCTGCGAAAACTTACTGTCAGCGCATGGGGTGTAGACCCAAAATTGTTAAGAACATCAGCCCCTTACTCAACTGCCGAGTATGCCTGCCCTGTTTGGCATAAGTCTGTCCATGCGAAGCAGGTGAATATAGCATGTAGAATAATCACAGGATATCTTAAACCTACACCAGCTGATAGATTCTATAAACTAGCTGGCATCGCCCTCCCTGATGTGTGATGGGAAGTTGCTGCCAATTGCGAGAGAAATCTGAACATGAGGAAAAACTTTCTGACTGTGAGAGCCGTTCAGCAGTGGAACTCTCTGCCCCGGAGTGTGGTGGAGGCTCCTTCTTTGGAAGCTTTTAAACAGAGGCTGGATGGCCATCTGTCAGGGGTGCTTTGAATGCAATATTCCTGCTTCTTGGCAAGGGGTCGGACTGGATGGCCCATGAGGTCTCTTCCAACTCTATGATTCTATGATTCTATGACATAAGGCTGAACACTATGAAAGCCACCCACTATATCGCTACCAGCTTCCTCCCAGTAGAGTTAAATCAAGGAAAAGTTTCATGAGAACCACCACTCCTCTTAATGTTCCTCCAGCAACAGCAAGAATATCCCTGTGGGCAGCAAAGTAAGGCGATTCCAACTGGATGGCCCCCCACGAGGGTTTTCCTCCAGGGCAAAGGATATGCTGCACTCCATTATTATTATTATTATTATTATTATTATTATTATTATTATTATTTTACTGACACAAAAAAAAAGTATGACACAGCAAACAAGATATATATGCTGGATGTCATATCACAAAATCACAAGTCGAATACTTCCCAAGCATTTAGGACTGTATGATGTGTTTTCGAATGATGTGTGCAGATCCAAGTAAGGTGGCCTTTTGCAGTTGACAGATCATGATTTTGCCAATGTTTATTGTTATTATATGATGATAATGATGATGATGATGATGATGATGATTATTATTATTATTGATACCCCACTGTTCTCTCTGCAACAAGACTCAACAGTTCGATTAACAGCTTGAGTATGTATTCAACCTATGTGTCCTTGCATTTCTGATCGGCACTTCCCGAACAGTGTCCTCACATCCAAGTACACTGCTGGATTGTATCCAGGCTACCCAGATATAAAATGTATTTGCACAGAACTTGGTCAGACTAATGCATTCAATTTCATAATAAGCTATTTATATAAACAACTGATCAATAGGCATCATAATGCATTCAAATTCTCCTTCCAGACTAATCCTTAGTGCCTGTAAAGAACCTTTCCAATGTCAAATGGACTGCAGCCTTTTTCAATCCGTCACACTTAACAACCCTTCAACGGATTGTCTGTGTTCTCTAGAGTGCATTTAATCAGAATATTGTATACTTACTTAATAAAAGCTTCCATGATGCACTTGCAAACCTCCACTCGGACACTTTCCTTCTGGAACATATCCAAAAATGGTAGGAATTTCTCCTAAAAGGTCAACAAAATCACCATGTTTACTATCAAGACTAAAGCGTAACCTTTATATATTATATAAGGAAGAGATGGAAAACATCAGGTTGATTTGACTCCTCTGAATCCACTGAGTCTATACACATCACACTGTTGCCACCTATTGCCAAAATGCAAAGGCATAGCAACAAATGTTTCCCAAAAAAGATCACCCTGCATTTTTGAGTTCAAACAACTCACATGCCCCAAGGCCATCTTGCCTTAACCCTGAAATGCAGGTAGGATCTTCCACTGCAATGCCCCCAAATTCAGAAAGAGCTGCAAACATGAGAGGGTGGGGGGCATATGTAATTTACAACAACAATAACAACCTTTATTTATATTCTACCCTTCTCCCCTAGGAGAGTCAGAGCAGATTACAGTATTTACATACATAGGCAAACATTCAGTGCCGTTACAGTCACATAAAATGAGACACACACAAACGCAAACAAAAGCCTCCTTTCATTTCCAGCTTCTGGAGGCGATGTTCATCTCTGGCTCTGGGCAGGTGCTTTCTCCATTTTCAAGCAAAGGAGCCTGTGTTGTCACTTCCTGGCAAGACTGCCTGGAGCATCCCTTTGCTTTTCCCCACTGAAGCGGTACCTATTTATCTACTCACATTTGTCTATTTTCGAACTGCTAGGTTGACAGTAAGTGGAACTGATAGACAGGAGCTCACCCCGTCTCACAGATTCAAACGGACAACCTTTAGGTCACCAGTTCAGCAGCACACAGGTTTAACCTGCACCACTGTGGCTCCACGCAAATAATATTTGGTCCAAATATAAAGCTAAATTGATGTGCAGGGATTTCCAAACGAGATGAGACTCCTTTGAAGAAATTAAACCTAATTATATTGTGTCAAAGCATTGGTCAATGTAGCTTAAAGTGGAGGACATGAGGTATGGAGGCTTTCCAGTGATGTGTTGCTGTTGCTTCTGGTGGCTAGGATTCCTGGGATTGTATTCCAACAATATCTGGAAGATCATACATTCTCCATCCCTCTAATATCATCAGACTAGGAAGAGCTGCATCCCCTCCTATCCACAATGTTAAAGCAGAGACGCACTGAGCCTAATCCTTCTGCACGATAGGCCTAGGATCTACTCTTAGGCAATGGTCCCAGCAATTAACCAAATGGTGAAACAGATCATTTTATCTATTTCATTTTGAAACTAACTTTCCACCAAACAGATCAATGACTAAGTGAGGATTTAAGCTAAGTTAAAAGAGGCCGTGGTTAGCACAGCGGGTTAAATCGCCAGCTACAGAAAATCTTGCTGGCCAGAAAGTTGGCAGTTTAAGCTGAAGGTCAGGGTGAGCTCCCACCATCAGCCCTTGTTTTTGCTTACCTAGCAGTTTGAAAACAGCCATGTGAGTAGATAAATAGGTATCGTCTTGGCGGGAAGGTAAAAGGTGCCTCAGAAAACATCCCAGCAATTTGATTAGGAAAGCGTATATGGACAACAGGCTCCTCAACGTGGAAAAATGGAACAACAGAACCTCCCCATGGGCGTTTCAAGAACAGCTTCCAAATGCCGGAAATGAAAAAGAGGGGAGCATTGCCTCTGTCTATGTACTGGCTGTCTTTGTTGTTCATTGTATAACGGCATTGAATGTTTGCCACATATGTACCCTGTAATCCATTCTGAGTCCCCTTGGGGAGATAAAGCGTAATATAAATAAAGTATATTATTATTATTATTATTATTATTATTATTATTATTATTATTTATTATTAGCCAAAGCTGAACCATCAAAGCTAGGCCATGATGTATTAACACTGTAATTTAAAACAAATTATCCTTTGGTTCCTCAAAATTAACACATTTTCAAAAAGGTATGAATCTTTGGGCACTCCACACTGGCCCATGCAAAAATCAACTTTGTAGCCTTTAAAATGTTATGAAATTCAATTCCGATTCATCTGGCCTCTAACAAAAGATGTAACCTATACATACATTTTAGAAATGTATGGATCAGTTCCAGGAACCAATGATCTGTGCCGCCATATAGAAACTTACCAGTGAAAAGAGAATAGAGAAGTCATGGAAATAGGCAATGACTTTCTGAATGATTGACTGAAGCTGAAAACAAGAACAAGAAAGAGAAGTATAATGAAGTTTTGCTGATATTAACATTAACTCTACCAATCTTGACACAACTTTTTATTCTATATTCCATGAAGGCCGATTTTATTGCCTTATTTGGCATTTACATTGTGTGCACGGTTGCTTTGTATTTGTTTTAAAAAACCACTCAGAATTCCCCCAACACCGCCTGCACTTTTTAGGCTGAATTTCATCACCTTACATCACCTTTTGTTTTAGGGCGACTATTATACCTGGGGATAGGCCTCTTCAAAGGCCCGATCTGGAGTCATGTGCTTGATGACATCGGCCAAAATAGTATTGACTTCACGCTTCTGCAAAGAATGATGCAAAGATGTAATGAAACTGCAAACACCGTTTTTGACGTCCCTCTTTCAGCTCCCCAGATGTGTTCCATCCTGTGTCCTGCTACTTGATTCTGGGGAAATACCCTTGTCAGTAAGAGCCTGGTGGGGGCACTTAAATATTGGCTCAAGACCAGAGTTTTCAGTCTAGGATCTGGTCTGATTCCTCACTTTGCTCAGGATGACTACTTAAGCAGTTGGTGTAAGATCAATTCTGAGAAAGCCCTCTTAACTCATCTGGGCTTTGATATGGCTCTCAAATCAAACAGAGACTGTGGGACATCGCCTTCTGTGAGCTATGTTCTCGTTCATATGTATCTTGCTCTCCAAGTGCTCTGTCCATACACTATGTTGGAACTTTCCACACAGCAAATTACCTAAAGAACTTGACTGTGTCCAAATACTGTTGTCTACTTTCCAAAGCAAGATATAATGTGCTCCCGTTGAAGTGCTGCATGGGAGATTCGCAGGTATGCCATATAAAGAAAGGCTCTGCCCATGTAACAAACAGGAAGTAGAATGCATCTACCATAATCTACTGTCATGCCGTTTCTATGAACAGGCCCAAACACACATAATCAATCCCCTACTGAGAAACTTACCATTTGAAATTTCTGCCTCGTGACAGTCTTCCCCACGTGACCTTGGCGAATGCCAAGTTTCTTTCCATAACAGCCAGGATTAGACAATTCCCAATTTTAGATACAAGCTGAAAGATGCCAGTACCTTTGTAGGTTTTAAACTATATTCTTAGCCATCATGTACGGCATCAAGCAGTTTTAACCCCGTATTCTAAGCAGTTTTGAATTGTAAATTTTATCCAACTATGCGTCTAATCAATTGGTGGTTATTAACCTTACTAACCTTGTATATCTTGTACACCTATGGAGAAAAAGGGTCTTTGAACCATAATAAAATGTTTGTTTGTCATGAAACTGACTTTTAAAAGCCATACGAAGCAAGGACAATTGCATTACAGAACTATACTGCTTCATAGGGTCAGCACATTAGGAATCTAGAGAAGGACAGTTTGCTGGATTGTAACTTTAGTTCTTTGTGTGGTTGCCCATGAACTCACACAAATGGGGTTGCTTGTACCCGCACAGTGCATGATTCAGAAACTTCTGGAGTCCTTATAAAAGCTTTTTGGCAGCAGCCTCACCCATTCCCTGCATGCCATGCCTCCCTAAAATCTCAATTCCTTAGATATCAAAGCAGCTGCAGCAGCCAAGGAATTGTGGGAATTAAAGTCCAAAACACCTAGAGGGAGAACTGAAGTTTGCCCATGCCTGACTTAGAGAGTCCTAGAGAACTCCAAAATTATCCAAAATGCTTAAATCTGTACATACCGTGAAATGTCTGCAGGTATATTCCACCCAGATTTCTGCACAGTTGATATAATCCTTAAAATACATACATTAGAGTTATATTTTAAAACAGTGTTTGCTTTGCCATTCGGACACACATAAAAATGAGATCCCCAAGACGCAACTGCTTTAGAGCATTCTTAATCAAAAGCTTTTATGTATTTATTGTTATCCAGAATGCATTGTGGAAAGAACATGACCAAGATGTGGGAAAGAAGTAACATAGAGATCACTGACACAGTGCTTTATTGGAACCACAGGCTAAGATCTGGGACTTTTTGATTGGCAGGAATAAAATCCTTGGCCATTTCCCACAGAAGAAATACATTTTCCAGTAACAATGAGAACATACTGAGTCATTACTGTAACATAAAATATTTGGAGTTGTTTTGTTTTGAATGGTCCATTAATACCCATTAGATTTATAAAAGAGCTGCTTCTTGTGAAGACAAAACAGCCAAAAGTGGTTCTTGATATGGATAAATACTGCTGTCTCCACTTTTCTTTTTTCCATGGAGATGTCGCTATGGATGTGTCACGATAAGACGCCTACACTTGAGAATCAATCGTTATGCCTGAATATCTATAAGCTATTTAGGAAATACACCCCAATCAGACTGCATACCACTGACAACAATAATGGGTACAGCTGTTCTGTGAAGTGCCTTCCTTGCACCAACTACCCACCTGGGGACTCTTTAACTTTGTGATAACCTTCCACGCTTCGTTTAAGATCTGAAGCCGATCTCCCTCCGGTGGATCAGCCAAGGCCAAGTTCTGCCCTAGAGAGCGAAAGAGCAGGTGCTGCGGAAACAGGACAAAAAGTTCCCTCATTTCTCTTCTTTATAACTTTCAGGTGGATGAGTAATATTAGTATGACAAATTAATACAATGCTGTTCTAAAAACGTGTGTTTATCCAAGAGAGGCCTAAGGATGGACAATGATTGTCCCAAGAGCCCGACAATCCTTTAGTAAAAGAACACAAACATGGAAATGTAAGTAGCAATACATCATATAGGTAAAAAAACTAGGCTTGCTAGCCAATAAAAGAAATTTAAGGCTGAACATTTACAAACTTTGCTAATCAAATCTGCATAAAATTGCTCAGCAGCAAAAATGTATGGTACTGCTTTTAGAAGAAGCCCCATTTGTGTCACTGTGACAGAAGTATTCTTCCCTTTGTAATGCATCTTGAAAATATATTTGTATAAAGAAGCTTGATAATAATATTACAAATAGTTTTAACTTGTTTTAAATGGCATTTGGAAGTTATCATGGACTTAACAAAATGAACAGATGTATTAACAGTCATAGATTTCCATGGTTTTGAGTTCTGCAAATCGGTTTCCCAAGACAGATGTAGGCACTGGCAAATGATGGGAGAAGAAATCAGTCTGGTGGCCTCACAACAGCCTTTGAAGATAGTTCAGAAGCTTTCAACTTGTTCTGAGATCGGCAGCCAGATTATTAACTGGAGCCCCATACAGGGAGAAATCCACTTCCATGTTGTGCCGGCTCCACCTGCTGCCGGTCTGCTTCCGGACTAAATACAAAATTCTGGTCATTACCTTTAAAGCCCCAAACGGCTTGGGTCTAGGCTATTAGTCTAATCACATCTCCTCCTATAAACCAACCTGGACACTGCAGTCAGTGGAGAAGGCACTGCTCTTGGTTCCAAGCCCGTTTCAAGTGCGGCTGGTGGAAACGAGGGAGAGGGCCTTCTCCATGATCACTTGTCACCTCTGGAATTCCCACCCCAAAGAAACAAAGATTGCCCCCTCCCTTTTCTCCTTCAAAAAACAAGTGGAAACTTACCTTTGCTTGTTAGCATATGGAGAGGAGGAGGAGTAGATGATGAGAGATTGCTACTAGACCTTTGATGGAAAACTTGTTATTGTATGCGGGGTTGTTGGACCATGTTGGCCCAGTTAACACTACTGGCCACATAATCAACTCACATATCATAATGAACCTTGTTGGCTCTTGTAAATTAAGGCTGATGTTTTAAGTTCAGGTTTTATGTTAGATATAATTGTTGATAGGTTACATTTTATTTAATCTATAGATGCCATGTTATAAATAATTTTTATATGTTGAGTCATCATCATCATCATAATCATCATCATATTTAATTACTTATTAATCGCCCTCCATCCGGGAATGCTCTAGGCGATTTACAGCTAAATTGTAAAAGATAAAATACATACATACAGAAATTAAAAATTAACAGATATCGAATGCTCTAGTAAAAAGCCAGGTCTTCAGTGCTAGAGTAAAAGGTCCTAAGTCACACATGGCTCTCATATAGGGTGGCAAGGAATTCCATAAGGCAGGGGCAGAAATAGAAAAAGCCCTGTGTCTGGTACTTTCCAAGTGCACTTCTCTAGAACCTGGTATATAAAGTAAGTCACGTTGGGCTGGTCGTTGCGACCTCCGATGATGGGAGAAAGAGAGGCGGTCCCTAAGGTACGATGGACCCTGGCCGTAAAGAATTTTAAAGGTCAGAACTAACATCTTATACAGGCCACGGTACTCAATTGGAAGCCAATGTAAATGTTGCAGCACTGGTGTTATATGGCATTATGGACTATTATGTTTGTATTTGTTGTTTTATTGAGGCATTGAATGTTTGCCTTTTTTGTTGGTTGGAATTTGCCCTGAGTCCCCTCAGGGAGATAGGTCAGAATATAAATAAAGTTTTATTATTATTATTATCATCATCATCATCATCATCATCATCATCATCATCATCATCTACACTCCAAAAAGATTTAGGGGCATAGTATGGAACAAAAGAAGACATCATAATTTGCAATACAGCAGAATTACTTTCATAGTATACACATTTGTCTAATGGGAAGTACTGTGACAACAAATAAAGCATGAAGGTATTAACTGAGTGCAGAAGTTGCAAGATGGGTCTGGCTGGAGAAGCTTACCTTGGGGAAGCCAGATTCATCACACTCCTTAATCATGCCAATAAAATCCATGGACCTTGCAGCAATAAACTCAGCTCTGAAGGCAGACATGACTGAATTCAACAGCAGGGCACTAGAAAGATAATGATCCATGTCAGCACAAGGTATCATAGAATGGCAGAGCTGGAAGAGACCACAAGGCCACCCAGTCCAGCACTCTGCCAAACTGGGATATACAACAAAAGCAAACAAACACATTTGTACATACACACTCACACTCTGATGTGCCTTCTGTGTTTTAAATGTATTCCTCTTTAAAACTGGAAGAGCTGCTTTGAGTCTCATGATAGCCTAAGCATATCTTTTAAAAAATATATTTATTTATAGAAAAATGGCATTACAATCACAAATAATACAAGCAAATGCAGACAAAACACAACAATTACACAACAAACAAAACTATCGCTCCTTCCCAACACCTGTGAGCCCATTACCTAAGACTTCCGTCGCCACACACTGTGATACCTATACCATATAATAACTACTGTCGTAAATTTCTCAAAATATCCCCCTTGCAGCTTCCATAAAATCCACTTTTGCCTTTCTTTCAAAATATACAAAGGTCGGCCTCCATTTATTTGCAAATTCTTCATTATTTTTGCCTCATAGTCCAGTAGACAGCTTGGCCATTTGTACATGTTCTAAAAACATTTCTCTCCAATCTCTCTTAGACAGCAATCTTTCACCCTTGCTATTATCATTCTAGGTGCTGCAAAGCTGTATTGGCAAATCTCTTTGGGGTAAAGAGCGGCTTTCGGACCCAAAATAAAGTATTCCAAAGTACTCATGGAGATGTGACGTTTGGAAGGATGCCGACTCTTCTGATGACCAGAAAAACAAAACAAAACAAAAAGATATTGCCAGTGTCCTACTTACTTGTTGCCAAGCTTCTTGCATCTTTCCATCGTTTCAGTCAGCAGGACCTACAAATTATAAGAAATTAGGACAAAGCAAAAAAGAGGGAGAGTAGACATTGATTTTTCATTGTATAGTTACAGCTAGGGAATAGTAGTAATTTTTATTGAATAGCCCTTAGGCCATATCACAATATCAAACCAAACAAAATGCTTAATAAAACTTGATTACACTCTATATATGCATACAGACAAGGAATAGATGCAGCCTGCTAAAATTTTCAGTTCTTTTGTCTCTGAACATAAAGCAGGACAGGAAATATTCCTCAGGTCAAATTGGGTAATGATACTAGATCTATAGAAAAATTGCTCTCCACACATTTGAGACGTTTGTAGGTCTGAAGAGGGTACCTTATGTTATGAAGTCTTACAGGGTTATTTTGGGATGGAAGGCTGCCCTTTAAGGTGGGCCAGTGAGCATGAAGCCCCCTAGATATTGTTGCCCTATCACTCTTACCACATGTCATTATTTACTATGCTGGAAGTTATAGTCCTACGAGTACAACATCTGGACAACCATACATTCAACAGCAATGTCCAACCATTGGTTTAACTAACCCTTTCAGACCTCAGAACTCCCTTTTATTTCTCAATTGGACATCTTTCTTGTTGGCACCCATTACTCAACTTTGCAATTACAAGGAATGAAACAGCATGTGCAAGAGGTGGATTTTCCTTACACATACATATTGCTTAAAATATATTCCCTTGAAAGTAAGCTCTTAAAGATGTATTTAGATATCAACATGAAAAAAATGTTATATCAACTATGCCTGGTACTTTTTGAGCTACGTAACTGTGCCTATTGTGCATTGTTTTCAACCATCACACGGGGACCAGAATTAAAAGATCACATATTTCTTTTTGCAAGCAGAAGTTTTGCCAGATTCATGTAAAGGTTTGATTCTTTCTCTAAGAAGAATCAGGAGGAACAAGGAACCACAAACTTCTTCTACTTTGAAAGTCACAGTCATAGTTGCCTGTGGAATGTTGCACTCGTCAGATCTGTATTGGTTTCATGCTGCAAAAAGGGGGATTTGAGATGGTTGAACAGAAGCTCACTGAAGCTTTAGGTGCTCTTACTGACTATTACAGGGAAAAACAGCTGATTCCTAATCCATCTAAAACACAGATATGTGCTTTTCACCTTAAGAACAGACAAGCATCTCGAGCTCTGAGGATTACCTGGGATGGAAAACACTGGAGCATTGGAGCACACCAAAATACTTGGGAGTCAGTCTGGACTTACAGGAAGCACTGCTTGACTATCAAGCTAAAAGTTGGTGCTAGAAATAACAACATACAAAAGCTGACTGGAACTACCAGGGGATCACAACCAGACACAGTGAACACATCTGCCCTTGTGTTTGGCTACTCTGCTGCTTAATGTGCATGCCCAGTGTGAAATACATCTCACCACGTTAAAACAGTGGCTCTTAATGACACATGCCGCATTATCACAGGATGTCTACACCCTACATCACTGGAGAAATTATACTGTTTAGCCAGTATTGCACCAACTGGCATCCGCCAGGAAGTAGCAGCATGTATGTATAGCTATAACAAGGTAAAGGTCATCATCTAGTCACAGGCAGATGGATGAGCACAGCTGGTTAAATCACCAGCTGCAGTAAATCTTATCAATCTAAAGGCTGACAGTTTGAAACCTGGGTCGGGTGAGCCTTTAGCCCAGATTCTGCCTACCTAAAAGTTTGAAAGCAATATGTAAGTAGATAAATAGGTACCACTTAAAAGCAGGGAAGTATTAAGGCACCCATAAGGAAATACCAGAAAAATGCCAGTAATTTAATCAAGGAGGAAGTTTACAAACAAAGCTTTTCAGCAGAGAAGGTAGAGTGACAGCAACCTTAAGCACAAGCCTCGAAAATGCTTAAGATCTGAAAAAGCCTATATATACCTCTATCTATGTACAATTGTCTGTCTTGTCAGTGCATAAACAGCATTGAATGTTTGCCGCATATGTATGTTCTGTGATCTTTGCTGAGTCCTCTTCGGCGTGAAAAGGGTGGAATATAAATACTATAAATATTTGCTCCCATTCAAGAGCCATGACATCCATTGCCTCCTAACTTTCCATTTAATAAAAGAACTGTCTTCTGGGAGCCCTAACAGGACTCTTTTGCAATGCAAAGGGGAAAAAGCGATTCCTTGCCAGCACATCTGACCTATTAGTTAATTTTGACATCTGGAGGAAACACTGTGAGAGATTTCACATTTTCACATCTCATTTTCCATTGGCTGGCTCCCTCACCCCTTGGCACATGACCATGTATCATTAGAAAGTGAATGCTCGTTTCAGACTGACTTAAGGAGGCTGTATCAAGATGCTGATCATGTTTCAAAATAGAAGTGTGATTTGCCTAACCACCATGAGAAAGCAGTGTGAAGAACAGCGTGAAAGCTCCCAGGAAGCACAATGGGATTAAAAACTGTAAACAATGCTTTTGATGACTGTCTCAGTCAAGGGTCTGCATCAAAATTAAAGTATGCTGTTCCTATTGCCTTCTACCTTAAGAAGAAAGAGAAAATACTGAAATTTCTCTGCTTTTGCATGACTAAAACATCACCTATGAATAAGGTCACATCAGCTTGGACGCTTTAATTAAGCATCTCAGTTCTACATAGTGAACCTTCTTAGATCAATGCTGAAAAAGTAGCACCTTAACAAATCAATACAATTGTTAGAGAATTTTCCATTTATACATAAGTACAATTGCTGTATTAGGTCTTTGTTTGGTTAAAAACATATAATGGAAAGCAAGGTTTTTTTACCTCTGCAGCTCGGTAAGAAATGCATTGTAAAATCCAATCTATGGCAGGAGAATAAAGTGTGAGATACAAAGGCATTTCCACACATTGCACCACCAGTTGGTTCTGAACTGTGTCCCCATGAATCTGTTAAAAAGGTTAGGGATATAATCAAACTGAAAAGATATATCCTTGGGGGGGGGGGAAATAACATTATACATTCATTGCAAAGTCAAAACACTCAACCTTTTTAAAGAATTCCTGAGGGCCCTTCCACACAACCCTATCTCCTAGAATATCAAGGCAGGAAATCCCACAATATCTGCTTTGAACTGGGTTATCTAAGTCCACACTCACATAATGTGGGATTTTCTGCCTTGATATTCTAGGATATAGGGCTGTGTGGAAGGGCCCTGAGTTCCTACAGCAAGTTTAAATAGCTATGAGAAATCCCCAGACCAAGACATGGCTTGTTTATTGCAGATTATGGGGAATGTTTCTTTTTAATAACAACAACAACAACAACAACAATAATAATAACCGAACTGCAAAGACTCTGACACAAGCCAGTCAAAGAGGTCCCAGTGGTGATTTGCACACAGGGTGCAGTGCCCAAAGACCTTGGCCTGCACTTAAACACAATCGGCGCTGACAAAATTACCATCTGCCAGCTGCAGAAGGCCACCTTACTGGGATCTGCACGCATTATTTGCCGATACATCACACAGTCCTAGACACTTGAGAAGTGTCCGACGTGATCCAATACAACAGCCAGCAGAGTGATCTTGTCTGCTGTGGACTCATCTTGTTGTGTTTCAAAAAATAATAATAATGCTGCCGCCGCCACCAAGGGACCTATTGTTGCTATTGTTATCATCATTATTCCCACTGCATGTCTAAGATATACATTGGCTTATTCATCTTGGAAATATAATCACTACTCCATATCCACTGAATATGCATCCATGATTTCAACCATCCACAGCTTGGAAATGTTTTTTTAAAATACCCAAAGTGATACTATTTTTCTATGCCATTGTATATAAGAGGACTCTGTATCCATTATGGGTTCTGGAACCAAATTCCATCAGATGCTAAGGGCATCATCTGTAACTATTTTTAAAAAAGCATGCTTTGTTGGTTCATCTGGGGTGCAATTCATGTATCAAAAGAACAAACTAAGCTTAAAACAAACCAAAGAATCATAGAATCATAGAGTTGGAAGAGACCTTGTGGGCCATCCAGTCCAACCCCCTGCCAAGAAGCAGGAAAATCACATTCAAAGCACCCCTGACAGATGGCCATTCAGCTTGTTGGGGGTGCTTTGAATGTGATTTTCCTGCTTCTTGGCAGGGGGTTGGACTGGATGGCCCACAAGGTCTCTTCCAACTCTATGATGGATTATTCTGATCTGTAAATGTGTCAACAAATGAAAAACTAGTCTTGATGATTATCTGAAATAAACAAAAAGACATTATTAGACAAATAGCCCACGAGATCATAATCTCTTACTTACTTGTTTAAAAGTTAGAAGGAAATCAAAAAAGTTCTTGTTAAGGCTCTCTTTCAGATGAGGAGCGACCTCCATCCCAACCTATATTTGAAGAACCAAAATAATTGAATTTGTGTTTTCGAAGGCAAAATTTCATGGCCAGAATCACAAGACTGCTGTGAGTTTTCCGGGCTGTATGGCTGTGTTCCAGCAGCATTCCTTCCTGACATTTCACCCACATCTATGGCAGTCATTCTCAAAGATGGTAAAAACCTGACTCCGGGATCAAGCCTTTGGGACAGGGCAATAAGGTAGGAATTAAGAATTTTACTCTGCTGATTTGAGATGGCTCAAACAATGGATTTTAAAAGTGGTGATGACTGGATTTAATATTTATGTATGTTTGTAGTTTATTGTATGTTCCGGCATTGAATGTTTGCCGTATATATGTTGTGCTCTGCACTGAGTCCCCTTTGGGGTTAGAAGGGCGGAATAGAAATGTTTTAAATAAATAAATAATAAATTGTGAGGTCTACTGAAAACTAGGCAAGTGAGGTTTATATATCTGTGGAATGATGTCCAGGGTGGGAGAAAGAACTCTTGTCTGTTGGAGCAAGTGGGAATGTTGCAACTGGCCAACTTGATTACAATTACATAGCCTTGCAGCTTCAAAGCCTGGCTGCTTCCTGCCTGGGGGAATCCTTAGTCGGGAGGTGTTAGCTGGACCTGACCATTTCCTGTCTGGAATTCCCCTGTTTTTTTTTTAGTGTAGTTCTTTATTTACTGCCCTGATTTTAGAGGGTTTTTTTTTAAATACTGGTAGCCAGATTTTGTTCATTTTCATGGTTTCCTCTTTTCTGTCAAAATTGTCCAGATTCATGTGGATTTCAATGGCTTCTCTGTGTAGTCTGACATGGTGGTTGTTAGAGTGATCCAGCATTCCTGTGTTCTCAAATAATATTCTGTGTCCAGGTTGGTTCATCAGGTGCTCTGCTATGGCTGACTTCTTAGGTTGAAGTAGTCTGCAGTGCCTTTCATGTTCCTTGATTCCTGTTTTGACAATGCTGCATTTGGTGGTCTCTACGTAGACTTGTCCACAATTGCATGATATACAGTAGAGACTATACCATGGACAAATCTACATAGGGACCACCAAATGCAGAATTGCCCAACAAAGGATTCCCTCAGGCAGGAAGCAGCCAGGCTTTGAAGCTGCAAAGCCATTCAATGCTAACCAAGCTGGCCAATTGCAACATTCACACTTACCTCCAACAAAAGAGTTCTTTCTCCTACCCTGGACATAATTCCACAGATATATAAACCTCACTTGTCTAGTTTCCAACAGACCCCTCAATCTCTGAGGATGCCTGCCACAGATGTGGGCAAAACGTCAGGAGAGAATGCTTATGGCACATGGCTAGACAGCCCGGAAAATTCATAGCAACCCCATCTTGAATGTCTCCATATGTAAAACTGTCATCTATATTGAGATACTTTTTGAGATATACACATTTACATATTTTTTGGGGGGAAAAAATAGCATAAAAGGATGGTACATAAATAATATTGAAAAAATATTACACAATCTATTTTTATATCATCATCAACAAAATTCATGGAAAGCAAAGCAAACCAAGGTAAACAAGATGAATATTAGATAATGAACAATTCAACAGTGGAAGACAACTCTGATGTTAAAAAAAGGCTAGAGGAAAATGCTGTTCAGAGAACAGCGCTATATATTGTAATATCCTATATTAATTTTTTTCCTACTCTAAGAGAAATATGCAATTAGTCTGATGAATGCTTTATAGGCAGGGATATTAAAGCCACAATTTCTTAGAAATGTACATTCTAAAAGAATGGTTTTACCCTGCAGAGATATGCTCTAGCATAGACTGCAACCAATGGGTCTCCGATTCCACGGATCATGGAGGTCAGGCGCGGCAGACATTCCGAAATCCCTCTAAGAAGAGGATTTGAGAAAATAGGCATTACCATTTTATCATATCGAGCTACCATTTCAAATAATTAAGGGGTGGAAAAACAGCTGGCCAAGGATAGCACCAAAGACTTGGCCAAAGGCACAATAAATTATTGTAGAACAGTCCGACATTTGTTTAGCAACCAATCACCAAAGGCCTTTCAAAAAGGAAAAAAGAGCAAATGGATTTTTGAAAGATATGACAAACCAGCTGTAGTTGGAGCTTACTGAAAATATGCCATCATAAACAGCAATGAAACCACCACACAAAATATGAATTACCATTGACAAGAGATTTAAAGTAAAATATGCTGGCATTCAGGGATCAAAGTTTTGCCTTTCACCCAAAATTATCGAATAATTTTTAGCCTTACGTTTTAGAAAGAAATTTGTTGCACTTCAGTATGGCTGCTTCCACATAACTGTAATGAAGAGTTAAGGGGAGAAAGTCCTGAACGAAAGAAACGACAGGAAAAGAAACAAGATGCCCTTTGGCTTTTAAATACAGGTCTCTTGTTCAACATGTCTTGTAGCTTCGATAAAATCTTCCTCAAATTATATAACATTACTCCCATGGAGAGTTAGACACACAGCAGACTGAGCTGTTAAATGTTTTCAATAATTAATCTGCGAGTATCTATACACCATTTTTTTCGCCAAGATATCCCTCCTCCTCTCTTAAAAATTAAAAGTTTGTCTTGATATTATTGGCAAGACTCACACGTAGCAATAATCCAGTTATTTCCGTATTATATGAACTAAGGTAATACATGCATAATCATGTATTAGTAGGGTTGTACATTTGGGGTAAACCTTGCCCAGTTTCATGACCCGGGGCCTGATTTGTTTTTTGGGAGCCTCTTGAAATTGGGAAGGCAGGTATCTATTTTATCTCTGGGGTGCCAAAACATCCATTTTCTATTGGCCCATTATGGGGGGGGGGGGTCATCTAGGCTCCCCTTCCCGGTGTGCGCTTTAGGGAGGCTTCTTCTTACCTGATGTTTCTACTCTAGAGGAAGTGCTCGGCTGCAGGCAGCACTGGAAGGCATGTGTGCTTTCTGGGCCTGCACGCCACACACTCTCTCTCTTTACAAGGTGAAGAGGCAAGTTCAGTTTCTGACTCTAGAGGAGGCACTCGGCTGCAGGCACTGGCAGGCACATGCTTTCTGGGCCTGCATACCATACACACCCTCTCTTTCCAAGGCAAGGAGGCAAGTTCTGTTTCTTACTCTAGAGGAGGCGCTCGGCTGCAGGCACTGGCAGGCACACGCTTTCTGGGCCTGCATACCACACACACACTCTCTTTCCAAGGCAAGGAGGCAAGTTCTGTTTCTTACTCTAGAGGAGGCACTCAGTTGCAGGCACTGGCAGGCATGCGCATTTTATGGGTCTGCATACCACACATGCACTCTCCTTGAAAGAGGAAAGTGCGTGTGTAGCGTGCAGGCCCAGAAAGCGCACATGCCTTCCAGTGCTGCCTGCAACCGAGTGCCTCTTACTCTAGAATAAGAGGCGCTTGGCTGCAGACAATGCAGGCATGTGCACTTTCTGGGCCTGCATGCCACACATGCACTCTTTCCAAGGCAAGAAGGCAGATTCTGGGAGGTGCTCGGCTGCAGGTGTGAGCATTTTCTTTCCTGGGCTACATTTTAAGGAGGCTTCCCACTTCCAGGTAAGGAAGAGCAATGACCTCCTGGAATAGGAGAGTAGTTTTCAGGGAATTAGGGTTTACTTTTTGTTTGCTGGGAGATTAATAAAAAAGATTAAACTGTGATGCCGAAAAGCAGGCTTGGAGCCGGGATCGGCTCCCGCTTGCTTTCATGCTGAGCTGATTTCCGTCCTGGGGGGTGGGGTGGGGTGGGGTGGGAGGATTCCAAAGTACCGAAAAGAAATGAAAGAAATGAAAGAAACAGGAGAAATTATTCCACGCACAACTCTAATGTGCAGCAAGCAGGTTAACCAGTGAAGAAAAATCCAGAAAGAAAACTATAGCCAAAGTTAACCAAAGAGTCCGGTAAAACAATTGAGAGATTTCTGAAGCTACGAAAGGACTCCAGGGACTGGAACCAGTCTAATTCTTCTTTCCAAGAAGCCAAGTTTAAGATACTCTGACATCAAATCCCAAGAGTCTGAGCCTGCAAGGAATGGCTCACAAGTTCCAACTATAGAGAGGCTTCTTTGCAGCTTTAATGGGCTAGAACTTGGTATATTTACATAGCTGCATTGTCTGAGCCTCTCTAACAGGTTCAAATGCTCCTTGGAAGAAGACCCCTTCTCTTTCTGAAACCTCTCACTTCTGAGGAGCCTCCAACTCCTGAGAAAATATTCCCACACTTTCTCCAAGGATTGCACCACACTTATTATGATAATCTTCCATGCCAGGAAAACAACAAATATGCACCAGACAGCATTGACATGGCCTCCTTCTTTTCATTTGAGAAAGGATACAACCTAGGGATCAGTTCTCGGATGGAGGCGATCTTGAAGAACCAGTTTAAGCAGGTTTCTTTGGCCGTGTCATTCACACTTTCAGGGGTAAAATTTTCTGAAAAAAGGGAGAAAGACAAAGTTAAATCAAGAAACTGCTTCCTTATTTCTTTACCAATTAAACATAGCTGCCTTGAATTCGCAGTTTTGCAAAAAATGTGGAAATATGGTTAAGGGACCATGGTGGCACAGTGGGTTAAACCGCTAAGCTGCAGAACTTGCTGACTGGAAGGTCAGCGGTTCGAATCCGCACGATGGGATGAGCTTCCATTGTTAGCCCCAGCTTCTGCCAACCTAGCAGTTCGATGGAATTTTTCGGGGTTACCCTGGCATGATGTGAGTTGTAGTTCACCAACAACCTTATGCATTTTGTACAATAAAAAATGACTTTTTCAAATAACCTGGGTAACACCAGGTACCCAAGCTAGTAGATAATAACAACATGTACACTGATTGTGGAAATGTATTCATGGAAGTAAAATAATATGGCTGCAATGCAGGGAGTACGCCTCTCTCAGCACAGGGACATACTTCCCAATAAACATGCACAGGATTTCCGTAACACACATACATGGCAATTGCTATTTTGGTGTCTAATTCATAATATTTGCTAGAAGCACAAGTAGACTGCCGAAATATACAGGTGTGAAAGATTTCGAGATTCATATATATCACCACCACCCCAAATTTTCTGAAACGAACTGCTCCAAGGCTTACTTTGGTGTCTCTAAATACAGAATAAAGGCAGTATGACAGAGCAGAAGGAACAGTTACATAACATTCAGTATCGAGATTTGGCTGTCTGCTTGAATTTTGCCTTGTTGATGATGGGGAATCGGACCTCTGACTGCTTAGTATTTCATCTCCTGCAAATATTAAAAGAAGTAGTTTGGGAACATGCAACTTGTATTCCCATAGGGAAAAAAGAAGGGGTTTTTATAGCACCAAGAGATAGCCAGGGCTCCAGAAAGTCCTGAGGAGGAGGAGGGGAAAGACCAATCATTCCCAAATTCAGACTTCTAGCAGCATGTTAGGATCCAGGTCTGGACACAACTTTGTGTGTTACCTATAACAACATTTATACTGGATATTATGCTTTTTATCACATAATGATAATGCAGTTCTCAGACCTGGACTAAGTCTACAAAGCGATGTATTTATTCTGAGACAATACCAAATAAGCCTCATATAGGAATCGAAAAAATACAATAGGCAATTAAGAACTAATTCAAATCGAAGAAGCCACTCTGATGAAGTGGCTGAGACTAGCGTATCAGGAAGATCTGCACTCAGATCCGCATCGCTTGCATCCACCACTTTCTTTCTTGCCTTCACCTACTCTATATTGCTGTGCCAGGAATAAAATGATCCTGGCATATGTTCTGGATACAAAGTGCACAGGAAGCCCATGCTCAGACAGAGGAGTGCAAATACCAAGCACTCCTACTTTGCAAGGAAAAGGGTACAATTCAATCCCTGGCACCTTCAATTAAAGGACAGGTTAGCAAGAGCAGACTCCCATAGAAACTCTGCAGGTCAATGTTGTAGACCAATATGGGAAGGCCTTCAAGGGCTGTTTTTCACTAGCAGCAGGGATCGTGTACAAAACATCATGGATAAACCAGAGGAAGAGGAGCCAAGTGTCGGCCACATTAACCAAGAACAGGGCAATTTTGTATTATTATTATGTGTGGAATCAATTCCCAGTGTAATAGCTTTTCCAGGGGTGAGAAAGGCGGTACATAAATACTGTAAATAATAAATAATAAATTTTCCATCTGAAAAACCCATCTCAACCCTGTCCACGGTATTTAAAGCTGAAATATCATTAAATATCCTCTTTTCCATGATCACTGCTTGGGAGAGAAAAGCAGAAGCTTCTGGGACAGCTTCTGCATACAGTCTATGTGCTGCTGGAGCCTTTATTTACTTACTGACGAATCTATAAGGCATTCGCCGAGTGTCAGAACGGCCACTGCCCCCTGCTTTCATCCCATCTTTCCCTTTCCCTCCCTTCATTCCTTTCCTCTTTTCCTTTCTTCCCTCCCTTTTCACTCACTCTTCTCCATCTTTCTTTCCCAGCGACATCACAGAGGGCCACTTCACCGCCTTCATGGTATAAACAGACAGACTTTTATGGAGAGATTAAATTGAATGCCTATCCTTCCTTTCTCTCTGCACAGGACCCAAAGCTTCTTTACACTGACATAGGCAATTCTGCCCTCAATGGACAGACATTCTAATCAGGTAGAAGGCAACTGTATGATACCAAGGCAGACATAGGATCAGAGTTAGAAGAGACCCAAAGGTCATCTAGTCCACCTCCCTTCTTTCTGCCAGGAAAGAAAAGCACCATCAACCCCCAACCCCCACCGCACCAAAAAAAAACAGATGGCCAACCAATTTTTTTAAAGCCTCCAAAGGAGCTTCCATCAGACTCTGAAGCAGAGAGATCCATGACTGAACAGCTCTCCTTACAGTCAGGAAGTGACTAGTGGAGTGCCATAAAGAGAGTTCGGTCCTGGACCCAGTTGTGTTCAACATCTTTATTAATGACTTGGATTAAGATTCAGAGGACATGCTGATCAAGTTAGCAGATGACACCAAATTAGGAGGGAGAGCTAATACTCCAGAGGACTGGATCAGAATTCAAGAGGACCTCTACAGATGCAAGAGCTAGACCAAAAATAATAAAACGTATTTCAACAAGGACACATAAGATACAATGCTTAGGCAGAAAAAAATGAAATGGAAAGATACAGGATGGGTGATGCCTGGATTCACAACAGTTCAAATGAGAGAGATCCTGGGAGTCTTCATGAAGAACAAGTTGAACATGAGACAACAGTGTGATGAGGCAGCTAAAAAAGCCAATAGAGATTTTGGGCTGCATCAAAAAGAGTCTAGTGTCCAGATCAAGGGAAGTAATAGCGCCTCCTTATTCTGCTTTGGTCAGACCTCTTCACCTGGAATAAGACTGCGTCCAATTCTGGACACTACAGTTCAAAGGAGATATTGACTCTAAGCTGGAAGGTGTCCATCTTAGAGGAGGGCAATAAAAACAATCAAAGGTCTGGAGAGCATGAATCCCTATGAGGGGCATCTTATTGCTGTGCATGTTTAGCCTTCAGAAGAGAAGGTTGAGAGGAGACATGAGAGACATGTAGAAATATGTGATGGTTGCCATAAGGAAGAGGGAGAAGCTTCCTTTCTGCTGCCCTGGAAACTAGGACTCAGAGTAATGGGTTCAAATTACAGGGAAGGAGATACCACCTGAACATCAGGAAGAACTTCCTGACTGTAAGAAGAGCTGTTCAGCAGTGGAACTCTCTTCTCGGAGTGTGGTGGGAGTTCCTTCCTTGGAAACTTTTAAACAGAGCTGAGATGGCCATGTGTTGGAGGTGCTTTGATTGTATTCTCCCCTATGAAACATCAAGAGTGTTAAGATTGTCTGGAGAGGCCCTGCTCTTGGTCCCGCCATCTTCGCAGGTGTGTCTAGTGGGGACGAGAGACAGGGCCTTTTCTGTGGTGGCCCCTTGGCTATGGAATTCCCTCCCAAATGAAATTAGATCTGCCCCCTCCCTCCTGACCTTTAGGAAGCTAGTGAAAACCTGGCTGTGCAACAAAGCTTTTGTGGAATGATGTCTGAGACCGGCAATCGACTAATGGTACTGATCACAATATATGGACTGGACATACGGACTGAGTTGGACACGATTTTATCCTGGCGAACGGCTTTTATGTAATTTTATGTAATTTATGTAATGTAATTGGTAGCTTAATGTTGTGTATCATGTTTTAGATTTTCAGTGTTAGCATTGAATCTTTGCTGTTAGCCGGTCTGAGTCCCTCTGCAGAGGTAGAGAAGATCGGGAAATAAAAGTTTTAAATAAATAATAATAAATAAATATTATGGTTTTCCTGCATGGCAGGGGGTTGGATGGACTAGATGGTCCATGTGATCTCTTCCAACTCTATTATTCTATAATTCTATGTTGAAGTGGAATCTCCTTCCCTGTCATTTGGATGCATGACTCCATTGAGTCCTAGTCTCCAGGTCAGATCCGCACATTTCAGATAATCAGATCTCACATTTTTCTTGACCCAGTTTCGGTCCATCAGGGTACCTAAATCAAGAAGCTCTCCTTATCAACCTTTCTTTAAGGTAAGGGATGGAATGTGAGCAATACAGGAAGGGGTTGAGATTCTATGCATTCGACCACAGTGTAAGCAGAAGCAGTAATGTTTTCAGTCCCATTCAATGAGAGCACGGGCTCTCGTTTTATTATTCCACTGCTGTGCTTTCCTCTCTTCAAAAAAACAACAACAGGGCTATGCAGAGGTTTGAGAGAGGGAAAGAGCACCATTCCCTCCCGTTTGGCATCAGACCACCCCGACCGCTTGAGGACATTTTACATAACGAACCACTCCAGGGACCCAGAATTTGTAGTTCAAGCATGCCCTAACTGCCAAGTCGGTTAGGGACAACCCCGTTTGATGGCAGCTGTTTGATAGAAGAGGCAAGAAACAGATTCAGAAACAAGATTCTAACCTAGTTGCTCAAATGAATGGAAAAAAAAATAAGAAGGAGACAACAAAACTAGCTGATGTAGTCTCACTGTTTGTTTCAATAGGTAGTTTCTTTTAAATGAGAAGGGCATCCTCACTGGCACACCCTTTGCCATTGAGCATTGGCTTCATTAATAGAGGCAAAGTGTGTTCCTTCCTTCCAAACCATCACAATCCTCTCCTCTCCCTTCCCGACTTAGGAACAATTGACTGAGCATGATTTCCTGAAGGGGGAACAAGAGGCTCAGATGCTAAATCAGAAGTTGTTTTCCTTTATTGGAATGGAAAGAATGAGAGCAAATACCAATGAGCATGTTCCTGTTTCACACACAGCTGCTCAGGACACACTCTGCAGAGGAAATGATGTGCTTTCTGTGCCGCGCTGCATTATTTTGTTCCAGTATTATTGCTGTAGAAGAGGTTTCACTATATCTATGTCGATTAATACTATTTGTTCATCAGGTTTCAAAGAGAGAATATATATCCTCAAGATAGAGGGAGGAAGAGAAAGAGAGACAGGCAGACAGAAAGAGACCTCATCACCAAGTCTTTTGGTCCATTTAACTCAGTAATGTCTACACCAAACTATAACTCCCAGAGCTGGCTGGACAATTCAGAAAATTGTAATCCACACAGATTTTTTTGGCTGTTTTGGGAATTTTGGGGCTCCCAAAATTCCTTACCATTGCTGTTGTGGGTGATGGGAATTCTATGGGAAAACATCTAAAACAAGCATGGGCCAACTTCGGCTGTTAGGAATTGTGGGAGTTGAAGTCCAAAACACCTGGAGAGCCAAAATTGGCCCATGCCTGATCTTACAGGTCAATGTTTTCCATGCTTAGTCTTCCCTAACTGGCAGCGGCATGCTAGGGGTTTTTCGAGAACGACCTGGAGATACCTAAGACTAAATCTAGGATCATTTGCACATGAAATGTGCTATCTACACCTCAGTTAGAGCCTTCCCTAAGGGCACACACATTCAGGTAGGTATAATTGAGAGCCAGTACGGTGTAGTGGTTGAGTGACTCTGGAGTCCAGGTTTCCAATCCCCACTAAAAAACCCAATGGGTGACCTTAGCAAGTCATATTCTCTTAGGACAGTGGTTCTCAACCTGGAGTCCCCAGGTATTTTTGGCCTTCAACTCCCAGAAATCCTAAACTGGCTGCGATTTATTTGGCTCGCCCTTTGGATTTTATTTTTATTGTGTTGTTTTGCACTGTTTATTTTATTTTGTTACTTCATGTAGCTTGTTGTGATGTAATTTTCTGTTATTTTGTGTTTAACTTTGCTCCATTATTTTGGGCTTGGCCTCATGTTTATTTATTTACAGTATTTCTATACCGCTTTTCTCATCTTGAGGGAGACTCAAAGCGTTTTACATATAAGTAATGGTAAAATTCAATGCCAGTACAAACAATTACAATTATGCACTACAATTAAACATAAATCAAATTAAAACCATACACCCATAAGCAATAAAACAATCATTGAAAAAATAAAACAGTCTCGTTTGTCAAATCGCCGTTCCAGTCATTGTCTTCCTGAAATGCTGAATACATTTTCTTTTACTGCCCGAAGGCCTGGTCCCAAAACCATGATTTTAATTTTATGCTAAAAGCCAGGAGGAAGGGAGCAGATCTTACCTCATTTGGGAGTGTGTTCCATAGGCGGGGGGCCACAACCAAGAAGGCCCTGTCTCTCGTCCCTGCCAGGCGCATCTGTGCTGTTGACGGGAGCGAGAGCAGGGCCTCCCCAGATGATCTTAGATTATGAGGTGGGACGTAGGGGCGGATGTGTTTGAACAAGTAAGCTGGGCCAGAACCGTACAGAGCTTTATAGGTCAAGACCAGCACTTTGAATTGGGCTTGGAGATGGACTTGCAGACAGTGGAGCTGGCACAACAGGGGGTGGTATGCTCCCTGTTAGCCGCCCCAGTTAGTAATCTGGCTGCTGCCCGTTGAACTAGATGAAGTTTCCGAACCGTCTTCAAAGGCAGCCCCACGTAGAGCGTGTTGCAGTAATCTATTCGGGATGTAACCAGAGCCGCCCCGAATCCCCTGTGGGGAGATGGTGGCGGGGTATAAATAATAATAATAATAATAATAATAATAATAATTATTATTATTATTATTATTATTATTATTTATGGGAGCCGTAGGCCAAAAACAGCTGGAGACCCCAGATTGATAACCACTGTTTGTTGAATCTAGCTGCTTGTTTTGTTTAAACCTGTTCCACAAATAAACCATCATGTGTTAGCCAGCTGCAACTGGAGACTGTGGTCTGTTGGTGGCTTATGAAGTTGGGTTTCTTTTAATCATGGCATGTCAATATATCTACACGGAAAGTCATGGTTTGTTCCTGGCTTGTTCCCCAAGCAATTTCCTCTGAAATAGAGGAGCGAGAAAAACATTTCAGAAAAAAGAAAACACTATGGTTTTTCTGCCATCTGGACAATTCACTGATTGAACAACAAACATGGCTAGCATAGGCTTGGTATAATATGCAAACATGACCAGTGAATTGAAATGAAATAGCTTCCTCGCATACATACTTAGGACTACGATCTATTTCTATAAGTTATAATGTGTCTACCAAACAGGAGCCCAGAGTGGTCCAATAGGTTAAACCTTAGTGCCGGCAGGACTGCTTATCAAATGGTCGGCGGTTCAAATCTGGTGAGGGGGTGAGCTCCCATCCGTCAGCTCCAGCTTCTCATGTGGAGACATGAGAGAAACCTCCAATAGGATCGTAAACCATCTGGGCATCCCCTTGCAATGACTTTGCAGACGGCCAATCCTCTCACACCAGAAGCGACTTGCAGTTTCTCAAGTCGCTCCTGACACACACACACACACACACACACACACACAAAGCCCATAGAGACATCCATATTACCTGGCAAGGAGTTGCGAGTATCACTACACATGGAAAATATTCTTTCATACACCAGCCTACCTGTAATGACAAAAATAAGAACAGTGTTTACAAAGCAGTGGGTTTAAATATGCGGTCAGGTTAAGGCTTCAGATTCAAACACACATCACTATCACATAATAAATGAAAACCTGGCAGTATTGTTTTTCAAAGAATTAGTAGTATTTGAGAATGAAGCTTTTAGTGCTAGTAGGTATTACACTGCAAAGGATGCTCAGTAGCACATGTTTTTGATCAGCATCCCGGAAGAACAGAATGTACTCGTGTGAACTCGAAAAACTGGGAAGAACCATAAACTCCACAGAAGAGCCCCTTGGACCAGGAAAAATGCAAATTATCTTTCACAAGCTTCTCTTCCTTGTTTTCACTATCCTTTAGCATGATTCCATGTCATGCAACCAGAAGTTGTTTGTTCAATAGTATTTGTCATTATGCCTAAATCTGCATATCCACACAAAGACCGAGAACGTACCGTCTTTGGATATTGGGGTCATATTGTACTCATCTCAATTATATCTCATTGACAGTGAATGTGTGTATGACTGGGTTATGGCCTCACATATGTACAGCTAACTTTGGTCAAGGCTGAAGTAAGAAATATCAGAAATCTGCTTTCCTGGAAGTTTTTCAAACTGGGTATCTTGCCTTAGAGATCTCTTGTGTACAAATTGTACTTTTTTATATTCATCCAAGGAAGTTTAGACTAGTATATCTACAGTAAGTAACTGAAGAAGCCTTATTCAACTTTGAACATTCTATATTTTGCATTTGCCACACTCTTTTTTCCTATTATATTATACTGCCACCCAGTGGGGCCAGATAGTTTTTAAAGTGCTGTGTTATCTTGAGCACTAGTTTTGAAAAGTGACGCAACTCCCTTTGTTTCATTGAGTGCAATGTGATAAATAACACATTATGAACACCTCTTAAGCTTCATGCGCATATTGTTTCGAATTTGTTGTATACCAAAGTTCCTTGCTTCATTCTTAACACATAGACACTCATAAAGAGAATATGAACCAATGTGAGAGGTGCGGAAGGACAAATATAAGACCTCCATGACAGGGGACTTCTCATTCCACTTTTGAAAGGCTCTTGGCTAATTTTATTTGCGTATTAATAGTAAAGGCAAAGGTTTCTCCTTGACATTAAGTCTAGTCAAGTCCGACTCTGGGGGGTGGTGCTCATCTCCATTTCTCAGCCAAAGAGCCAGCATTGTTCATAGACATCTCCTAGGTCATGTGACCAGCATGACTGCATGGAGCGCTGTTACCTTCCCGCAGTAGCGGTATCTATTGATCCACTCACATTTGCATGTTTTCAAACTGCTAGGTTGGCAGAAGCTGGGACTAACAGCGGGAGCTCACCTAGCTCCACGGATTCGAACTGCCAACCTTTCAATCAGCAAGTTCAGCAGCTTAGCGGTTTCACCCGCTGCACCACCACAGCCCCTTATGAATAGTCTGAACAGTAGATAACTGAAAATTACAATTGAAAATGGTTCCTCAATAGTACCTGAGTGGCTCAAAATGGAACGACATTCCACTGCTACTTACCAAATGTGTCCAGGATGTCTGTTATCAAGACAAATTTACTTGGATAGAACTGAATCACAGTTGTATCTGAAAGAAGTTTAGAACACTGGGAGGAGGGAGGCAAAAGAGAGAAATAAGTAATTATGTATATTACTGATTACATAATTTAAAAAAATTAAAAATGTAGCCGAAACAGAGCAAGAGCTCGATGGGAGAGCACAGGCCTTTTGGTAGGAAGGCTAAGATTTTTACTTTACATGATGGACTAGATGAGGGCTAGCAAGTTGAAGCTTAATCCAGACAAAACAGAGGTCTCCCTAATCAGTCGTGAGCCTGATCGGGGTATAGAATGGTTACCTGTGCTCAAGAGGGTTACACTTCCCCCTGATGACACAGGTCCGCAGTCTGGTGGTCCTCCTGGATTCAGCGCTGACGCTTGAAGCTCAGGTGTCAGCGGTGGCTGGGAGGGCCTTTGTATAGTTAAAGCTTATGCACCAGCTGTGACTCTACCTCAATAAGCCTGACTTGGCCATGGTGGTCCATGCCTTACATCCAGATTGGATGACTGCAACACATTCTACGTGGGGCTGCCTTTGAAGACGGCTCAGAAACTGCAATTAGTGCAAAGGTCGGCTGTCAGGCTTCTAACTGGAGCTAATTATTGAGAGCACATGATGCCCCTATTACAGCAGCTCCACTGGCAGCTGATACGTTTGCAGTCCCAAATCATGGTGCAGGTTATTACCTAGAAAGCCCTAAACAGTTTGGGCCCTGCCTATCTTCGTGATCACATCTCCCCCATGAACCGGTGTGGGCTCTTACGATCCGCCAGGGAGGCTCTCCTCTCACTCCCACTCCCATCACAAGCACAGAAGACGGGGTGACTCGGAAGGCACTGAACAGACTGTGCTCTGGCACCACAAGATGCTGAGCCAATCTTAAGAAATGAGGCCACGAAGTGGAGTCCACTGAGTGTGGAGTAGAGTAAAACACAATGCAGTCTGAGCCCTGCCACATAAACAATAGAGGACCTTCTCACAGCGACACCAGAGCCCCTCCAAGTGGCCAGCTTCTGATCAAAGGACATTTAGCATAATGCCAAGTTTTTTACTTTGTTTGTGGTTTTTCTATACATTATAACTATATTCTCAATTTGCGTCTGACACGATAGATAAATAAAATAGTTAGACAATTGTGAGAAAGCCCTCTATGTGCTATCGTGGACAGCTGCTGCCAATCAGAGCAGAGAATAATGGGCCAGATGGTCCAAAAGTCTGACCTGGTTATAAAGACAGCTTCCCAAATTCCTACGATAGCGAATAGGGCCTAATTAAAAGGCTTATTTCTTATATTAATGTCCTCAGGCCAGTTATATTCAACTTCAATGGATTGTGATAACAAGGAATTGGGGATGAGAGCAACCTGTGCAGCTCTTTAAAGCATCATGTAATGAACGTCAAGGCTAAACGATAACAATGCTCACCTGAATAACTATCTTTAAAGCTTTTACTTTTTGATCTGAGGCCCAAGCATCCTTCAAAGACTGATTGAGTTCTTCAATCCGATGTGTATAATCTTGCTGAGTCAGGTTGAGCAGCTCTTTCTGAGAGCCCTGAAAAAAGGGTTCGGTGTACCAACTATTAGGTTATTAGCATAACAAAAACAAGAACACTTCCTTTCCTAATATTTCCTCCTCTCCCTTTGGATGAGGGCTGCAAAATGCAGAATGGCTAGAGACAGATTGCATAACGAACCGCCATTGAAATTCAGGATGAGTTGAGTAGAACTGGATCACTTCTGAAGAAGTCCAGCCAGTATTTCTTTTCTTCAAAGAGTCGCCTGTTCTATTTTGGACAGAATCTCGAATTTTTGGCACCACAAACTGGAAGCACAGCACACCAAAGGTCACCCTTCCCAGGAGTCAATGAACACAGGAAAGCAGATCAAAACAAGGTGATTCCCCTCCAGCAATAGATTTTTGATAATGTCAAAATGAAGCAAATAACATAATCATCACCATCATCATCTGGCTGGCCTTATGTATTGTTTTTATTATGCAATTTAACTAGAGCAGAGAGTGTTTGAGGATCGGGACATCCGTAGGGAGACCAAGGTGCTCCTTTATAAAGCCATTGTCCTCCCAACCCTGCTATATGCCTGCAAAAATTGGACAGCCTACAGATGTCATACACAACTCCTGGAATGATTTCATCAGTGCTGAATCCAAAAATCCTGAAAATCTCAGCAGGACAAATGTCAGCATACTGGAAGAAGCAAAGACCACCAGCATTGAAGCAATGCTCCTCCACCATCAACTCAGCTGGACTGGCCACGTTGTCCGAATGCCTGATCACAGTCTCCCAAAGCAGTTGCTCTACTCCGAACTCAAGAATGGGAAACGGAATGTTGGAGGACAGGAAAAGAGATTTAAAGATGGGCTTAAAGCCAACCTTAAAAACTGTGGCATAGACACCGAGAACTGGGAAGCCCTGGCCCTTGAGCGCTTGAACTGGAGGTCAGCTGTGACCAGCAGTACTGCAGAATTCAAAGAGGCAAGAATAGAGGGCAAAAGGGAGAAACGTGTCAAGAAGACGTGTCAAGCCAACCCTGACCAGGACCACCTTTTGTCTGGAAACCGATGTTCTCACTGCGGGAGAACATGCAGATCAAGAATAGGGCTTCACAGCCACCTATGAACTGACCACCAAGACTCCACATCTGGAAAACCATCATCCTCGAGCTATGAGAGATCGCCTAAGTAAGTAGGTGAACTAGAGAGAAAAAGGTGTCATTTGCTGCTCTTTCCCAGGCAGCAGATCTTGGGCCACTCTTAAACAAATTATGATATTCATTTAATAGAAAGTAAGCACAGGATGAAAATTAAGAATCTTTCATAAGCCACCCTTTGTATAAATGTCCAATGTGCAAAAGGAAAACTATCAGCAGCACATCCGAAATATAATTTAGTATTGAAATTAGAAAACACAATGAATTCTGAATATATAATACAAGAAATAAGACAATAGTAATTAATAGTAGCAAACCTGAGCAATAACAATGTGGATAGCAAATAGTAAAATAATATAATGGCTACAGAATCAAGTATAATAATCATTCAAGCAGATCCCCCGTGAGTAGCTTAAAAGGCTGTAATAATAAATGAAATGCAGGAATAAAACACACACCAAGAGCGCCTCTTTAAAACCCTCACGTTATTCAGCCCCTAATACTGTAGTCAAGTCAAGCCATTAACTTTATTTGGAAACATTTTTTTGCTATCAGAACTTTTACATAAATTGTAGTAGTACGTATTCCAAAGCTTTAATATCTTTATTGACCAACAACATTGTCTCAATGGGTTGCTGTGAGTTTTCCAGACTATATGGCCATGTTAAAGAAGCATTTTCTCCTGACATTTTGCCCACATTTACGGCAGGCATCCTCAGAGGTTGTGAAGTCTATTGGAAACTAGGCAAGTGGGCTATATATATATCTGTGGAATAATGTCCAGGGTGGGGGAAAAAACTCTTGTCTGTTGGAGGAAAGTATTAATGTTGAAATTGGCCACATTGATTAGTATTTAATGGCCTTGCAGCTTCAAACCCTGGCTTCTTCCTGTCTGGAGGAATCCTTTGTTGGGAGGTGTTAGCTGGCCCTGATTGTTTCCTTTCTGGAATTCCCCTGCTTTTTTAGTGTTGTTCTTTATTTACTGTCCTGATTTTAGAGTTTTCAAATACTGATAGCCAGATTTTGTTCATGTTCATGGTTTCCTCCTTTCTGTTGAAATTGTCCACATGCTTGTGGATTTCAATGGCTTCTCTGTGTAATGTGACATTTTGGTTGACAGAGTGGTCCAGCATTTCTGTGTTCTCAAATAATATGCTCTGTCCAGGTTGGTTCATCAGGTGCTCTGTTATGGCTGACTTCTCTTGTATTTATATATTGTTATAATGTTGTTTTTATTTTGTCCTAAATTGATGTTATGCATTTTAATGTGTTACATTTAACTCTGTGGATATGGCTTGGCCCCATGTAAACTGCCCTGAGTCCCTTCGGGGAGATGGAGGTGGGGTATAAAAATAAAGTTGTTGTTGTTATTATTATTATTATTATTATTATTATTATTATTATTATTATTATTCTCTGGTTGAATTAGTCTGCAGTGCCTTTCCTGCTCCTTCATTCGTGTTTGGGCGCTTCATTTGGCTACCAGTATTAAAAAAAAACTACCAGCATCTGGCTACCTCTATTTAAAAACTCCAAAATCAGGACAGTAAATAAAGAGCAACACTCAGAAAACAGGGGAATTCCAGAAAGGAAACAATCAGGGCCACCTAACACCTCCCAACAAAGGATTCTTCCAGGCAGGAAGCAGCCAGGCTTTGAAGCTGCAAGGCCATTCATTGCTAATTGAGGTGTTTAATGGCAACATTCACACGCATCAAACAGACAAGAGTTCTTTCTCCTGCCTTGGACATCATTCCACAGATAGATACATAGATAGACAGATATAGTCCACTTGCCTAGTTTCCAACAGACCTCACAATCTCTGAGGATGCCTGCCATAGATGTGGGCAAAATGTCAGGAAAGAATGCTTCGGGGACACGGCCACACAGCCCAGAAAACTCACAGCAACCCAGTGATTCTGGTCATGAAAGTCTTCAACACATTGAACATTGCTTCTCTTGCTATATATAATGACAAAAAAGACTCCTTGAAGCACCAACAAGATTTTCTTTGTTATTTTTGCTCAGCGGCACTTATGGAAATGAACAGATACCTTCATTTAACACTGCTCTGTTTACAGGATTTCAGAGTAATGCTGTCTGATATCTGTTGCGTTAAAAAGTTTTAATGTTTTGGTTGATACTTCTTTTTTCTTATAGTGTGTTTTATTTTATTCTTTACTATGTGCCACCATGGATATTTGAGAGAAAGCTAGGATGTTGACAGGCAAAACATTAGCCCACCTCTTCAAGATCATCCAATTCTTCCAGCCTTGTCCGCACCTTCTCAGAAACTGCGGATCCAGGAGTTGTTGCTTTTCCTGCAGGCAAATGTATGTTTAAATGCCATAAACTGTGCCATATATTTTGATTTGACATAAATCAGAGTTTAGCAAGTAGTTGCTCGCCAAATACTATCTTCTTCCAATTGCTATCAAGTTCCACCAGTCTGAAGAACAGCAAGGGATGATGGAGCTTCTGGAAGGCCATTGGCTCCCCAGCCAACCAAGATGTAAATAAAGGCCACACATTGCCAAAAATAAGCCTTGAAAATGGAGAACAACTGTTCAAACTTTATGGCTCATGACTGGACTCTGGGATGTTCTTTTGGTGACTTTTTAAAATAGTAATAACAATAATACTTTATTAATATCCTGCCACCATCTCCCCGAAGGGACTCGGGGAGGCTCACAAAAGCACTCAAGCATGCAAACATATAATACAACAAAGTACATAAATGAAATAACACAATAATGATAATAATAACTATAAGGTCCACATAAATAATATATTATATTATATTCCATATAATGTAATAATTTCATATGTTGCAATTATTTATATGCTAAATTTCAGCTTTCCAGACATTCAAGAGAAAGGACATCTATGTTTTAAATCAAATATAGATATTTCTGCATTTTATATCTGTATAGCCATCAGATCTAGGAGATTATGAGCATACAATGAATCAAAAGAAGCAACAGCTTGTATTTATTCCCCCAGCCTTCCTTGGAGGCTATATAAAATCATATATAAAAATCTAAACACATAAGATCACAATACATAAAACCATAATGATACTGTAAATGTAAAATGTAACTATGATTGTATGCAAGGTGACATCATGTATTTACACGTTTGTCCTTTTATCATTTGATATGCGGTAGTCCCTGAGATGTGTATCCAGTTCTTTTGCTTCTATGTAATCAAGAAGTATGGCAATTTCAACATCCTTTTCATTAAGCAACATGTTTCTCTTTTCTATAAAATCAGGGAAACACCTCTTTATACAATTTGACATACAAAATGACTACTTACCTTTTTCAGATCCCATGTACAAATTCTGAAATGAAATAAAAACATTTTTTATTAAAAAAAATTGTGAATCTTCAAGCTTAGCTGTTCTCACTCACCAAAAACATATGGTTTAAACATTTTAGACTGTTCTGTAATAAAAGTAAACTATTTCATGCTTTTAATTCCAATATGCTTATATTTGGTTACTGCAGAGAACAACAATGCCTTTAAATATAAACCAGAGAAGAATAACAGGGGCTGCTGTGGTTTTCTATGGTTTTGGGGATTTAATCTGAATTATTTTAATTCTAATGATGTTTAATACTGTTTTAATATTTCTATATTCATATTCAGACAGGGAAAAACTCTGCAGCTCAAATTTTTAATCTGACTGAGTTTATCAAGGCAGGATATGAGAAAGGTTCCATTACAGGAACAGTTTTTGTGGACCTTACAGTAGTCTATGTCACAGTGCAACATAGGAAATTGCTGTATAAAGTCTACCATATTACCCGGGACAGTCTGGGACTATGATTTTACAAACACTGTCTAGGCCCTCCTAGAAAACTGCGGCTTCTATATAGAGTTTCAAGGCAGAAAAAGTAGATGGAGGAGGCAAAATAATGGTCTACCTCAAGGCAACGTTCTTGCATCGATCTTGTTTAATATCTTAACAAAAGCACTCAAGCAAGCCACAACCACCACTCACAAGGAGATATATATACACTGATTACCTTGGCCTAACAACACAAGTAAAAGACTTTGAAACAGTCAAAAACCATCTTCTGAATGCCTTGAAAGATATCTCCAGCTACTTCAAAGATAACCACCTGAAGCCTAACCCGGCCAAGACACAAGCGTGTGCTTTCCACCTAAGGAACCGTGAAGCCAAAAGGAAATTGAAAGTTACCTGGGAAGGCCAAGAGCCTGAACACTCTTCCCACCCTAAATATCTCGGTGTCACCTGAGATTGAACACTAACATTTAGGAAACACTGTATGAACACCAAGCACAAAGTAGCTGCACGCAATAACATCCTGCGGAAACTCACTGGCAGCACATGGGATGCAGACCCAAAATTGATAAGAACATCAGCCCTGGCCTTGTCTTACTCAACTGCTGAGTATGCTTGCCCTGTTTGGCATAAGTTTGTTCACACAAAGCAGGTGAATCTAGCACTAAAGGAAAAATGTAGAATAATCACGGGATGTCTTAAACCTACACCTGCTGATAGACTCTATAAGCTAGCTGGCATTGCTGAAGTGTGATAGGAAGTTGCTGCTAAATGCGAGAGAAATAAGGTTGAACACTGTGAAAGCCACCCACCCAGTAGACTTAAATCAAGGAAAAGTTTCATGAGAACCACCACTCCTCTAAATGTTCCCTCAGAAAGAGCAATAATAATAATAATAATAATAATAATACCAATAATACCAATAATACCAATAATAAATAACTTTATTTATACTCTGCCACCATCTCCTTGAAGGGACTTGGAGTGGCTAACATGGGGCCAAGCCCTCTGGGCAGCTAAACCTGGAAATCCCTAGTGGATGGAGCCTGAAGAGGGTCTTCCAGGGGCAAAGCAAGAATGGGCAACATGGAAGTCCCTGAAAAGACTCAGAAGCTGAGTGGGCAGATCAAAAGACAACCTGGTTAAATGGCATGGCCTAGGAGAACCCTCCACCTTGTGCAGCTGTGGAGCAGAACAAACAACTCCACACCAGTATGCTTGCCCACAATGCCCTGCCTTATGCATAGAGGAAGAACTGCTTAAAGCTACAGACAATTAGGTTGCCATTGCCCTTTTTTAGTCTAAAATTATTTAGCCTCCATTTTATCAGTGTTATACCTATTTATGCAATGATTTAGACATGAAATAAATTTGTATATTTGTGTATTTTAAATTGTATGCTGATTTTTTTATGTTAAGCCGCTTTGAGTCTCCTGCAGGAGAAATAAATAGGGGTATGAATAATAATTATTATAATTATAATAATAAACGTTATTGAGTTCATGTCCTGCTTGGGAGTTTCATAGAAGCATTTGGCTGAACATCACATGCTGCATTAAATAGATCTTTGGTCTGATCTAGTGCAGACCATCTTATGGTCTTGACACAAATAATTCAGAAATATGCTAAATATTCTCAAACAGTAAAACAAAACAAGCGAAACCCAGAATGCTATATCAACAATACTGAATTTCAGACACTTTTATCCTGCATCAAATCAGTCTGCCTTTTTGCTTAGTGATTGTTTTAAGAGCAAGGATGAGATGCTAACTCACAATAGAGAGCTTTTCATTTGTTGTATATCGAGAGAGGATATCACCCCGCTTGTTTGACCAAGGTTCAAAGTCGCTTCCCACACTTAAACTCTCTTCTTTGTCACGTTTCTTTTTGGTGCTCTCCTACAGAAGAAATAATTTCACATAAATGAGAAAATCAGGATCAGACAGAGAGGAGAGCAGATATTTCAAAGGTCTTTTTTAATGCATTATGGATATTTTAAGCCTCCTTGAAGGCCACAAGTGCTTTTCAAGACAACTCACAAATTAAAATTAAATCTAGCAACAATAATGAGAATTAGTAAGAAGTGGTGACAAAAATCAACAGATATCCTATCTTTTTATATAAAAAACTCCCCTACAATCCTGAAAATGACTGCATGCAAACCTATCAGTGATCTTGTATAAAGACAGAACTTGAAAGGAAAGAAGGAGAAATGACTCAAGGGTTTTCCTGAAGGTTTGTAGCGGGGACAGATCCAGTAAGTAATCCATTTATGAAAATTGGAGGACACATCTTTTGTATTATGTCATCATCACCCCTGGTGATGCAGTGGGTTAAACCACTGAGCTGCTGAACTTGCTGACTAAAAGGCTGGTGGTTAAAATCTGGGGAGCGGGGTGAGCTCCCACTGTTAGCCCCAGCTTCTGGCAACCTAACAGGTTGAAAACAAGCAAATGTGAGTAGATCAATAGGTACCGCTTTTGCGGGAAGATAACAGCGCTCCATGCAGTCATGCTGACCACATGTCCTTGAAGGTGTCTATGGACAATGCCGGCTCTTTGGCTTAGAAATGGAGATGAGCACCACCCCCCAGAGTCAGACATAATTAGACTTAATGTCAGGAGAAATCTTTTCCTTTACCCTTACATCATCACTATCATAGTTATAATCCCACCTTTCTCTTAGTCAGTGCCAAGATAAGCCATACAGATGCCTTTCCTCCTTATCCTACAATGTATTCATTATTATTAACAGTCTTTCCTTCATATAACAGTCTTTCCTTCAATGGGCTCAACGTGGCTCTCCTCCACCCTACTTGATCCTTATTGCAACCCTATGAGATAGGCTAAACTGAGGCCCCATCTACACTGACATATAAAATCCAGATTTGAACTGGATTATATGAAAAAAAGAGGATAAATATAGTTACAGTCAGCATTGGGTCTGCAGTTGCTGCAAATAATGACAAAGGATCCGTGCCATCCAACACACTGCTCAGAGGATCCATCATGGAACTGGAGGACGACGACGATGTAGAAGACGTGCTTCCTTTACGTCCTAATTTCTTTGTCTTAGATTCAGTGACCTGTGAAATACATAACAGTTGCCAAAGCGATCTGAAAGAACACGAGGAAGATACAGCAAACAGAGACAATTCAGTTCTATTGAAAAGACAGTTCCACTACATTTCCTCTGTCCAGCTTTCACTCCATTAGGCAAGAAAAAGAGAAAGAGGGATAAAGAGAAGGAAAACAAGACAACATCAAGCCTTCTGAGAACCATGTGTCATTTATGATACTATTAGTTTTTACTGTAATTTTATTTTAGGAATCAAGTGGCTATTCTAAATAAGTCAGTGTGACTCAATGTCTCCACATTACTCCAAAATAGAGTCCTATTTGGGCAGCATATTGCCAAAGTAAAATAAATATTCATGGAAAGGAGCATACCAGACTTCTTTCCCTGTGTCTTTACTCTCCTCTTATGACAGTCTGAAGAGACCTGCAGATGTGGCTGGACTTGCCTCAGATTTGAGATGGTAGATTACATCTATAGCACTTACACAGTCTTGCTCATACTTATTGAATTAAGGGAAGCCTAAGCCTTTTTTAGTGTTATGCTGTCCTGCCTACATGAAGATGTGAAGAGGGCAATATGCTGGTCCTGCTCCTTCCAAAGTTCTTCTCAAACACGAAGATTCCTCTACACATGAAGGCTCTACATTCAGCATTAGCAATTCTGAAGATGTCGGTATTTTTTCCCCAACTTCAGCGTCCTGGAGGTTGTGCTTGATTCCAGCCACAGGAGGGTGCTGTCGCTCCATCCTCTAGGAAGAAGAGCCCTTGATCACAGACTTCCTCCTTCCTTTGATCGTCAGCATTTTCTGGTATTTCTTTTATAGTACCGTAACATACCTTCCTGCTTAAGCAGTGCCCAATTTCTCTACTCACAGCTCACAGCTGTTTTTGAACTGCTTAGGTGGACAGTAAGCTGGGCTGAAGGTCAGGTGCTCACCTCAACCCAAACTTCGAACTGCCAATGTTTTGATTGGTAAGATATATTGCTGATGATGATTAGCCAGCTGTGCTAAAGCCCAGCCCTAGGAGTAGATGTGAGTAGATCAATATGTACCGTTTTGGCGGGAAGGTAACAGCACTCCATGCAGTCATGCCAGCCTCATGACCTTGGAAGCATCTATAGAAAATGCCAGCACTTAGGCTTAGAAATGGAGATGAGCACCACCTCACAAAGTCGGACTAGACTAGGCTTCATTTCAAGGGGAAACCTTTACCTTTAGGATAGTGAAAGAGGCATACGCCACTTCTAATATCTTAGCTAAATAACATAACATTGGAACAGAGCTTAAGATGACTGTATTTCAGTATATTTTGCTTGGAGAAATGAAGGATGAAAGAAGGGGACATGATAGCCATGTTTAAATATTTGAAAGGAGGTCCCATTGAGGAGGAAGGGGCAAAGCTTGTTTCCTGCTGCCCTGAAGACAAGGACACAATGGAGCCATGGATTCAAATTGCAGGAAAATAACTTCCATCTAAACATTAGGGAGAACTTCCATATGGTAAGAGCTATTTGGCAGTGGAATACACTGCAGCCTCGAAGCATGAAGGAGCCTCATTTTCTGGAGGTTTTAAGCAGTGAGTGGATGGCTGTCAGGAGTGCTCTGATTGTGTTCTCATACCTAGCAACAAGGGCTTGGACTGGATGGCAGTTGGGGCTCTTACAAATCTTTTATTTATTTATTTATTTGGTCGTGTCAAGAGCGACTGCAAGTCACTCCTGTTGTGAGAGAATTGGCTGTCTGCAAGGACATTGCCCAGGGGACGCCCGGATGATTTGATGTTTTATCATCCTTGTGGGAGGCTTCTCTCATGTCCCCGCATGATTCTGTGATTCAGCAAGGTCAGATAAACATCTGTGCTGCAGATGTTATCTACTACCTCTTAACTTACAGATACAACTAAAGCTGCAATAGGAAATAGATTTTATCATGCTTGGAGAATTACTGAATTGTTTAACTCCAATATATGTGATTTATATTAATTGTATTGTTTTTGTTTATTGCTTTCTTGTTTTATTGATGTGTTGTTGTGCCTGGCCTCATGTAAGCCGCGCCGAGTCCCTTGGGGAGATGATGGAGGGGTATAAATAAAGATGATGATGATGATGATGATTATTATTATTATTATTATAGTGCCTCCTCCCAAATAAGATCAGGTCTTTACTGATTTAAAACAATGAGATAACGAGAAGTTCTATTACCATTATAAACTGAATAATCATGTACAGCTCCGCTTCTCTTACATGGTTCTTTGTTGTTACTGGGCAAAAATGTGTACAGCGATGTAGCTAAACAGGCTTGAAACGGTTGTTCTAGAGAATACCACAGCCAAAAGGGCATCGCTACTTTATTGCAAAAATGGAAAACAGCTGGCTTTCCAGATGTTTCGAATTTCCATTCCCATAATCCCTGACCATGGGCCCATCTGGGAACTGAAATCCAAAACATCTGAAGGGACAAACGTTCCTCAACCAAGCTTTATTTGTTGTTCCTGTGACGTGGTTTCTCCTCCTCTAACTTCTGAGTTTGCTCGATCACAGGCCAACATAACAATGCATACTTTTTGATGCAATAGAATAGAAGAAACTTACAATGATGGGTTTGAGTGGATGGTAGTCTCCAAACTCCACAGACACAGGCTCCAGCCTGCATGATTCTAATTCACGGGTGTAATTTCTTGGTCTTGCATGCCTGAAGGAGGAAAGTGTAAAGACCATCATTATTTGAAAAGCCAAGTCAAATATATCTATATTTTAAAATCTTGCCTTTATTTCTCCAATCCAAAATGTATCTTTTCTGCCTATGCTTGCTTTTCTGTATAATCTTTAACTCACCTTTACTGATGCTGGACTAAAACATATCCTACCAAAACACACACACATATCTAAACCATCATCCACCAGATAGTCTTTCAAAAAACATCCCAAGCCCCATTTTGATTCCTTTTTTCCCCTTTGCCATTTATTTCCAGTCTCTCCTCTATCCAATAACTACCTAGCCCACAATCCCTTCCCTTATGCTGGATTCCCTATCCCATCACCTGTGTCAGCCCAAACCCCCTGTGGATATGGAAATCTAAGAGGATCTCCCTTCTTCACCCACAGGTCCTTTCTGTGTGTGTTTTCCTTCCCAAGGGGGATCAGCCCATCTAGTGTCTAGATGTCCTTGCCTTCCTAGGACCCTACTATCCTTTTCTATAATTTCATATTTTCTTCCCCCATGGGATGCATGAGAGAGATAGGCGCCCCTTGAGGTTCTCATGGCCTATGGGGTACCCTTGTAACCACAGCTTCTCATGTGTGTTTATGTATAATCTTTTCTATGCTTTTGTATCACTTTATGAAATTATTGGAGAAGTCACCAACTTGTTCTTGCAATGACCTTTGCCCGCATTTTTCCTGTCCTGGGAAGATCAGCCAACATCATGCCTCAATGGAACCCATACAACCCAGGTGACACAGAGGATAACAGGAGCCAGATGGACCACCCTTCCTTTGTGTTACTGTTTGGACACTACATGACATTTGCCAACTCAGCATGGAGTTTCCAGTCATGGGATACCATGCCACCGTCTCCCCTTTGTTATTCCCAGCCATTGGACACTTATATGAACAGTATTTTCTGTTGGGACTTGCTTGGGAGCTTGGAGTTCAGGATACTGGGCTCGATCAGAGACTGCATACAAAAGGGACAATAAAGGTTTCAGGAGACCTATCAGGATCATTGTGCCCATATACCAGGGATATTTGACATTTGATCAGTCATAACCTCATCCATTGTTTTGAAACCTGCCAGGCCCTCTCCAACCACTGGACAGAGAGAAATCTCAATCTGAGGCAGCCAGTGCCCTCTCATTGGCTGAGGCATGCCAAACTCCCGCCTCTCCAGGAAGCCCCACTGGCTCAGCCAATCACAGCAAAACCAAGTGCAGCTTGTGGGGGGGGGGGGATTTTGAACCTGTAAAGTATATAAAAGTGCATGTTTTACTGTGTTAGGTATCTCAGCTTATTTTGAGTGGGCTACTGCAAGTTGTCATCACTTTCAGCTGAAATTTCACATGCCAGTAAGGTTATGCTCACGATCCTGCAAGGTATACTCCAGCAATACATAGAGCGAGAGTTGCCAGATGTACAAGCTGGGTTTAGAAAAGGCAGAGGAATGAGAGGAGTGCTGCAGGGTTCCGTTATTAATGATTTAGATGAAGGGCTAGAAGGCATGATCATCAAGTTTGCAGACGACACCAAATTGGGAGGTATACCAATACTCCAAAGGACAGGAGCAGGATTCAAAACGATCTTGACAGATTAGAGAGATGGGCCAAAACTAACAAAATGAAGTTCAACAGGGACAAATGCAAGATACTCCACTTAGGCAGAAAAAACAAAATGCAAAGATACAGAATGGGGGACACCTGGCTTGAAAGCAGTACGTGTGAAAAAGATCTTGGAGTCCTTGTGGGCAACAAGTTAAATATGAGTCAACGATGTGATCTGGCGGCACAAAAAGCCAATGGGATTTTGGCCTGCATCAATAGGAGCATAGTGTCTAGATCTAGAGAAGTAATGCTACCCCTCTAGTCCGTTTTGGTTAGACCACACCTGGAATATTGTGTCCAATTCTGGGCACCACAATTCAAGAGAGATATTGACAAGCTGGAATGTGTCCAGAGGAGGGCCATGAAAATTATCAAGAGTCTGGAGAACAAGCCCTATGAGGAGTGGCTTAAGGAGCTGGGCATGTTTAGCCTGAAGAAGAGAAGGATGAGAGGAGATATGATAGCCATGTATAAATATGTGAGAGGAAGCCACAGGGAGGAGGGAGCAAGCTTGTTTTCTGCTGCCCTGGAGACTAGGACGCGGAACAATGGCTTCAAACTACAAGAGAGGAGATTCCATATGAACATGAGGAAGAACTTCCTGACTGTGAGAGCCGTTCAGCAGTGGAACTCTCTGCCCCGGAGTGTGGTGGAGGCTCCTTCTTTGGAAGCTTTTAAACAGAGGCTGGATGGCCATCTATCAGGGGTGATTTGAATGCAATACACCTGCTTCTTGGCAGGGGGTTGGACTGGATGGCCCATGAGGTCTCTTCCAACTCTTTGATTCTATGATTCTATGAGAGACCAAGTTGCCAATATCCACTGAATAATGGAGAAAGGCAGTGAGCTTCAGAAAAAACAACTATTTCTGTTTTATTGGTTATTCTAAAGCATTTGACTGTATGGATCATAATAAGTTGTGGTAAGTTCTTGGTGGTATGGGCATACCAAACCACCTTGTCTGTCTCCTGAGGAATCTGTATAAGGACCAAGTAGCAACATTAAGAACAGACCACGGAACAACAGACTGGTTCAAGATTGGGAAAGGAGTACGGCAGGGTTGTATACTCTCACCCTCCCGATTCAACTTGTATGTAGAACACATCATGTAATGTGCAAGGCTTGATGAATCCAAGGCTGGAGTTGAAATTGCTGGATGAAACATTAACAGCTTTAGATATGCGGATGATATTACTTTGATGGCTTAAAATGAGGAGGAACTGAGGAGCCTTTTTACCAAGGTGAAAGAAAAAAGTGCAAAAGAACGGTTGCTATTAAACTTTAAAAAAAAAAAACAAGATTCTGGCAACCAGACTGACTGATAACTGGCAAATAGAGGGAGAAAACATGGAGGCAGTGACAAATTGTGTTTTTAGGCACAAAGATTACTGCAGATGCAAACTGCAGCCAGGAAATCAGAAGACGTTTACTTCTTGGGAGGAGAGCAATGACCAATCTCAATAAAATAGTGAAGAGTAGAGACATCACACTGGCAACAAAGATTCGCAAAGTTAAAGCAATGGTATTCCCCATAATAACCTATGGATGCAAGAGCTGGACCATAAGGAAGGCTGAGCAAAGGAGGAAAGATGCTTTTGAACTGTGGTATTGGAGGAAAATTCTGAGAGTGCCTTGGACCACAAGAAGATCAAACCAGTCCATACTCCAGGAAATAATGCCTGACTGCTCACTGGAGGGAAGGATATTAGAGACAAAGATGAAGTACTTTGGCCACATAATGAGAAGACAGGAGACCTTGGAGAAGATATTGATGCTGGGGGAAATTGAAGGAAAAATGAAGAGGGGCCGACCAAGGGCAAGATGGATGGATGGTATCCTTGAAGTGACTGGCTTGACTCCGTGCCTGTCATTGCTGGGGGTGGCAATGACAGGCACGGAGCTCTGGCCTGGGCTGGCCCATGAGGTCACAAAGAGTTGGAAGCAACTGAATAAATAAACAACATCCCTCCTCTCAAAGAGAGGCTGGATCAAACGGATGTTCAATAAACTTAAACATTGACAGAGAGACCCTCGTGATGCTAAAACTTTATGCTCTGCTAAGTCCTTAAAACATAGAAAATATAGCATTTGAGCACCTTGCTACTTGTTTCTACTCATCCTTGTGTAAACTTAATATTGCCACTGTAATGTAATGTTCTTTGTGTGTGTGTGTGTGTGTGTGTGTGTGAGGCCGAACCCGGAACTCCCTGCTTTCAAGATGATCTGATCTGCAGCAGGGAGTTCCTCAGTTCTCCATTGCCACGCTTGGGCCAACCTGCATGAACGTGGCCACAGCAGCAGCTGCAACTCAGAAGCCTCCTCATTTCTTCACTTTTTCCCCTTTCCTAACATTGTAACTAATCCCCCCAATAAAAGTATCAATTAATTGTAACCTTTTCCCTCTCCATAGTGTTACTTTGTGTCCCTTTATTGCCTCAAACTTCTCTTTCCATAAAACTTTCTTCTCCCGGTTCTCCTGGGATGTGATTTTCGCATCCCGGGGAGGCCGAAACTGCGTTCCCTTAAACCACGGATACAGAAACCCCCTCAGGTCCCCGTATCCGCGAGTCAGCTGATCGCCTCAAAAATGGTGTCATCCTTCTCCGGGGAGAATTCTAAGACTAATGACTATCTCGGTTTCACTCCGCTGCCCCCCCTGCCCTGGGAATAACCTTTTTTGTTTCTGAAACCCCAACCTAGAGCCCAGCTGTTTTTCCAAAGACGTTGCCTTGCTGCCACCATTTTGTGGATGTCCAAGGAGCCTGCTGAACTTGGAAGACTGTCGCGGTTGCCCCCTATGACCGCAAGATGTCAGCAGGCCGCCTTGGTCCTTGGTGTGGAGGGATCTGTAGTTCTCTCCGTGGATCTTGATCTCCAACATTGGCAGATGGCTCATAAGGACTCCGTGGACGCTGGGTCACCTTTTCCCACTTGCCTTTCCTGGATTTTATAACTTTGATAAACTTTCCCAAACTTTCAAGGACTTTTGAAAACTTTCTGGACCTTCTTCCCCAAGCCCTGTGGACTCCCCTTCATGATTACGGGATGATATGATTTCACGATTATGAACTTTTTCTTTTGGACTCTGGTGGGTGCGATGAGTGTATATGAAATTCCTTTTTGCTTCATTATCCCTTATGTATCTCCCCTGAACCTTATGTGTATGTATGTATATGAAAATATGAAAAGCCACTTCTTGTGACCCCAATATGGCACAAAGGGCCCAGAGGAAGCTTCTCTCTGGGAAGATAATCCTATGACTAAGGAATCCGGACAGAAACTCCTTGCATGGCAGAAACAAAGGATACACCCCCCAGGCCTCAGAGCCGGTCCTCCTGGGGAAGTGTCCACTCGGTTGATCCCATCATTTCACAAAGGGGAAAACAGCCCCAGGTTGCTTCACTCTCTGTTCACTTCCCAGCCGAAACTGCTACTCAGATTACACCCATTGTCTCCATATCCCAGCCTCAAGAAAATCCGGATTCTGGTGGTTCCGCCAGACACAAGATGTTGATCTTCAGCTATCATCACAATACCTGGCCAGCTAGAAGACTCCCGAGGGGACTCGCCAGCCCATGGACAAATAATTAATAATTTTAATCAATTCAATCCCCATTGTTTCCTGCTCATCCCACCTATCCTTCTCCTGATCAGCCAGGAGGCCGAAGCGGCGCGAACTCACCGATTGGCTAAGGCGCTCGAGAGGCGGCCAAGCCTCCTCCCAGCCTCCTCAGCGCCAAGCCGGCAAGTGGGCGGGCGGTGGGGAATTCAAAGTTCACAGACTCGTATTTCCTATAAAAATGTACTGTTTTACCCTGTATGGTATGTCTCTCCTGACGAACTATCGCGGTTTGACATCCGTACCAGCTGGACGAAATAAATACAACTCGGTGGCTTTTCTTCAACTTTGGTGAGATTTATTGGGAAAAATCTGGGAAAATTCTATTGGCTCTTTCCTTTGCTCACCAGAGTACCGGACTCTCGTTGGTGGGTCTGAGGGCTCCTCTCTCCTGGGCGGGAGCCTATAAATTCTAGCTTGATATCATGTGTGTATTCAAATGTTTAATTTTAATTTTATTGCATATTGTCCCACACTTTTGCTCCTACTCATTTTAAATGTCAACAATGTAATACTACCTCATCCATAAAAAAAAAAAACACTTGCTAAGATTATTTCTGTTGATTTGCTCCAATGTGCTCATATTTACAAAGGAAACAAGCTGCCAAAAAGGCCACAAAATATTTCTGGCAGAGACAGCACTTATTTTAAAAAGGACCAAAGAAAAAGAATTTAGAGGGAGGACTCAACCCGTACTTTGGACACCAAGGGAATTGGGCAGCCTAGCTGTCCTTGCTCCAACACATTTCATCAACCCCCTCTTGAACATTCTGAAGAATTCAGAACAAAGACTTAAATGGTGTTACTAAAAAGGAAGGCTGTACACTCTAAAGAGACGCTATACATGAAGTTAAAAGAGAATCCAGCAAAAGCACACACGCCTGTCTCTCCAGGTTTCTTAATCTCCCATTTCCTGCCTTCCATGAGTATAAATACTCCCTTGAATGTACTTTTCTCAATGCCCCTCAACACTTGTTGCATTACTTGCCTCTTGGGAAAATTAGCATCTGTAAGGAGTTTCACAATGGAGAGCTAAGCATTTGGGTTAGCAAGGCAGCATTTTCAGTCGGCCCAAATAAGCATTGGAGGACAATTCTGGAGGCCAGAGTTCGAATCCATGCTTGGCAATGGAAACTCATTGGGTGACCTTGGGCAAGTTATATGCTCTCAACCTCAAAAGGCCAAGACCCTCTGAACAAACCTTACAAAAAAAAAACCCTCATGTTGTCATAAATTGGAAACAATGTGAAAACACACAACAAACCTTGAAGCCATCACTTAGAGCTAAAGACCAGAAGTGACTTCTGGTCTTTAGCTTTAACCTGGCCAATTGATCTCCCTCCCTCACATATCAACAATAATCTATCTGTCTATACACATAATAAAGGTATGTGTGTATGTGGCTGGGGTGTCCATACACTGACAGACTCCCACTTCCACAAATAGCTATAGCTCCCACTATGCAGGAGACACCAATGGCCCTTCTTCCAATGACATTGCAGGTTATAGAGAGTGCAGTAAACATGTAGCCCAAGCCCTGCCAATGTCCTCTTCAAATGCCATACTGCCACCAACCAAGTGAAGGCTTTAGTACGGGGACAATTCCATACTAGATTTTCTATTTTTCTTCCACCACAGACATCCCAGTGTTTCTTACTCTCTCCATTGGTGTGATTTGCTTGAACCAGCACACCGTCTCTCCTTTAACCCTTTCCTACACTTTTCTATGGCACACAGTAAACAAAGGAATTGATCAGCAATTGAACATACTAGAGAGGTTTGGGGAGAATTCACCATGATTTAAAGGAGTTGTAGGTACTGGGATGTATAGACAACTCTAAGCATTCCATGCCTAAGCAACCCCCATGAAATACCAGGGGTGGCCATAAGTCAACAAGTGACTGGAAGGCACAGAAACACACACACTTAAAATCATTGGGCTTGGCTCTATCCTATTGGGCTGAACAAATTGGTATCCTCATTTCTGTGACAGCCCTTCAGGAATTTAAATGGTGCTGTCATGTCATCTTTGGTCTTCTCTTCCCCAGCCTGAAAACACTCAGCTCCTTGCACTTTTCTTCATATATGTTGTTATTGTCTACAGCTTATGGCAACCCTCTCCCTTCTTGAAAACCACTCAAATGCATCCATATCCTTCTTAAAATGAGACACTGAATGAAGTACTGAAAAAGAAGCCTAGCCAATACAGAACATAGTGACACAATAACTTTCCCAGACTTGGAAACTAGTTCTATTATTGTTGGCAAACACCATATTCACCTTCTTAGCTGAAGAATCACACTGCTGGGTTAAGTTCAACTTAAAATCAACAATAACCTCAAGGTCTTTTCCATACTATCACAGGCTGGGCTGTTTTTTGAGTTGGGATATGGGGGGAGCAGGAAGGGTATAAAAAGAAGGGCTGAAACGCTATGGAGAGAGAGTTGGGGAGTGAGGGGGAGAAGAGAAGGGGTCTACATTGTTAATTGCAGCAATAATATGTTTCATCCTTATGTCTATGTTTGATTTTTTTTTAGTTTTAACAGTTTTTATCTACAGTTACATGTTATGGATTTAGATATGTGATTTGTATATATATGTGAGGCATTAAATTTGCCATTTATTATGTTGTAAACTGCTTTGAGTCCCCCCAGGGGTGAGAAAAGCGGTATAGAAATGTAGTTAATAAATAAATCAATCCCTAATTTAAATTCTTAAGGCTACAATACATCAGCATCAGGTAGCAGCATATTATAAACATAAATGTATGCTAGCTCTAGGCATGGAGGCAACCTAATTATAAATAAATATGAGTGAGAGCATGAAGGTAAAGCAAAGTAAATGACTGGCGCATAATAATTTGACAGTATAGGCTTACTGGCCTAATGCTGGCAAATATGTGTGCGCATTTGAACTCAAGAAGAGATCAGTAGATCTGTGAATGATGAAAATAATTTAAGATCTGAAGGTGATACGATATGACTAGCAGAAAATACCAAAGACTTTGGAAGATTATTGGAGAACAACAAGGAAGAAAATGTAAAGATGGCTTTGCAGTTGAACATTCAGGCTAAGATTTGGAAGGACTGCTATCAAAGACCCTGAAGTCAAGATTGTATTTCCAGTATGTAAGTCTGAATTCTCCCTAAAAGCCAAGAAGTCTAAACACTGAGCAGGTTAGAGGTCTCTCATTCATAGAGTCATCACAAATCAAAGTAGATTTGAAGGCGGTTAACAACAAGCCCAACATATTGCTCCTTTCCTAACCTAGATCAACAGTGGCACCAACTGGATGCTGTCAGAAACCATTTTAATATTGGGTTGCTATGAGGTTTTTTTTATGGCTGTGTGACAATGTTCCAGTAGCATTTTCTCCTGACATTTTGCCTAAATCTGTAATGTAAGGTTTTATATTTTGTATAAAACGTACTTTGTATATTTTAATGATCCTGTGTACCGCCTTGGCTCCGCTAGGAGAATGGTGGCATAGAAATTCCAGAAATAAATAAAATAAAATAAACAAACTTCTTTCCTTAGAGGCTTTGAAACAGAGGATGGTGGCCGTCTGTCGGGAGTGCTTTGATTGTGCTTTTCCTAAAGGCAGAAGGGTGTTGGACTAGATGGCCCACGTGGTCTCTTCCAATTCTATTTTATTGTTGTTGTTGTTGTTGTTGAGGCTGGATGGTCAGTTATCAAGGGTGCTTTTTTGCATGAAGGCAGAAGGGGGTAGGACCGGATGGGCCATGTGGTCTCTTCCAATTCTATCATCATTATTAAGCAGGGGCTGGATGGCCATCTGTCGAGGATACCTTGATTGTGCTTTTCCTGCATTAAGGCAGAAAGGGGTTGGACTGGATGGTCCACGTGGACTCTTCCAATTCTATGTATTATTATGAATATTAATATTACTGAGGTTGGATAGGCATCTGTCAGGGGGCTTTAATTGTGCTTTCCCTGCATGAAAGCAGAAGGGGGTTGGCCAGGATGGCCTTTGGGGTTTCTTCCAACTCTATTGATGATGATTATTATTATTATGGATGGCCATCTGTCGGGGTGGGGTGGTGCTTTGATTGTGCTTTCCTGCATGGCAGAGGGTTGGGCTAGGTGGCCTTTGGGGCCTCTTCCAACTCTATTATTATTGTTGTTGTTGTTAAGGCTGGATGGCCATCTGTTGGGGGTGCTTTGATTGTGCTTTTCCTGCATGACAGAAGGGGGCTGGACTGGATGGCCTTTGGGAGTCCCTTCCAACTCTATTATTCTATCATTCTATCAGTGACAGGAGCTGCAGTTCTACCTGGCCCCTGCTGCCAAACTGCAACTCCCAGGACTCAAGACTAGCATTGGGTCCTGGCAGTTAAAGTGTTGTCAAACCGCATTAATTCCACGATGTAAATGCATCCTCAGAGGGTCCTTCCCATTCCCCTTCCCTTCTCAAGAGGTAAGGAAGGCAGGAATGGCAGGAAGCTGCCCTGCAAGGAAACCTTTTTCGCCTCCCCTTTCCTTACATACAAGCGCTTACCAGGGGAAGGCAGCCATCTTGACTCCGTCACGTGACGACGACGACGACGCCCTTTTTCCGCCCCACGCAGCTGCCGCCGCCGCCGCCGCCGCCGCCGCCATGATAGTCGAGGGCAAAACGCCAGGACTCTATGGGGAGGCGCATGCGCGATGGCAAGACTCTTAAAGGGAAAGTGCTTTGGATTGGGGGATGCCTGCATTTGCTTATATGTCGTTCATGTATGTTTCAAATCGTCCTTATGATCTACATACTATAGCCCTATGACGCCACTATAATAATAATATGACGCCACTATAACAATTATATATTGTATATTATATATATTACTAAAAATATCGCACGAGATTACAATATAATACAATAGAATACAAATATTGTGATATGCTAATAATATATTGTGTGTTATATTTACATTTATATGCCGTCCTTCTCGCCCTGAAGGGGACTCAGAGCGGCTTACAAGTAATATGTAAATACAATATATTATATTATTGCCATAGCACAATATTAGTATTATATATTACATGATAATATTACATGTAATATAAAATATATAATTATAATAGCATATTAGTAGTATTTTATTGTATTACATTATAATATCATCAATATTATATGTATATACAATATATTACATTATATTATTAGCACAGTGCAGGAGACAAGGTTAATATATATCTCATGTAATGTAGTGCAATATACTAATAATATTGCAATATCATATATAATAATATTGTAATATAATAATTTGTTGTTCATTCGTTCAGTCGTCTCCGACTCTTCGTGACCTCATGGACCAGCCACACCAGAGCTCCCTGTCGGCCGTCACCACCCCCAGCTCCTTCAAGGTCAGTCCAGTCACTTCAAGGATGCCATCCATCCATCTTGCCCTTGGTCGGCCCCTCTTCCTTTTGCCCTTCCACTTTCCCCAGCATAATTGTCTTCTCTAAGCTTTCCTATCTTCTCATGATGTGGCTTCTAAAGTACTTCAACTTTGTCTCTAGTATCCTTCCCTCCAGTGAGCAGTAGGGCTTTATTTCCTGGAGGATGGACTGGTTGGATCTTCTCGCAGTCCAAGGCACTCTCAGCACTTTCCTCCAACACCACAGCTCAAAAGCATCGATCTTCCTTCGCTCGGCCTTCCCTAAGGTCCAGCTCTCACATCCGTAGGTTACTACAGGGAATACCATGGCTTTGACTATGCGGATCTTTGTTGCCAGTCTGATGTCTCTACTCTTTACTATTTTATCGAGACTGGACATTGCTCTCCTCCCAAGAAGTAAGCGTCTTCTGATTTCCTGGCCACAGTCTGCATTTGCAGTAATCTTTGCGCCTAGAAATACAAAGTCTGTCACGGCCTCCACATTTTCTCCCTCTATTTTCCAGTTGTCAATCATTCTTGTTGCCATAATCTTGGTTTTTTTTATGTGTAGCTGCAATCCCGGCTTTTGCACTTTCTTCTTTCACATTGATTAGAAGGCTCCTCAGCTCCTCCTCGCTTTCGGCCATCAGAGTGGTGTCATCTGCATATCTGAGGTTGTTAATGTTTCTTCCAGCAATTTTCACCCCAGCTTTGCATTCATAAAGCCCCGCACATCGCATGATGTGTTCTGCATACAAGTTAAAAAGGTTGGGTGAGAGTATGCAGCCTTGCCGTACGCCTTTCCCAATCTTGAACCAGTCTGATAATAATACTAATATATTAATTATAATACTACTGATAATGTAGAATGATAATACTGTTTTATTGTATATTTGTATATTCGAAGTTGTAATGTTTTTAATTGTGAGCCATTTTGGGTCTCCGACTCTTAATTCTTGTTGTTGTTGAGGCTGGATGGCCATCTGTCGGGGGTGCTTTGATTGTGCTTTTCCTGCATGGCAGAAGGGGGCTGGACTGGATGGCCTTTGGCAGTCCCTTCCATATAACATAAAATAAAATAATTGGGAGGGCACAATGTTATGCAATCATGCGAGGCAAAATAATGGTCTACCCCAATGGTCTTGCACGGACCTTGTTTAATGTCTTTACTAACAATCTGCCACTGCCACCACTCACAAAGACCTTTTGCAATTCTCCAGTATCATTTTGACAATTAGAAGCTGATCTTTTGTGCCCCTACTTCTTCTTTTATTGCCTTTTGTTCTACTGGCAAGATGTTATTTTCCTCCAAGTAATCCTGTATTTGATCCGCTATTATGCCTGTCAACAGTTTGAACATTGTAGGCAGACATGTTATTGGCCTGTAGTTTCCTGGTATTATCCCTTTTGCTGGATCAAATACGTCTTCCCAGCTGTTATCCATTTGCTGATGTTTCCAATTTGCAGCATCTCATTGAATTGTTCGGCCATTTTTGAGTGCAGGCTAATCAGATCTTTAAGCCAAAATCTGTGCAATTGATCATTGCCAGGTAATGTCCAATTCTTGGCTTTCTTCACTCTTTCAGTGATCATTTCTGTTATTATTTCCAAGGTTCTCATTTTGTTTTCTGAAAATTTATTTTCAAAGTCTTTTATCCAGCTTTTTTGTTGTAACCTTTTTCTGTTCCCCACAAATCTTTCCAGAATGCATTTGTAGCTGTTTATCCTGTTTTTTCATTTTTCACAGCCACCCGCTGATTCAGACTTTGGTAGAACCGCCTCTAATCAAATTGGAAAAGTTGATTTTGTTTGTATTGGATGACTCCAGCTTCATATCTCTTAACTTTTCTGGCTGTTGCCGTGATTTGTTGTTTCACAATTTCAAGAGCTTCTTCAATTTTTCTTGTGTTCAGCCAATATTTTTAAATCAGGTTATTCTTTATTTTGACATTCTTCAGTTTTTGCTCCTTCATGTTCTTTAGATTGCTTGCATCGGATCATAGGCTCTTGAATTTTAACTCCAGCCTTATTTTCCATTTTGATTTTTCAATCATTTTTCTTGCGGGTTTCAGTTGTTGTATCCCCAGTTCTTGTGTTACAATCACTGCTGTGCTGTATGCAAGCTGGCTGGTTTCTTCCATTGTTGCTATCTCAATAGTTGCAAGTGCAGCATTCACATCTTTCATTAGAGGTGCCAGATGTTTTCTTGATACTGTCTTCAATGTTGGCAGTCTTTGCCTTTCTTCCTTCAATGCAGCAAAGGTCATTTTTTTCTTTAAGTTCTTGTTGCTTTGTGTTCAATGTGCCAGGTGTAGTATAAGCAATGGTCACAGGCTCTTCATGCTCATCGTCTTGAAAAAATCCTGCGTTTTCTTCTGGCTCCATATGTTCACTGGACTCAGAAGTCATTAGATCTTCTGCATCTGT